CAAGTGCTGTTCCAAGTGAGGCACCATCTCAGGTCCCAAGTGTTGTTCCTAGTGAATCACCTTCTATGATACCGTCTGTGGCCCCAAGCGAGGAACCATCAATGGGTGAGTCAATCGAGAGAGTCTCATCTATCGGATTTGTTTCGTCTGTCGCTTCTAACAAGTTTTATTGAATCAAAAGTACCTTCGATGGTACCTTCGGAGGCTCCCAGTACAAGTAAGTTGTTCGTTGTATCCGTCGCAGTTTGTTGGCGTCATAATACTGACGAGTACAAATCTCCCCTTCTCCAGCTCCTTCAATGATTCCTTCAATGATCCCAAGTACCAGTAAGTATTACAACTTTCTTTCTCTCACCGTTGTCTCTGAGTCTCATTCATGATGTTCCTTTAGTTCCATCTATGGTGCCTTCGACGATACCATCAACACTCCCTTCAATGATTCCTTCTGAAGTTCCATCCGAGATACCATCATTTGTTCCAAGTTTCGTGCCTTCGGAGTCACCCAGTATGCGTGAGTATACTTGTATTGGTTTTTAGATTGACTGGAATTTGACGATTCTATCCGCCTTACCAAATGCAAATTCGAAAACAGAACCATCCATGGTCCCATCTGCAAGTCCGTCGAAAAGTCCAACAATGGCGCCATCTTCGCGTAAGTATATCATTTGGCCGTTGTCTTTTGAAACCTATTCTTCGTAGAGATCGAATGCCTAACTGTGTTGTTGCCCTAACCAGAACCAAGCGGAAACGTGGTCTTGGTTGTGCCTGGTTTCCCGACTGCCCAGAGCAGCCCTTACGCAATCGGTTATCCGTGGGTAGCTATCGATGGGAGCACAGCTGGTGATTATGCAAGGGGACAGTCAACGCACACTCAAGAAGAAAATGACCCGTGGTGGTATGTGAACATAGGCGCAGGCTGGGGCAACCGACCGTCTACTGTAAAATATGTCAGTGTTTGGAACAGAAGCGATTGCTGGTAAGTTTTCTTGTTTGACTTTGCGTTGCCTTTGCCAGGCGCAATTTGAAGTAGCTTACCGCAACATTGTGCCCGCAGTGCGGAACGATTGTATGGTGGATGGGTCCAACTACTTGCTTCAAATGGAGCTATATTGCAACAGAAGCAGATTACGAGTGCGATTGGATTTGGTGGCCAGACTTTGCACTTCAGCCCTCAACCCGATGTTTGGTTCATTAAGGTTCAGCTATATGGAGCTGGGAGGGTTCTGTCACTTGCAGAGGTTCAAGCTGTAGGCTTTATCCAGTGATAATACACCAAAAGGATGAGATTACACAATTTTTTTCATGAAACCGTAACACTTATAATACGGTACGCTGTACTCGATAGGCGGATTGAGTTGTGCTGTTAAATACTTATTACACTGAAGGACGGACGCGGGTTTAGTTCGATACCGCATGCTTCTGTGGCAACTCGTGCGGATCAGATACTAATCATTTTAAGTGATGGGTTCTGTTGAGCAAATAACATCTAAAACTCTGAAGTGTAGCCCGGATGATAGGCCACACATTGCTGGTTAGAGCTCTTGCCAAATCGGGAAATACTGAAACAAGCACTTTCTATCACAAACTGAGTTATTTTATTGTGCATATTTCTATGGGTCTTGGCCCTTTTGTACTGCTACCGTATTACCATGCTGCTCTTATATTGCACCTAGGATTAAAGACGAAGTCGAGGTCCTTCAACCTTTCTACTCTTTCCCTCGTAATGTTGGACCTTTTGTTTTGGCTCCATAACCGAAACTGTCGTCTTTGGCACTTCACCCATATGGCCTAGAGATCGAGCGAGAGACACGGAGATATGAATCAGTGATTGAATGCACCATCGTCAAAAGAAGTCCTCGAAGCCACTTACCAACGGCTGATTCTTCGGATAGTTCTTGGGGACGCGGCTGTGCCCGTGCTCCAGACGAAAATCTCGTAGTTGCTCCCACCTTTCGTTCCATGCCGCGGCATGAGAATCCCAAACAAACCCTAGATTTTCCAACATTACTTGGCGTTCCTCGGTCAAGGTAGTGTGTCGACCTTCCATCTTTAAACGATACTGGTGACGTTGTCGCTTTGTCCAGTTGGAAAGGCACGGGTTCGTCTTGTAGTTCAGTGGGACATTGCAGTGACTAAGCTCTGCTTTAAATTGTACCAGCTGCTGGTATCGCTTGTCCCAAAGGTCGAGATGTTGAGAACGGAAGTTGACATGCCTTCCTTCCGCTTTGTCTTGGTTGTCGTATGGTTCCTCAGACCATACCTTGTCTGCGAAGTAGTACCAGTGACTTGGCTGGATTTTTTCATCAAATTTTGCATAATCGGAGAAATCGAACTTCGGAAATTTAGGGTTTGTGCTCTGAAGACTCAACAATGGTTGCAGGTCTTCGAGATAAGAACCGCTCAAAGACACATCAAAAAGTGAGACCTTCTCTACATGCTTCATTCGTGATGTATCCAAGGGTGTCGGCTCTAGGAGATAGTTCATGTTATCTTCGTGAAAAAGGTTCATTTTGTTTCCCTTGATTGTTCAAATTATGAGCTACAATATGTTCTATTTTAAAATAAGAGGTATAGTTCTTCAAGATAAAAGTGATCACTTTTTTAGGCACCTACAGAGCAGAAGAGCGATTTGTGACTTCCGTGACTGTTCTTCGTACATGCACTCCCTCTTTTGTCTACGCGCTCCATTTTTTAATTAATTAATCTGTGCTATGCGGAGGCTCTTGCTTTTCGTTCTATGGTTGTTTTACAAGTAAATTACTCGCTGGAGAACCAGTGCGAAGCTCAAAAATGGCGAGGGGAACAGAAATGTCGATCGAATCTTGGCTGCGACAAAACAAGAGGTGTGACACTTTTTTTTTAAAAAGGTAGCAATTGAAGCAAGTTGATGACGGTCATCTCGAAATAGCGGAAGTCGAGAGTCATGAAGTCGTGCGTATCACTCAACATTTGTTTCGTAAAGGACGCATTTTGGTTAGAAATCAAAGAATGAGGATGGAAATTCGCTATGATTTACCAGATGTCTGATCATAAAAGTCGGGATTGGTATTTTAAAACTCAGTTCACACTGACGTAGGACTAGGTGTGTATCAATGCGAACACAAGAGACAAATCGATTTTCTGTATGTGGGTCATATGACCAGAAAAGCTAACTCGCGGTCGAAAGAATAAAAGCGATGACAAAGCTCACATGATTTCTCATCAAGTTCCGGTATTGATAATATTGCTCGAGCAAGGCAGACGATACACTGTCCATTTCAAATACACCAAGACCTAAAGCTGTCAGCGAAGGTGTGAGATCCGGCGTCCGACTTTATCGGCGCATGGCAGGAATGACAAAGCATACTGTATTTCGATTGGCTATTCCTCAGAGGGCACATAAAGTGGAGGATGCTAGGTTGAGAAACAATCATTGGATGCCATTGACGAGTATTGGCCTGGGTGCACACTGCGGAGCAAAAAAACTAAAATACCGGAGAGAAAGAATTTGCCAAGATCGGGGATGTTGGGAGTAACATGATTTTATAAGAAGTGGTGGAGACTCGTTCAAACGTGCAATAATATCGACTACTATGCGGTACAACATGCACCAAGCAATGGAAGAGTCAGCAATCAACTTTACTGTTGGACATGCGGAATACCTACAATGACTGGAAGAATGAGTGGTTTCAGATGATGAAAGATTCATAGGTGCTAGTGGAGCAGCGGAAATTATCAGAGCCCCATATGCCAAGGATCAAACACTTTTATTATGCAACCGAAAGACGAAAGAGGTGACGCTTTTTTCTCTGCCATATGGGAATCTTGGACATTCTAAGTAAAAGTTCATATACGAAAACTTTCGTATGATAGTATTTATCATTATTGCATATCCTTTCCCAAAGTGTTTGATGGTCCAATAGGTTGCACGTACACGAGTATGAGAGATATTGACTACCGTGCTGTACCGGTATATGGTACAACCAAGACCACCCAAAACGTACGTGCTTCGCCCGGTATCGCGGCAAGTTTTTGTTTCTTCGAGATGGAGTACGGTACTGGAACGTAGTGTACGTACCTTCGAGATGGAGTACGGTACTGGTACCTGGTACGTGTACGTACCGGTACCTGGTACGGTGTGAAGACGAAGAACACCGGTTTTATCATGGGAATAGCTTCGAACGGTACCAGGTACCGGTACCGGTACCAGGTACATGGCATTCGGTTCAAGGAAAGTAGATTCAAGTGTGAAGAGCTAACTTAGGCCAATTTGTTTTCCAGCGACAGTGCTTTTGAGTGGTGCGGACCGCGTAATTATGGGATTGTGACAATTTTCCACGGACAAGCGCTCCTACCGGAGTCAATTTGGTGGTGTGGACGGCATATATGAATATACCGATTGGTACTGTAATTTATTGGATTTTGAGATTGGCAGAAGTTTGAAACTGCAACTTATGACGCTGCATAGCTAACAGCTTCACAACAACAACCCAAGTTCAATCAGTCCACTGTAACCCCGCAACAAGATGGACGATATTGAAACAGGGAAACTGCATTCCAGCAGTCACTCTAACCATTCGATGAACTCAGGGCATTGCAAGCTTCGTCGCAAGCGGTCCAAAGACTCCCAGAATTGGAGTGAACGCTCAAAACAATCTCACCATCATCACCATGGTGAGCATCACAATCGCCATCATTCCAAGAAGTATGACCATTACAGGAATCACCATCGTTCCAAGAGTCACGACCGTTCCGAGAACCTCCAGCATTCAAGTCATTCCAAGAAGCATTACCATTCCAATAAGAATCACCATCGTTCCAAGAGTCACGACCGTTCCGAGAATCTCCAGCATTCAAGTCATTCCAAGAAGCATCACCGTTCCAATAAGAAACACCTTCGTTCAAAGAGTCATGACCGTTCCGAGAGTCATGATCGTTCCAAAAACCCTGTCCGTTCCAAGAGCCATGACAATCTCAAGAGCCATGACTATTCCAAAGGACATCATCATTTAAAGAATCACAATTATTCCGGACGGTCAAGGAATCCGAAACCATCAAAGAGCGCGACGAGATCAAAGAGCCCAAAACGAGCAATAGATGAATTGAGAAAAGAGAAGCGCAGGATAGAAGAAATGATGTTTAGAGGAACGAAAAAGATAGGAATGAAGATTGGCGGATCGAAGTTGGAACTAGGCGGGCCGTTCGACAACCACAGCAGTTTGGGCAATAGTCATGGGACTTTCGATACCCTTGAATGCTTCGAGATAGCAAAGGAACAAAAACAATTCACAAAAGAAGAACAAATCAGAGATCTGGATGAGGCCCTTGCCCTTTATGGATTTGCCGAAATTGCTGCGCGAAGAATACAGGCAGTCTTCCGAGAACGACAACAGAAAAGGGAATTGCTCAAAGAACTAGAAGACACAGAGGACGAATCTGACGAACTGAAAACGGGTGATGATAATGACGATGCCTCAACCAAGGATAAATCCAACACGATCACAATAGTGTTGCTCGCACTTTTCTTTATAGTCATGACCGGTCCAAAGCTTGCCCTGACCTGCTGGAACGGCATCAAAAAGTGTTTTGGGGGCAATGATGCTGGAGGAGAGGAAGGCATGGCAAACGTAACCGTCCCACATGGTGGAGAAGGCGCGGTCGGAGGCACTGGACCTGCCCCAACGGGCGGTGAAGGTGGTGCGGCGGGTGGAGCTCAAGCTGGAGCGCAAGGGGCAATGGCTACCCAGGCTGCGAGCTCTGCGGCTTCAGGAGCGGCTTCTGGAGTCGCCAGTGGAGCCGCTGCTGGTAAGTTCTGACAACAGAGTTTGAAACAAGCAAGCATGAAGTGGGATTTTACACCAACTATTTCTTCTCATTTTGTTCATAGGCGCTGCAGCAACTTCTGCCGCGGCTGCGGCTGGTGCCGCCGCGGCTGGAGCAGGTATAACTCAAGTAGCAGCCGTTGTAGTTGTTTCTACTGCTGCCATTGCGGCCACAACAGCTGCAGTGGTCAATCCTACTCCTGAACCTATATTATCGGTGTGCGGTCTTGCCACTCCGGACATTCGAAGCGGTCGTATGGTGATGCTCTTTGAAGGCGTTCCTCGACCATTTGACGAGCGAGAGTCGGGGCTAGTCTCAAATCTGGTTTTGGAAGCCTACAATGAAATCACCTTTGGTACCAACGTGGTGGTCATGGGATGTCTAGACCCACTTGCCCGGGAGATGCGAAGTGTTTCGATTGTGAACCAGACGCTATCAATTTTGACGGATAGATTGGTTTCGACCATGCTAGAAGTGGTATTTGAGGCTCAGGTATCTTGTGACCGATGTTCTGAAACGAATCCGCTATTCAGTGAGGACCAACTGGACAGCACTGATACTTCAGGAAACAATACCGATGCGACAGATAATAATACCGCAAACTTTGACGTCGCATCAAACGCTACGGCTGAAGGCGTGGTACAACTGGACAAAGATCAATCTCGACTGCTTCAAACAGGAGGGTTCACAGTAGATTTCTCGAGTCAGAAGTTTTTTCAGAAGTTGATCCAGCTGGTGATTTTCGAGACAGAAGAGCTGTCGGACAAGGGAGAGCTACCCGAAGGCTTTGTTCAAATCTCCAAAGCCTTAGTAATCACAAATGATGCAGAGGAAGAAGAATTGGTGACGGAAATCAAGTACAAACGTGAGCCTGGCCAGGGTGGTGGAATTAGTGGTGGAGGAGGCAGTACCGTTGGTGGTGGTGGTGGTAGTAGTGGTAGTAGCGGTGGCGGTAGTAGCAGTGGCGGTGGTGGTGTTAATGTACGGGCTACCTTTGAATTCGAATTTGTTGACGCAAGCGGACAGGTTCAAAAGGAGACCGTAGCCATCACAGTAGAAGGCGGAGCTGTTCCAACAACCTCGTTTCCCACTTTCCAGCCGAGCCATTCACCCACGGACCTTCCTTCGATTTCGCCAACTAATGTATTCTCTGGCCAACCCACTACCTTTCCAAGTGCTCGACCAACGAATATGCCTACTGGTACCCCAAGTATAGCACCCTCTGGAGTTCCCAGTAGTGTTCCAAGTGAAGCACCATCTCCGGCACCAAGCATTCTGAATAGTGATACGCCAACTTTATCTCCAAGCATGGAACCGTCATCAAGTGAGTACAGCGTCGTTGTTGATTGCTTCATGGTCTATTGCTTTTGCGAGTTCTAATCAGGTTATCAATTTCTCTCCACAGTGCCATCAATGGTTCCATCAGCGCGTCCCAGTAGGAGTGAGTTCTTGGTGCTTTTGTTTTTGTCTTGTTGTCGATGTTGACCCATCACCCGGCTCCAGAACTGACATGCGAAAAATTACCCCCTTTCACCAGGTCCTTCCTCGATTCCTTCATTAGTCCCAAGCGAAGGTAAGTATTGCTCCCAAATTTCGACCGTCTTAATCTCCACTATGCTCCTTACGATTCTCGCTTTGTTCCATCTATCTTCAGTTCCATCCGTGGTTCCTTCGTTTGTACCTTCCGAGATACCCTCCTTTGTTCCAAGCTTCGTGCCTTCGGAGGTTCCAAGCATGCGTGAGTACCTCGATTGTCTTGGCTTTGGAATTTTGAGACGAGATGTTCACTTAAACAAATGCAAACTTTCGTCCGAACAGAACCGTCTATGGTGCCATCTGCAAATCCGTCGGCTGCTCCATCCGAATCGCCATCATCCCGTAAGTATACCATTTGGTGGACTGGGTCGTCTCTCCTTCATCATTGGACCAAAGATCGAACTTCTAATCCATTATTCGCTCCCCTCAATACCAGAACCTTCTTCCACCATTAACTTGATCGTACCCGGTTTCCCAGGATCCCAAAGCACCACCCATTCAGCCGGTTATGAAGCGTTCAGAGGCTACGATGGAAACTTTGCTTCTATAACGCACACAGCTCTACAAAATGATCCTTGGTGGCAGGTGCACATAGGCGCAGGCTGGGGCAATCGACCGTGTACCGTAAAGACTGTCATTGTTTGGAACAGACGAGATTGCTGGTATGTTTGCTTTGCTTGTTTCATGCTGCTGTGCGTGGAGCTATTATATTTGTATCAATAGTAACTCATCACACCGTCTTTTGGGCCTGATGCAGTCCGGAACGATTGTATGGTGCATATGTCCAACTGATTGCTCTAAATGGAAATTTGATACAACAGCAACAGATTACTAATAGCATTGGATTTGGTAGCCAGACGCTCAACTTCGGTGCTGTGCCCAATGTCTACTTCATAAGGATTCATATATATGGGGCTGCCAGAATTCTTACCATTGCAGAGATGCAAGCTACAGGATACGTCCTTTGAGAAGGCATCAGCGACAAAGGCAGCGGACAAAATAGAGTACTGCCGGTGCACCTCAAGTACGAGAAATATAGATAAACATGCTGAATCATAATCTTTCTAGCGTAAGATCGTTTATCGTTGCAATCTACTTCTCATGTTTCTTTGGTTGGCTTCGTATTCCAAACGTTCCATCATGCTATCTCTTGTCGATTCCATCTGCCGAACACGATCCTCGACATCGGCCTCTGTAACGTACTTGCCGCTGTGAAAATCAAATTGAAACAAATAGGAAGGTTTAAAGAAGAAAAACAGAAAATGAGCAAGGGCTGAATCAGCAAATGAAGAGATAATAACGCCAAAAAACTTACCGTCGATCCATCATTTCTTTCAATCCCATGATGCCAAGCAAAGTGATCAAAACAGTAGCTTGACCCAAGACTCGCGTGTGCAGTAACTTCATTTGCAGTGACAAGTGTTCTTGCTTCTTTTGCGCCCGAAACACGTAGGCCACGCCTGGAACAGCAACTGCCCCAATGCATTTGAAAGGGTTCGTTTGAATGAAATTGGCAGCTTTGTGATGCGATTGCAATTCCGGTGTATCCACCACAGTAATTCCCGATCCCAATACGGCTTGTCGGTACATGGCTCTCCTGTCTTGTGCTTCCTTGCCCATTGCCCTCTGTCGTCGTCGCATTTCTTGGTCGGCCCATTCGACGGATTTCATGGCAAATTCGGTCTCTTCGGCCACTTCGTGCATCCGGTGGTCCATTTTGAGTTCGCTGGTCAGAGCAAAGGTGAAGAGTGCGGGCATGATGACGATTGCAGTTCTCGATTGCCAGTTTGTAAACTTTCGAAAGTTTGGGTTCCGCATGGCCACAAAGAGGCCACCCATCGCGGTGCCGAGAACGATGCTACCATTCATCACGCCTTCCGACATGGCAGATCCTGTCACTTCTTCTTTACGTTCTTTGGGGGTTAAGGATGCCATTGTTTTCGATTATGTGGTGATGGACTGTGAAACACTACTGATGATGGAAACAAATGGCTCTCAAGCGAGTTACTGGAAATTGTACAGCTAATGGACGAGCGCTATTCTCGGCACTTTGTGAATTCTGAAAATTCATCACATTTTACTGACTGACTCCTCATTTGACACGTCATTTTTTGGGTTTGACCCCCCCGAGCCAACTGGCATTCGCCCGCCAGCATTTTCAAATTGCATCCGCCGGCCTGTCTACCAAATATGTGATCTCGAGAAATCACAGAACGCAGATTTCTGGATGCACGATCGATCTTTTGGTGTGACATACACGATCGATGTTGGAGATGTGAAGAACTCACTGTCATACATAACGTGCGATAGGCACATATATACTGTAGTGCCGAGCTACAAGACTGAAGAGGAAGGAAAGCATGGTGTTGCAAGAAAATGCTCCCGTCCTGAAAACTGAAGAAGCCATCACACAGCATACCAAAGATCCAACGAAAGATACTGCATTGAGTTCCAGCAAATCATCCTCGGATATGATCCTACAGACAATCCAATGTACCGAAAACAACTGGGAACTGCTGCTCGATTGTTTGTGTTGCTCTCAGGCTGAGCCTGTCCTCGACGATGCCTCCACCAAATTGATTGCCGACTACATCGAAACGAAGGAATACCTCAATCTGATTCAGGTTGGCGGTGATGACGATGACAATGCCAGTTGTGGTTCCATCAGTACCAAGGGCTCAATGTGCAGCAGTACACACTCGGGAGGCCACCGTGGACCATTGTCCATCATGAGAACATCCTCATTACTGCTGCAGCGGCCATCCATTCTGAAACGGCAGGACAGTCAGCATTCTGGAAAATCAGCACGATTCAACGAAATGATGAACGAAACAGTCGAGTACTCTCTAGATTTCTTGGATCAACAAGACGACAATCATGATGACGATGGCGACGATGATATCAATTCGCTTGGTGCCAATACCACCAGAAGTGCAGGAGGACAAGCCAAGTACTTGACTCCCAACAAGAGCATGGACCTTCGGAACGATCAACGGTTTGATGCTAGCGTTGTGGGCACCTCGTCCAAGGATGACTCGGTCCATCCTCGTATTATGAATCTTGATCTGATGGATGCCTTCCAGAATCATCTGCCATACACCAAAAGGGGCCAACTCTTTTGGCTCAAGTATTCCATGGTGCGCGATGGTGCCAGCATGCATACGCTGCTTCAGAAGACGGAAGCCTCCCAATATAACATTATTGCTATTGAGACAATGGAAGGAGAAGTGTTTGGTGCTTTCACGTCCCAGGCCTGGAACATTAGTGTGAATTTTTATGGAACTGCAGAGAGCTTTTTGTGGAGACTGGAGGGTCTTCGAGGTGCAACAACAACGCAGTCATCAGACTCCTCTTGTTCCAATAAGGAAACCATGGAAGTGTTTCCATTTGCTGGAAACAATTGGAATATTCAGCTCTGCACTGCCGACAGCCTTTCTGTAGGTGGTGGTCATCCCGACGAAACTACTAGTGTCAAAGATTATGATGGAGATAATGTCAATGGCGATATCAAAATGTCCGAGTGGGGATTTGGAATCACAATCGGGGAGGATATGCAAAAGGGTACCAGCTCACCCTGCATTACATTTGAAAGTCCATCTCTATCCAAATTTCATAAAGATGGATCGAGCTTTGAAATTAGCAATATTGAAGTATGGTCCCTCACGCCATGCAATAGCTTGAAGCAGGCAACCAAACTCGAGCAAACCAAACAGTTGATTCAACGATGCAGAACATTTTGAAAGTCTTCTCGCTAGGATAATATTTTCATGTCAAAAGTAGGAATAATGTACAGTAGCACGTACCAGTGTAATCAAAGAAATAGTTCTAAAGTCTTAAATTGTTGCTGTTCGCGTGCAAGCGAATTATTCCTCGACGATAGCATGAGCTGCTCTACTCTTTTCCACCATTGCCTTGAAATGTCCATTCTCCTTGTTTAGCAGATTTTCAGGTGTGTCAAGTTCCGCTATTCTTCCATCGTCAAGTACGAGGACCCGGTCACTATCCATGATGGTATTGAGACGATGGGCAATTGTCAAGACGGTGGCATCTGCAAAGTTCTCACGGATCATCTCTTGAATAGCAGTATCGGTTTCATTGTCAATACTGGCAGTAGCTTCGTCCATAACAAGGATCTTTGGTTTGCGAAGTAGCGAACGAGCAATGCAGAGCAACTGACGTTGGCCTTGAGAGAAATTCTCGCCACCTTCCGCAACTTCTTCGTCCAAGCCCTTTGGTAGTTCAGCAATGGCGTCAGACAGTCGGACTTTCTTCAAGACATCCCACAACTCCTCATCTGAGACTTTGGCGAATGGATCCAAATTGTATCGGACAGTATTAGAAAACATGACCGGATCTTGGGGAATGATGGAGAGGTTCATTCGAAGGGCGCCAGTGCCAACATTTCTTGCATTGACTCCATCAATCAGAATCTTGCCCCCATCGTCTTCAAGCTCAGAAATTCGAAAAAGAGAAATCATCAGACTACTCTTTCCGCTTCCTGTTCGACCACACACCCCAATCTTCTCTCCGGCCTTGACCGTCAGGGATAGATCCTTCAATACAAGAGGACCATCACGGTATCTCATTGAAGCGTTCGAAAATTCAATTTCACCAGTGCTTGGCCATGTGCCAGGTTTAGGATCCGAATCGGTCTCATCAGGAGCTTCCGGTTCGATTTTATCAGTGTAGAATAATATTCTCTCCACAGAACTCATATCTGCCTCGAGTCGAGCAATCATCATGACACCGTGTTTCAAAAAAGATGTGACCTCAATCGAGTACGACAGTGCGAGGCCCAGGAAACCGGCTGGAATGAATGCAGAATCAAGAGTTCCAAGTGCAACAAGACCTACGAACATGGAAACCATTCCTCCCATGATATCCAACCGCAACGCCAGCCAGTATCCTGCCAATTGGACAAGGATATAGGACGAGTTCATGTTATCGAATGAAGTCTTGCACTTGCGGAAGAAATCCTTCTGTACACCGTACGCACGGATGGTCGAAGTTCCAGATAGAGTCTGTGAAAAGTCTGCAAAAATTGGCGAGTTCGCAACAGAAGTGACACGTTGAAGCTCGGTGGAAGTCTTTCGGAACCACTTTTGAATCACATTGTAGGTATAACCAAAAGGAATCAAGGCAATTAGGAATGTTCCCTTTGTTGCAGCGACAATTGCGCCAAGGGCACCAAGGACACTGAACACAGTACTGACACCCTGAGATACAGTCTGTGTCAATTCCAAATCCAACTTGTCCATATCAGCAGCAAAACGGTTCAAAACTCTTCCAATCGGTGTCACATCGAAGAAAGCAACAGGGGCACGAAGGACAGAATCTGTGAGACCATCGTGAAGTTTTCTCGAAGCATGAAGACGATGCTTGGCAATGAAAATGCCACGTCCTCCAAGACCACATATACCCAAGAAACCAAGCAAAGCGTAAACGCCAATGTAGTAGGAGACATCAGCGTCGGACAGTGGCTCTCCTCTCTGACTGGCTTTAATCATCTGATCTGCCCAGTGGGCAAGCCAGAATGAAGCTCCAATCTCAAACCCGCGACCCAGTGCCTGGATCAAAAAGACCAAAGTCGCCAAGCAGATTCCTCCAGCTCTGGCATATCTCATGTAAGCCTGTCCAGCAACATCACCCTCTTCTCTCTCTTCTTCCTTCACCAATTCTGCACCAGCCTTCTTCTGTTTAGCAGTCTCTTCTTTGGAGTCACCAGGCTTATGGATACCTGCCTTATCCTTCTTGGAAGTATCTTTGGCCTCTTCCCTTCCATCCGACTTCTTAGTTTTCGAAACATCAACAGCCCCGGCAAAATCGACACCACTGTCAATTAGCTCTTCGTAGGATCCCTGATTCTTGATTCGGCCATGCTCAAGAATAATGACCTTGTCGCAGCGACTCAGTACATGCACATGATGGGTGACCAAGATTCGGGTAATGCCTTCACACATTTCACCAGCTATGGCTTGCGAGAAGAGGTGTTCCCCGACATGGGAGTCGACAGCAGAGAGCGGATCATCCAATAGTAGAAGCTTCGTGTGTGTGGCATACATTGCTCGGGCCAGGGCGACACGTGCTTTCTGTCCTCCACTTAGATTGATTCCACGTTCTCCGATTTCGGTCATGTCTCCAGCTGGCAGGATGGCGATATCGTCCATTAGGGCACAGTTCTCCAGAACAAGATTGTACCGATCCTCATCATATTCGCGACCAAAAAGGATGTTTCCGCGCAGAGTATCGTTAACAACCCATGGCGACTGTGTGCAGTAAGAAGCGTATCCATTGATATCCTTTTCGTTTTCATTGCGCGGGATGTATACTTTGGAATCATCAATGCTTTCCATTTCACCCAAAATCGCAGACAAGAACGACGATTTTCCAGAACCAACACTACCAACAACCGCCACCAGGCTTCCCGGTGTGATTTCGCAGCTCAGATTTTGCAAAGTGATTCCTCCACCGGCCTTGGAACCAGACTCGGTAGAAGTCAAACTACCACTGCTCTCAGAACGGGCCATATTCAAGGCTTTACTACTAGCTGCAGAGGCAGCGGCATTGTCGGCATCATCTTCGGTCTCCTTCTTGCCTTTCTTTCCCTTTTTCTTCTTTTCCTTCTTTGGCTTTTCATCCTGCACCGGCTTAATTTCTGGTCCGTTAGGATCAATCCAACTGAAGCTACCATCCTTGATGGTGATACTTCCTGGTTTTGCCAGAGGAGAATCCGGGTCGACGTCAGGGTGAGCTTCATCTTCAACATATCCACGAAGTTCAGGAAGGGCAAGGTACCGTTCCAGACGTTTGAGAGAAATTTTACTCTGAATGTATTGCAAAAGACCCATGGGTAAAAAGGCAAAGGGGAATCTCATAATGTTGAACAGCGCAACCGTGGTAAAGGCAGTCGATGCCTTCAGCGGCTCATCTTGGATGTTGACATATGTCAAAAACACAATGATTGGTTGAACAATCGGGGTCGAAAGGAGAATGATGGAAAATCCAACCGCGGTGGTGTACGCAAGCTTGGTCAATGCCTCCAGTTCCTTTTGTCGTAGTCGTCCAACTTCCTTGCCAAACGGTTTTTCCCAGGCATAAAATTTGATGATACGAACTCCAGTCAGAATTTCGTTCATCATTTTGACTCGCAAATCAGAATACTTGAGCACCTTGCGACGCATCTTGCTAACAACGGAAAATACCACCACGTTGACTGGAGCCAAAACAACCATGTATCCAACACCGACCCAGGTCGCATTGCCAACCTATATAATGAAGATCAGTGAGGTTAGTGATGGTTCTCTTTGTGGTACCATAATAATTGCCACGTGTCATGATCATAGAAAAATAAAAATCAGTCACAGTAAGCAACGTACCTGCTGAAAGATCAAGAGCAAGGCAATGACGATCTGAAGGGGTGCACTCAAGGTGAGACCAACGAATTGAAGGAATCGCTGAAGTTGCATGGTGTCATTGGACATCATGTTGACAACCTGCCCTGTCGAAGTTTTGGCTCGTCCACCTGCGGAAACATTCAGTGACTTTCGGTATAACATAGTGGACGCGGCAGTACGAACAAAGACTCCGCAATGGGCCATGATGGCTGTGATCATGGAGAAAAATGTTAGAATGAAGATGCATACGGATCTTGTGGCGTTATGCGTAAGCCTTACCTTGATGCCGAGTTTGAAAGATGGAAACAACCAGCGGCACGACTCCCAAACCAACCACTTCGACCCAAGGATTGACAAAATGGTCGTAGGGTACCCCAGTTCCGTTGAGACTGACATGTTCAAAGTACGATACCAAGTCGTTCAAAATCAAAACGGGGACAAAACTCAAAAGGGAGGAAAAGACGTAAAACAGGAGAGCGAGACAAAATCGTCCCATGCCAAAACTTTTCGCCAAGGCGATTGCCACACTTGGCTCCTTCAAGGTTGGAGGCTTGATTTTGGCTTTGGCAGCTTCCGTTTTACATTTGCCCAGTGTTTTTTCGTGTGACTCCATAATCTTCTTGTTATGGGCATCGGCAATCTTGACTTGTTCATCCCATGCCTTCTTTACCTTTTCGTAAGATTCGCTTGAACTATCTTGCTTGGATGGAACTCCAACATCTCCAGCATTTAGAACCTTTCTTGATCCCAAAGCCAAGAGCGGGTTAAGATAACTCAAGGACCATAGGGATAGACAGTTTGCTCGATCTTCCAAAGAGGACTCGTACACTCCCAAGTCTTTCCCCGTTTGAGGCTTGAGTCCACCCCCACATATCCAGGGATACCGTTCCACTTCTCGAACAAGTTCCTCTTCGACTTCGTCTAATGCAGCCGGGTCGTTTGTGGTTGCGTTTGGTGGCATGCTGTCTTGATTGATTCTGTTTTGTAAATCTAAGTGTTCCCTAATAGTTTACCCGCCTTTCAAATCAAATATTGAATGCGAACAACAAATAATGATGTGTGGTCTAAAGAGGAGATGTGATTAATTGATTGATTGATTGATTGATCGATTGATTGATTCCACTAAAAAGAGAAGAGTGAAACTAAATTCTTGTGTCTACTACTGTGTAGAGTCTGCGTTGTCTTGCAATCGAAAAGAGACTGAAGAATGTGCGATTGTTTATGACAAGATTGACGAATTTTTAAGATGATGATGATGCGAAAGCCACGCTGTGCTGGTTTGTACTCATTTTGATGCCGTGTCATGCTTGCAGAACTTCATCAGAAATGATGAGTTTTTGGAATACGTCATACGTCATACCAGAAACGCTAAGTAAGGTCGGAACGTGTACGTGGCAAATTTTGAGAGATGAAGAAGGGCGAGCGAGATCGAGGGATTGACACAATCGACTGCTTCGAACTATTGGAATCTTCTGATTGATATTCATTCATTTACCCATTCCCCATCCCTCGTTTAGTAAATGCTACGGGAAGCAATACGAAGTATGATTCCGTTTCTATTCTAACTATATAAATTTTGCTTATAATCCGAATCAAAGCCCAGGAAAGGAGCCACGTTTGAGAGCACACAACTCGACTCACATGTGTTTAGAACAAGATGTCGCCGAGAACTGCTAGAATTCCGTCGTTCCGCGGATCCAAGCTCTTTGTTCCACATTGCCAGCTCCAATATCGTCATGCTTTCATTCCTTCGATGGTCGTCCATTTTTAAGCAAGCTTTCCTCAACAAATCTGTTCTGTTATCCTTGTCATAATTGACAAGAATAGCATTCACTTTATCTTCCATATTATTGAACCATGCTGTGGCGCCCCAGCGCTGGATTGGATGGAGCATCCAGACTTGGAGGGCCATCTGAAGTAAAGATGCCGTTTCAGGAGTCCAATTAATTGCGAGATAGTCCATGGCTCGCTTGCCGTTGGCATCTTTCCAACCAAGAACATGGGATGGGTACTTTTGTAACAGCGCTTGCAACAAATCTCGGCGAGGCTCGGCACAAGAGCACAGGATATGGAATGGCGTCATGAGGAACATGTCACAAACTATCAAAGGTGGTTCTTCGTCTTCCATATTATCCATTGCTTTCAATAACTCTTCGACACTTGCGGTCGATGAATAGTAACATAGCTTGTGAATAGGATATTTTTCAAATCGACAATAAGTTGAAGCATGGACAACGCTCTCGACTCCACACAAGCATTCCTGCAACCGCGTACATCCTTCAAAAGCCCTCTTATCAACAGTACCTGTGGATGGAACCAGAATATTTGATAGTGATTCACATTTGCGAAAGGCAAAAGCGTCAATGGTAATGCCTTGGTTCAGTTTTCCTTCCACAGTCGTCAAATTGACACAAGCCGCAAAGGCTCCGAACGAGATCCGTTCCAACGAATCTGGCAAGGATATCACTTGCAAAGATGTGCACTCCATAAAGGCGCAGGATGAAATCTCTCGTAGCTGGGAGCCTTGCGTGCAAAAGGAAACCTGTACAAGAGATTTGAGCTGACCAAAGGCCATCCAACCAATCTTGATGACCGTCGGTTGGATCTTGGTTCGTTCCATCATCCGGCATTGTGCGATTGAATTCTTGTTGATTACTTGTGCTTCCAGTGACAGTGACAGTGACGTCAACGATGACGACTCATTGTAGTCTTCTTCTTCCTCGTCTATGGATGATTCATCTTCGGGTTCCATCACACTGTTGATTGGGAGATCGATGGTCATTGTTCTTTTCGGAACAACAAGATTTCTCCTGATGATGTCGTTGTATTCATCTGTTTCACCCATAGCACTGCTGATGAAATGGATGCCAGAAAAGGACATTGTAACTGTGAGTATGTGGTTCGATAGACGATAGGTGGAAGACTGTTGGTACTACTTGTTGGAAGTGGTGATGCTTGAAGTTTCTATGAGAAGGGTATCCTTGACAGGTTTTCTTCGCCTTTTTCGTTCTGGTCGAAAGTTCTCACAGAAGGGATTAAAGAAGGGGATAGTGTCCTAGGGCTTTTCCTCAATTATAGCCAGTATGGGCGTCGATATATATAGCAAGATACTTTTTCCAACGTGAGAAAACAATTTCGAGGGATTTCGCAGAATACCCATATAAAACAGAGTACGCTAGGTGCAACAATCATCCAGAGGCGAGAGCATACTACCCGTATTCTCGGCTGCTCTTGGACACGACGGAGATTTCTGGGATCATGATAGCCTAATATTGATTATAGTATCTAACATTGGGGCTATAATTGCAATAAAGACTGTGATGGTCGGCTATCATCACACCCTAACTTTTGTTCTCCCCACCAAGGTTGCTACTTGGTGTCGACGGGATGAGTAATGCAAACACTAGCTGTCAAAGATTTTAATCAGTGAGAGCGCATGCATCTTTCATTATGTTTGGTGATTGAGCGAGAAGTCAACTCCGCCATTGTACAGCCCTCTCTTTGACATACAGTAGATCCAAGCCGAACGAAGGATGCGCCAAAGATTCCCAAGTTCAAACAATCCGTTATGAGTTCGAAAGATTCAAAACTTGACATTTTCTTCTTCCCAAGACAGAAAATGACAGCAGCCTCCCAATGGTTGAAGGAGGCTCAATCAAGAAAGAATCCAACCAATATTGTCAATACAGTCAAAACCAATCCAACTAAAGGCTGGGTCTGTTTCATTGCACTACTTGATATACCGGGACAACATAAACTTTCCATCGGCCTGTGGTCTCCCTCGCATTGGCCTTCGTCTGCGAAAACGGCACTGAACCAATCAAGAAAAAAGATGAGACACCACGTTAAGACACAACTTCTGTCCAAGGCAGTCGACAGCTAAAGGCATAGGCATTCTTACCGACGTCGAAACTGAGAGCACGTTTCATTCCACTCGGGTACAATTGCATTTGGATTGTCAAGCCCTGAGGAACAAAACTCGCATGCAAACACGTCTTCGCCAGGACAACAGTAGTTTTGGAATGACAAAAGACCAAGGCAGGCAAACTTGTCAAGAGGTTCCGTATCACTGTAGTTGGAGAAAGGGTTGGTTGGAATTTGTTAGCCTAAGAAAATCAGTAATAAAAGGGTTCGGCATCAGCAACATTTGCTTACATGGCATTGAGATTCGCACAGGACGAGAGCGAAGGAGGCAAATTCAAAAATTCTGGCATCACCAGAGTCTCATTGATCAATCCGTTACTGCAGAAAACGCATTGGCCTTCCTTGACAGCTTTGGAAGGGGTTAATGTGGCAGCTGGAGGAAATGTGCTCTCGGAACAGCACAGGCTTTCCACCGGCTTGAAGTCTTCCATGCATTGCTCCTCACCGGCAAAGATGGCGCTGGGTTGGGAAAGGGGGGAATAGTGAGAGACTGTATCGTATAGAAAAACAATTCACGGCTCACATACATACCGATATTGATACTCTGAGCATGACACATTCTTCTCTAGTAGGAAGGTGTCGATATTGTCAAGACCGTTGGTGCAAAATTCACAAGCATAGATTCCATCTCCAGGGCAACAGTAGTTTTGGAAAGATTGAAGACCGGCACAAGCAAACCTATCAAGAGGTTCGGTGTCACTGTATCCAAACAAACAAAAAGAGTGCCGTTAGAAGCCGAGGTACAAAAGATTTGACAGATTGTCGCAATGACGTTGAACTTACATGGTTGTGAAGTTTGCACAATGCGACAAGGAGTCGGGCAAGTTTAGGAAATCAGGCATTATAAGCGTATTATTTGCAATCCCAGCGATGCAAAAATCACATTTTCCTGCAACGAGGGGTGCCTCTGCTATAAAGATTACAACAGCAAACATGAGATGCTTCATTTTCATCGCTTTGTTAGTTTATTTTTGATTGCGTAGATGATGTTTTGGGATTTTATTCATTTTCAATGATTTTGTTGGCAGGTGGCGGTCTGGCATCAGACCGTAACTTTCAGTCGATCCAGTCGACTCTGAACCGTTTCTATCACAATAAAATAACGGATAGAAGATACACACGTTGTATCACACGAAACGGAAAGAATGTTCGTAGTCGATGCACTGTAGTCAACCATGTTTTACCTAGAATCGTAGCTCTTTCCACGCACACGATGACACAACACGATTTGCGGGCCGTGAATTCATCTTTTTGACACACACAATTTGAAAGTTGAATTTTACCCAAACCTTTTAGTTCCAACAACAATGAGACTCTCTACTCTGTTCCTCATAGTTTTGACAACTGCGCCTGCACTCTCAGTTCATGGACAGTGTATGGTTTGTCCCGATGGTCCCGATTCCAGTGCTGCTGGGACTCCCGCTTGTACCAATCTTGATACTCGGTGAGTATTTTTGGTATTGTTCGATTTCCACTTTCGTGTTTCAATCCATATTATCTCATCATTTCATTCCATGCTGCACATGTGTACCACACTACAGCTACAAGAATATTACCTTTGCCGAAGAATGCGCTGGAATCCAAATGGCGTTCATGCCCTCGTGCTGTCCTTCTCAATTAGCGACCATTGCCAAGGACAATGCCTGTGGCTGGTGCACTAATGGGGTATCCGAGTTTGATGCTGTAGTGGAATTGCCATTCTCGACGGAATCTGTGACCTGTGGAGCTCTCATGTTTGGGTAAGATGAATATGGACTCCCTAACGATCCAAGAGGTATTCTTTCTAACGGATGATTGTTGATTCTCATTGCTTCGTTGCTATCCTTCTTATGTTTGCTATCATAGGATTCTTGGAACGCAAGTGGATCCAGACGTCTGCACCTTTTACAATAGTATTGCTCCAATTTGTTGTCCCAATGGTGAAGAGTTTGCAAGATGCGACTTTTGCCCATTTGGAATGGATCATCCCGACGTTGTTTTGCCAAGCAGTGATGGCAGTTCTTGTCAAGATATCAAACGATAGTAAGTATTCTTCCAATATGATTGGAGTTCGTTGTCAGTTCGAGCATGTTCATTTCTTCTAACACGTTACATTAGTGCCGACCTTGTGTTTGAAGGAGAAATGTGCGAGAATTCGTTGAAACCGGTCGAGACCGTGTGCTGCCCCAGCACCACGGACAATTTTGTTTGCGATTACTGTTCTGGAGGTCTCGAGTTCCCTGACAATATGCTAGATGACAGCATTCAGTGTTCGGAACTCACACTCTTGTAAGTGACTCGATTGAAAAGCATTATTTTGACAGGCATCTGTCGTATCTGACCAGATCGTCGCTCTTTTTGTCCTTTTCAGCTCCAAGCTTGCCAATGAAACGCAATGCGAGGATATCAAGATTAGCGAAGCTCTGTGCTGCCCATCCAGCACCACCAACTCCCTGCCACCCGTTACGGAAGGTGATTATTGCTACCTTTGTGGGAGCGCCGAGGTGGAAATGAAGCGACCGGAGTATCAACCTTTTGCCCTTGGAGATTCTGTCATGACAGAGGATGACCTGATGACTTGTGCCCAAATTGAACAAGACATGAATGATGACCGTCAGCCAGGATCGTCTTGTATGAATGCCGTTGGAAGCTTTACGCTATTTTTCTCTCCGTCGATTTGCGGATGTGGTGGCTTTGAACCTCCGAATGCTTGTGACATTTGCAATGGTGGCACTGTGAACCGAGCCGCCATGGCTCCCGGACAGAACTTTACTTGTGGGGAAGGAATTGATTTCTTGAAGCATACTTCCGCTGCCTTTTGTGCGTCAGCAGAAGATGTGGATTTGGACGAGATTAATGCTGCTTGCTGCATTTATGATGATGCTGATGCTGATGACGGTGATGGAGCTACCAACAATTCAGGTGCTGAGAGTGAATGCACTGTCAATCATTTTGTCCTCATCATCCTACTATCTCTCGCTATTGGCATGACTCTTTTCCAAATAAGCGAAACGGGACTATAAATGTAAAAACGGATTCGAAATGTTGTTTTCGTAAAGAATTGTGTGTGCATATATAGTCTTGACACGTAATATCTTTGCCGACCCCAAACCTTTGGGAACACAAATAAGATACAGTATACAGTATGATGATGAAGCTTGTCTCCAATCTTATCCTTTTGTTTTCTTTTGCTACACCTACCGTAGTTTACGGTCAGTGTGTGACGTGTCCAGGTGGCATTGAGTTCCCTGATGCTACTCCTAATAATAGCAATGGCCTCACCTGCTCCACGATTGACACAGCGTAAGTGAAAAGTTGATCGCATTGTGCTGGAGCTTTGCGATGGCTTATTTGGAATCATCATTTTCCAATTTCCACTTTCCGATTTCTGACCTTGTGTTATTCCTTCTACTCCTACAGCTATGCGAGTGTTGATGAGGCCTCTTGCAAACAATTCCAGTACATTACCATGCCAGCCTGTTGCCCATCCCAGATTCCATTCATTGCTCAAGGAAACGCTTGTGGATGGTGCCCCAATGGTGTGACCAACCTTCAAGGGCAGGTTGACCTTTCGGCGTTCCAATCTGATATAGTCAGCTGTGGAGAGATGATGACAGTGTGAGTACTTTATTATTATGATACTGCATGCTCGTCGATTCATTCATTCCGTCACGAGTTGTCATTTCTAATCTTTTCTATTTTTATTTCTTTGGTTGCCATTGACAGCGTGGCCTCTAGAGATGATCAGCCTGGAGTGTGTGATATCGCTCAATCCACTGCGGAAATTTGCTGCCCTGGAGACTCTGGAGGTACTGGTTTCGACTGTGAATTCTGCACCATGGGAGTGGAATTCCCGGACCTGGTCGTTCCGGAAGCGGAAAACTTGACCTGTTTCCAGATTGAAGCTGCGTGAGTTGCTGGTGTTGCTGTTGACGACAGTATTGTTTACAAACAAACAATATGATGCCAACAGCTTTTTTCATTCTCCTGCAAACCCATATAGTGCTAAGATTGCCAATGAAACCATCTGCAGCACCTTGGTGCAACCGATCGAAGGCGAATGTTGCCCAAACTCTGTCATTGCCCCAACCGATCCTCCTGTAACTGCTATGCCCGCACCAACCGACATGCCTGTAACAATGCCAACAGATTTTCCCATCCCGACTGATCCCCCATGTGTGTTCTGCCCTCTTGGTATCGAGACAGAAGAGATTGATCTCTCCTTTCTGGATATTCTTGGTCTCCCCATTCCCGGTGGTCTTCTGGGCAATTTCACTTGTAGTGACTTGCAACTAAGGTACGACTTGACTCATACAAGAAAGGAATCAAAATCTCATTTCTGCTAACCTTCCTTCATGATAATTCTTATCTCCAGTGCCGCCCTTTCCCCCAGTCTCGCATGTGATGACGACATTATACTGTTTGAAAATTTCTGTTGTCCCAGCACATCCGGTGGCTATCAGTGCAATTGGTGCCCAGGAGATTTAGGAATGGAATTTCCCGATCGCCAAGTCCCGTTGCTGGGCCTCGACCTTCCGGCTTTGACCTGCACCGATATTCTTTCCTTGTACGTATAGTAGTGATGTTCTTGCAATTATTGTTTGCTTGCTGGAAATGTGGATGATATATTCTTCTCACCATCACGCCAACCACCACTGTTTTCCATAAAATATAGTATTCCAGCCGTCACGACCAAGGAAACCTGCAGTGACTACCAGACAGCCGAAAGTATCTGCTGTCCCACGACTGTGGGTGCCGTCCAATGCGATTTCTGCTCGGGACCCGGCGGGTTGGAGTTTCCAGATCAATCGATTGATGATAGCGGACTCACCTGTACCGATTTTGCCAGCTTGTAAGAAGTTCCTTATTATTGTTGTTGTTGTTGTTGGAAGTCTTTGCCTTACGCAACGGATTGTCATATGTAACACTATATAGCGCCCTGGGAGCCCCCAACGAAGACTTTTGCCAAAACATTGAGGCTGCCCAAGGTCTATGTTGTCCTGCGAGCAGCGGTGTCAGCCTTCCGCCGGTTGCAGAGGGCGAGTACTGCTACATTTGTGGAAATGCCGATGTGGTAATGACGAAGCCTGACTACCAACCCTATGCGTTTGGTGGCGCTGAAGACCCAGATGATTTGGTTACTTGTGCTGAGATTGAAGCACTGATCAATGAAGAACGTGGCTCGGAAGAGTCCTGTGGAAGTGCGATTGCTAGCTTTACTTTTCTCTTTTCTCCGTCCATCTGGTACGTACCGATACCCACATGCTGCTGGCGATTTTTTTTTGACATGGATTGGACGTCACGCAGTATACCTAACAACAATTGCTGCTTCTTTAGTGGTTGTGCTGGAGTTGAACCACCAAACGTTTGTGGGTTTTGTGAAGGAAAAAGTGTGAAGCGTGATGTAGTGCTCCCTGAAGAAAATGTCACTTGCGGAGATGCCTATGACTTTGTCCAACATTTTACTTCTTCTATTGCCTGCGATGGCGCAAACACGGAATTTGGTGAAGCGGAGAGAATCTGTTGCGGTGACGAGTTGGAACAAGGAGGTGGAGATGGAGGTTCAGAGTCGGCTGCTAGGTCTTCTGGAGCTGGGCTCTTTTTTGTTTATGCATCCTTTGTCGTTGGGTTTGTATTGCCCTAAGTACTGTACTTTGAAATAGTTCTACTCGTTTTAGTGTACGGTATAGGGTTAGGTATCCAATTCAATAATATTCATTGACAGACTGAAATAGTGGCTTTTTCGAAGAAACTTCTTCGATTTCGCGTGAATTGCGAATATTATCATACATAACCGAAAGCTGAGACGGTCATCGTGTTATTGCTAGCATTCTACTTGTTTGAGCAGGTGGAGCAATACACAGTATGCATACTTCTTGATAATGAAGCTTAATATCATCCTCGTCCTCGTGATTGGCTTTGCTGCACCTGTGGCTCGTGCCGAGTGCAGGACGTGCCCGGATGGAATCGAGTTCCGTGATGCTGACCCTTTGGGCGATGGTTTTTACCAATGCACCAATGTTGACAACTTGTGAGGCTGAATGAATCATCGATATTTCGTTCTTGCTACTGTATATCAAGATCTCACCAAATATTCATTCTTTGGACTTGATGATGGCAATTGTTGGTTATAGCTACTTGTTTTCGATCGAAGCGGATTCTGCTGAGTGTTTCGGGGCTCAATATGATGTGATGTCAGTCTGTTGTCCATCGCAAGTGAAGGATATTGCTAAGGACAATGCGTGTGGTTGGTGCCCCAATGGTGTGACAAACCTAGAAAGTTCAGTTGAAATCCCCTTTCAGGAAGATCCGGTCACTTGCGGACAAGTGATGGTGCTGTGAGTCATACTATATCCTACATGAAAAGTCTATTTGCTTGCGGTTTCCACAGTCTAATATTATTGCTTCTACAATTCACAGTGTAGCAGCTGGATCGCTAGAACTTGGAATTTGTGGTCTTGCTAGCTCTGTCGCTTCAATCTGCTGTCCTGGTGATGAAGGTGGTGGCGGTGGTGGCTTCTTCTCTTGCGGATTCTGTGTCGATGGTATTGAATACCCACTCAAGATCAACCCAGAAGCTGAAAATTTCACCTGTACACAAGTTCAAGCTGCGTAAGTTTCGATCACAATGGTGAAAGCACTATGATCAATCCTTTTTTAAAGCACTGTTCGGTTGTATTTCATTGTCACAGTTCTCTTCTAGCAAACGAGACCGTCTGCGACACTTTGGTGAAACCGCTGGAAGACAGCTGTTGCCCAAACACAAATAGTTCATCTGAATGCGACTTCTGCTCTGACGGGCTGGATAATCCAAATGCAGAACTGCCTTTGACTGGCATTACTTGTGAACAGTTCCAAGCCAGGCAAGTACTGTACTCTGACTGATACAGATTCAAGTTTGTGCCGTATCTAACTTTCTTCTATCGGATCCTTTCACCACAGTGCTGCGAGTGTGACTGACAGTACACAATGCGAGTTTGCCTTCAAGCCAGCCGAGACTTTGTGCTGCCCAAGCACGACGAATGTTGTAGGGTGCGACTTTTGCAGTGCTGGATTGGAAAATCCAACTGCGCCGGTCCCGTTTGTTGACGAGTTGACGTGTCAAGACTTGCAAGACAGGTAAGCAAAACTGGAATGAAGTACAAGTAGATTGAATTGGATTTCTTTTCATTTTTTTGCTAATGATTCTATCTGTCCATCGATCCATCGTCATTGCAGTGCGTTGTTTGCGACGGACTGCACAAGCACCAAGCTAGCAGAAGCATTTTGCTGTCCAAGTATATCCGACAACACAGATCGATGTGAGTTTTGCCCGGGTGGATTGGATGATCCTAATGAAGATGTTCCGCTTCTAGGTGGTTTGACTTGTAAAGATTTCCAAGATGGGTACGTAACCTTATGCAAAACGACAAAAGATGCTGTCCTTGCCGTCGCTTTTGTATTCACTCAGTCGATCCCAACAATCACAGCGCTAGTTTTGTCGGAAATTCTACCGAGTGTGAAGAATCCATAAAGCCTCTAGAGGGACTATGCTGTCCTAACGCAACGGACAACTTTCAATGTGATTGGTGTTCTGGTGAGGCTGGAGTGGAATTTCCGGAGCTGGAGTTTCCAGGGATTGGACTCAAGTGCGACACCATTGTCATGCTGTAAGTACATATCGCGCTTCTATCTCAAACGCATCTCGGTGTCCTTTCTCATGGATTTGATAATATGCTATGCCAGTGTTCCGGCAGTGACATACGAAGAATTGTGCGATCAATACAAAGCAGCCGAAAGCTTGTGCTGTCCGGCAAGTACCGATGCTGTTCAATGCGACTTCTGTACAGGGCCGAGCGGGCTAGAATTCCCAGAGCGCGAGATTGACGATAGTGGGCTGACATGCCAAGCTTTTGCTACCCTGTAAGCTCAAAAGTCTGTCCGCTTTGCAACGTCAACAGCATCAACTGTGGATCTCACATTCATTTTTTGTCCACCCTTTTCAGTGCCCTGGCTGCTCCAAACCAAACGTTTTGTTCTTCATTTCATGTCGCAGAAGAATTATGCTGCCCTTCGAGCACAGGGGTCAGCCTTCCACCAGTGGCAATGGGTGATTACTGCTACATCTGTGGAAGTGCTGACGTGGAAATGACAAAGCCTGACTTCCAACCCTATGCGTTTGGTGGTAGTGACGATCCTGACGACCAAAAAACTTGTGCACAGCTGGAAGAATCTCTGAATGCCGGCCGATCTCCCGGTGAATCTTGTATCAACACAATTTCTGGTTTCACATTTAGATTCTCGCCGTCAATTTGTGGGTGCAAGGGTGTCACACCGCCGAACCCATGCGACTTGTGCAGTGGAAGAAGCGTGAATCGCGACGCTCAGATGCCTGGGGAGAACTTTACGTGTGGCGAGGGATTTGACTTTATCCAGCATGTATCTCCCGCCTTTTGCAGCAACCCTGAAATAAATCTCTATGGAATGGAAGGCGTGTGTTGCACTGACATTTTGGAGAGTGAAACGATTTCGGCTGCTTCATGTTGCACAAGATGCCTTGTCGCATTTGCATCCCTTTTTATCGGGTTGATATTTGACTAGTTGAACAGTTTTGAAGTATTGTACTGTGATTTTGCTTTTGTTTCCACCCATAACTGTTGGACCTGTAGTTGTTGGTGCGAATCTCATCGTCAGAGAATCTCATCATCTGACGATGATCTTTTTTTATTCTTTTTATTCGTTTCTCATTTCATTTTTTTGTCGAATTTTCGACGTTGCGATGTGGGCACTATAAGCAAACCATGTCTGAGTTCATGTCCCCAATTGAAGCTTGCGATATATATTTGAGCATTGTGCTTCGGTTTTTCGAATTTTTAGGCAAGTTGATGGCCTGTCAAATGACGTTCACAACACATTACAATGAAAGCCTTCTGCTACTCATTGGGCAGTGTGTATATCTTCCTCGCATCGTTTGCCAATGGCCAATGTTCAATATGTCCCAGTGGAGTTGATGAAGGGCTTCTAGGCGCCGATCCAACCGGTCAGGGTCTGGATACTTGCGCTGAAATTGACATAATGTGAGTGTCGACGACGTTGTTGTTTCCCAATAAGCATTCTTGTGCCATCGATGTTGTCTTACAATTCTGTTCGCCTTTGAAACCCTCTGCTTTACCATTAGATATCAAGGCCTTGACAGGTTTGCATGTTTGGCTCAAAAACCGGCAGTGATGCCAAACTGCTGTCCATCTCAATTGCCGACATATGCTGTCGACAATGTTTGTGGATGGTGTCCCAATGGAGTTCCAAATGTCTATGCAGAAATTCCAGATATCCTCCTTCCAACAAATACAACATGTCTAAACTATATGGAGCTGTAAGTACTGGCTGAGATATGAAGCAATGAAGACAAGCATCCTGATCCAATTCGCCGAATCCTACCAATAATAACTTCTACCTCGATCAGTGTTTCATTTACAGAAGACTCAGACGGTTGTAGCTTCTTCGACCGTCCTGCAACCTTTTGCTGTCCAGCGGATGCAGGTCCAGTATTCACATGCGATTTTTGTTCACAAGGGTTGGACTTTCCTGATCTAGATCCAGAGGGAGATGGCACGAAATGCTCGGACCTTCAGCCACTGTAAGTCATCTATGCGAAGAACATTCATGGATCTGGCAGTGAGTATGGAATAGAAGATCCTTTCTTACTTTGTTGATTCTTGATGCAGAGTTGACTTGCTATTCGACGAGGATTCATGTGGATTCTTCAAATCAGCTGAGCTAAGCTGCTGTCCGAGTACAACAGAGTTGATACCGTGTGGCTTTTGCAGTAAAGGACTTGAATTCCCCAACATGGTACCCTTTCCAGATGGTGCCACTTGCACTGATTTACAAAACAAGTACGTATACGAGTCCACCATCTCACACCCTGCAGTCCGTCTATCCTATTACGTTTCGCTTACATTTCGATTCATTCCTTTTTTCCAAGTGCTACCCTCGTTGCCTCAGGAAGCTTATGTGATCTACTAAAAGCTGGCGAGGATTTCTGCTGTCCAAGTACTACGGATGGCTATGTCTGTGATTTTTGTGATCGCAACGTTAAGGTTCCCAACCAATTGATTGGAACCGAATCATCCGTGTTTGGGCTCTTCGGTGATGAAACGTGCGAAGATGTGATGGTATTGTAAGTACACGGCTTGTTGTACTGACTGGTACATGTCGTCACAACAAGATTTCACTCATCCAAATTCTTGTGACGGCTTCAAATGGACAACGATCATAGTGCGGCATTGGCACCCAACGCATCAACTTGTGAGCTCGTCAAGTCGTTCGAAGGGGTTTGCTGCCCACCGAACCAGGATGTCACACCTCCTCCTATGGCGACTTTCTCCCCTGATCCGTCATCACCTCCTACCGATGGTGGTGATAGTGGTGGAGGCCAAGAAGCAGGAGGTGATTCAGGTGCTGTGGTTGCTGATTCTTCCTTCTTGAGCATCAAGGTATTGGGGCTTGTCCTTTGTCTGTACATGACATCGGTTTCATCATAATAAATGCTTGGGGTTACTAATCAATAGAAAATACATACACAAATGTAAGCTGTTGTTGTTCTTGCTCCAGTGGGATAGACAAGAGCGAGTACTACAGTACAGTAGGGTATTAATTGGCAGTATTGTAGTGTTACATATATCCGCTCAGTTTTTGGCGATTTCGATTAGTTCGATCAACAGAATATTTAAGGGCAAAAGTACAAATAAAGTTCTTTTGTCTCTTTTTAGCGATTTTTCAATCAAACGTTTTCTGCGAAACCAAAAAGAAAACCCAGCGGAGAACAACAACGCTGACAACGACAACTCCTGAACAGAGAAAGAAAGCAATGACAAGGACACCAATAAGATATTTGAGCCTATTGATTGCAATAGTCTCCCATTCCGCCAATGGCGAGTGTGTGATCTGTCCCAATGGACTGGAATTCCCGGATGCTCAGATTCCACAAGGTGATGATGGCGGCACAGTGTCATGCACAGAGGGCGCTTCCATCATGTCATCCTATGATCGCAACTCTTGTGTCGCTACTCAAGTCGGTGTTATTCCAATATGTTGTCCATCACAATTCCAGTTGATTGCCAAAGATAATGTTTGTGGATGGTGCAAGAACAACGGCGGCACTACTATCGAAACCTTGGACGCTTCCTTTCGAGGACCACTCGACGGTATGGGAGATGCTACCTGCGCGGATATACTTCCTGGAATTGCGTTGGCGACAGATACTACAGGATGTTCCGTCTATGAATATGCCGAGCAATATTGTTGTCACAACGCACAACCTGGTGCTGTTCTTGACGAAGAAGGAACTGACACCCGAGGAGATGTTCCTGCTAATGATGGTGGTGGTGGTGATACAGTCACCGCACCACCACCATCAAACTGCCACTTTTGCAACAGTGGAATTGAATTCCCAAATGCCAGACCAATGAAAGGAGATGAAACAGATTGTCAGGAAGTTGCCAATATGTAAGAACCGAAATTGTGGATCTGCTTGCTGCGACATGAATCTTCTCGATATATTATATACTCACGAGGCCCATTACTGTGTTCATCTTTTGACAAAAAAATTATAGCTTTATTCAAATTCGATCCGCTCTCCTAAACAACGAAATGGCGTGCAATAGCTACCGACAACTTGAATTCACTTGTTGTCCGTCTTCCATTGACATTCCCAACCCCGTTGGCAATGGTGATGAACATGGACTAGCCGATGACATTGTTCCTAAAGCAGCAACAGATCAGACTCCACCTGTGGTGGAGGTGGTACAAAATGGTGATGTCACGATCGATACGGAAGTGGACGAGGCAGTCCTTGCGGGTGTCGGTGACGGAAATTCGACCACCACGGCTGGTGCCAGAGAGGGTGATGCTGGTGGGGCCGCCCCTATAGGAGTCATTCCGGATATAGCCGTTGTCGCTGATTTGATATTCAACAACCATGGAGGCAGTGGTGGTGGTGGTTCAACCACCAACAAGGACAAGAATACCGCTGATACTACTACAACTGGTACTAGTAGTACCTCAAGCACCAACAAAGAAGGTGATGGAATAGACTATGATATCATCTATCCCGATGAAAACAGTGGATCGTTACGACACACCACCTTTGGATCCGTGTCCATGATGAGCTGTGGTGTGATCATGACGATTTGGTTGCTTCAATCACGGTGATCATCCTCCTATTGTGGAGGAGGGCGTGGGTTGCTTGCTTTGCTCGTCGGAAACAATGGGAATGAATCTGAATGAACGATATTGTAGACTTGAGCGCATATAGAGAAAGAAAAATAATTCTACTCATAATCAATAAAATAAGATGCTTTGCTTACCACCTCACTTGTTTGCAATTCCAGATATGTAACTCTACGATGGTTCTATAGATAAACGAGTAATGTCGGTGTAAAATAGGATAATATGGTGCTCTGAATGAATAGTCTGACTGTTGTACGACGGGCAATGCCAGCATTGTAGATCAACCGTTCAAATAACCGTAAATCGCCAGCCCAACGAGTGACATCACCCGTCATTCTTGCGATATTATTGGATGTGCGCGCATTTTTCGAGTACCTGCTCTCTCATCATTTACAAGATTCACACATTCACCTTCATATATATCATACTGTAAGCAGTATAGAAACCAATATACCGGTATACCTATACACATACACGCAATATCATGAGAAGCTTTGGATCTTTTAGTAACGTTGTCATCGCCTTGATGGCTCTTCTGCTGGTTGTCGACACAGTTTCGGCACAAGAATGTACCGTTTGCGGAAACGCCGCCAATGTGTTTAGCAATCCTTCGGCCAAGTGGAATGGACTCACCTGCCAGCAATTGCAGAACAGTCTCACCGCATTGGGCGCTGCGGAGGGCTGCTCCGCAGTCCTTGATAGCGGCCGTTATAATTGGTTTCAACATGAATCCTTTTGTGGATGCCAAGGTTTCACGGCACCTGAAACTTGCAGCCTTTGCGCCGATGACGAACTTGTGGCCTTTCCCACCAATCCTGTCCCATGGCCAGAACCGGAACGTTACACCTGTGCTGAGGCTGCAGAGTTGGCCCGTCACGTGTCGGATCCTTCCATTTGCTCCAATGAAATTGCGACGGATGCGGTCAAGCAAACCTGTTGCCGTAAGAAGGGTGAGGGTTGTCCTACTTGTTCCCTTGGAGGCGGATTCAAACTCAACAGTCGATACCGAAATATCACTTGTGATTTGGTAGCAGCCGATACCTTTGAACTTGACAATGTCCAATGCAAGGCGTATTATGGTCGAGATACTCACTACTGGATGAACTGGGAGACCTTCTGTGGTTGCGACGGTGCTGTGATTCCAGAAAAGCCATGCACTCTATGTGGATCCAACTTGGAAGTGGTCAACCCCGATGCTATTACCCCCTGGGTCAACGAGACGGATGTCTACACCTGTGCCGAAGCGAATGCCTTGGCACTCCACATTTCCGACAATGATGTTTGTGTGGACGAAGTCCAAACTCCTGCAGTTTTGGAAGCTTGCTGTGGACCCATCACAGGTGGTGGAGGTGGAGGTGCTACTGACTCGTCCGCTTTTACTCCTGTCATCTCGGCTGCAGCAGCGGGTTTGAGCATGGCCATGTTGATGTTGGCCATGTTGTAAGATGCATTCCTGTGGACAAGTGATGCGACAGAAGTAATCATCCGTCAACCGAATACTAGTTATAAAATCGGTGTAAGAGTTCGTTGATACTGTACACTGATTGGTCGGCTGTCTCGTCTTTATACTTGTTTCTTGCTACTTTCTGGTGAAGAAGGATCTAAATGATTTGGTTCCATTTCATTCGCACCTCTGCGGAAGTACTGTCATCCTTGGCACGGGGTGGTTGCGATTGGCGGTTAGGATTGTGCAACTCGCCACCCCCATGTTGAGCTAGCATTGTTCCAGCATTCGTCTTCCGCTGCTTCTGCTTCTGTTTGGCTTGTACAACCAAATTCTGGACCCATTGGGACAAGAAATCCATTCCCTTCCAATTCAAGGCTTCCAATTCCACCTTTTCGTTCAACAATTCCAACTCTTGCCATCGTTGCTCTGGGTCGAGTCCCTCTTGGACAAATGGATGATATTGGTCCAAAACACAGGATTGAAACTTTTGCAAGAGTTTGGCGTCCCGGTCCGTCAAGGCTTGAAAGACATTGGAAGGCAAGGCCGAGGACTTGTTGTTGTTGTTCAATTGGGGATCCAACAAGAGTTGACTGGGTCGAAGTCCTAACCATTGAATGACAAATGGTCGTTCCTCCATGTTGTCGCTTGTAGTAGTATTGCGTGTAGTATTGCGTGTAGTATTGCTATTGGAAGCAGCAGCAGCAGCAGTAGTAGCAGCTTGACGCTGAGCATAGGATTCTTGATATTGATACGAGTGCAAGACGGCAATGCCATACGGATTGCAATCGGCCAATCCATAGACTGGCAATTGCAAAGTGGAAGCCATTTGTCGGACCCATTGACGGGTGGCCATGTCAGGAAATCCCTTGCCCGTGACCAAAATGCAGGCCTCCCTCAAAAAGAATTTGTCTTCGGCCAAACGAGTGTAGACGCCCTCCTTTTCAATGACCAAAATGAATTGAGCGTCATGGGATGCCATGTTGGTATGTTGCTTGTGAATGGTGGACGTAATGGGCATTCCATGAAGATTGTCCAATTCACGACCATTCAATACCAGATTTCCTTGCTGGTTGAATAAATCAATGCATCCACAAAACCATCCCTTGGGTGATGCATAAAGTCCCAAGGACGATCTGGAAACCTGAAGGATTCGTGCCAAATCCCAAATGGCCTTGTCGCACTCCTTTTGATGAAAAAAATGAGTGACGTAGTAATAGTAAACTTCTCGCATTGTAGTGGTCCGGTTAGAAAGTAACAACTTTTGACAATAGGAGGCCACCAATAGGATGGAAGTCAATGAACGGCAATGGGACAGATGATAAAAGCTTTTGTTGTCAATTTCAATCATTTCGGGAGCTGCTGAGTGCTGGTTAGTAGTTTTATCCTCATCATCAGTATCGTCACCATCATTAGAGTTATTCGAACTAGGCACAAACAATGGACGAACCACCTTGCTGTGTACCAATTCTAGAATGCGTTGCAAGACAATCTCCCGTGGAACATCCAATTCGTCCATGATCGTGATTGTCCCGCCATTCCTTTGATTGTTATTCAAATCATCTGCTACTATAGGATCAATACTAATTCCTATCAAATTGCTATGATCTTCTTCGTCACCATTCATTTTATTGGATATCTTGTTGTAGACAACGACGTTCAATATATATGGGACAAACAAAAGTTTGTGTTTTCGTTTCTTCATATCATTTTGTGACATCGGTCCGTTCGACCACTTCGACAAAAAACTCATTTTCGATTCTTTCGATTAATTTTTTTTTCACTCGTTCGATCATACCCGGTATTCGTCACGTCGCGACGTGGCATTATTATATATCGTCACATCACACCGCATCATCTGTATTTTGGTATTTACGGTTGTTATAGTATAAAATAATAAGCATCATTGCAACCGAACATCATCATCATCATCATCAATAAATCATCAATAAATCAAAGGAGACGAAAAACATACCAGCGACGCGCAAACAATGGAGGAAAACGAAGAAGAGTCGGTGGAGGAACTCTTGAAAAAGGCCAGCCTCCAGGTGGAACAACACCTCTTTCGGGAGTCGAGGGAGATTTTGGAGAGAGTGTTGGAGATACAAACACAAGAATTGGGTGAAGATGATCTCGCTGTGGCCTCAACACTGAGTAAGGTTGGATCTGCGCTGAAAAGGGAAGGTTTTTTTGATGAAGCTGTAGAGAAACTCAACCGAGCACTCGCAATACGTATGGGAAAATTGGGAAGGCATGTTGATACGGCGGACACCTACATTGACATTGCCGGGGTCCTTGAAGCACAAAACAAGGATGAACAAGCCGAAGAAATACTCCGGAAAGCTCTCGATATCAAGCTCGAATTATTTTCAGATACCCATCCTGGAGTGACGGCAGTGTATCGAGGTCTAACGTTTTCATTGCAAAAGCAAGGCAAGTTGTCAGAAGCAATCAAGATGCACAAACAGGAACTTACGGCACTACTGCAACTACATGGGGAAGAGCACCCCAGTGTGGTAATGATATATACTGGCATCAGTGGGCTGCTAAAACTTCAAGACAGGTTGGATGATGCGCTTCAGATGATTGATAGAGCCATTGAAATTTGCAGTCGATTGCAAGGATTGGGAAACTTCGACAAGGAGATATTGGGAGCAACGCTCGGCGGGAAAGCACGAATTCTGGAAGAACTGGGCAACATCGAAGCTGCCACGGAGACGCTCAACAAAAGGCTAGTGATACAAATTGAAACGTCAGGCGAAATAGAGCCAATGACAGCACTTATATACAACGATCTCGCACGAGTATACGTCAAACAAAACATGATGGAAGCTGGCATCAAGGCATATATGAAGTCAATCAGCGTTTTTGAGGAAACGGGCTGCTTCCAAGCTGCCACGGGGACGGCCCACAATTTGTTAATGGTACAAATGAAAACGGTAGGCGAAATGCATCTAACAACAGCACAGACATATGAACATCTCGCACGATTATACATCGAACAAGACATGATGGACGCTGGCGTCGATGCGTACATGAAAGCCATCGTCATTTGCAAAACGGTGCTTGGCGATGATCATCCCCGCACAAAAGAGCTCGTGACTCTTGTTGCATTATGTAAGAGCGACAAACATGTGAGCGCACTGAACGAAAAGGGATTGGCAATGAAAAAACAAGGCGATTCAGAAAAGGCGATACAGTTCTTCCAACAGGCATTGCATATGTACGAGCAAACTTCTGTTCTCACCCCCAGTGCGGTAGAAGCTTACGAGAATCTTTCGGCTGTCAAAGCTGACCTGGGGTTGTTGCAAGACGCCATTGCTGCGAGTGCAGAAGCTCTCAAGATACGTCGAAGAGCGTCCGGTGACGAAGATCCTGCCACGGAGCGACGCATGAAACTTCATAGATCTTTGCTGAAACGTCTCTTGGAGAGTCGGAGCTGAGTGGGTGGTGAGCTGGTTACTATGAAGGCACAAGCAGATGGACCGTTTGGGAGTACACTCTTCCCGCCAACGTACAAACACATGGATGGATCCTCGGTCCTCCAAGAATAAAGTAAATGGAGGAGTCCGATTTGGCATTCAACTCCCGCAACCTGACAATGCCGAACACAATTGAACGTGCGAAAAAAAGATTGAATCATAACAATTTATACAGCAAGAATACTCGCTGCAGTACGACAGTGCATTTCTAGCAGTCGCTGCTGTACCGTATGAATACAACCTACCGGGAAGATCCAATTCTTCCAGCATCATCACTCCAGCAGTCTAAGTCATCTGCTACTAGTCGTATCGAATTTCTATAATGTTCTTCATTGCGGCTCGTTTGTTGGAATGGTCTTCTGGAGAATATACTGCACCGACCAATTCGGCAATATCATTTTCGATTCCTTCGATTACCTACATTATAGAGGTAGGTACCGGTACGGTTCATCGGGTAGCAGCAATTTCATGAAATCACATTGCAGGTCACAAATATTACTCATCTATCGAATTTTCAAACAGGTCGTGTGAAGTCCACAGATAGGGGAACAGAGAAGTAAAGGCATCGACTAGATCTTTTGGAAATCAAGAAGTGAGGGGAGAATAAAAGTGCTGGTATGACCGACAATGACTGTCATCATCACGTGTTGGAATCAGACCCACAACAACCTCAGCACCAACGTGATAACAACAGAGACTCTTCAGTTGTCACACCGATAGTGTCGTCATCATCGAAATGTTTGGCTGTGAAGACATCAGCATCGCAGCAGAAAAGTTCACCACAATCTATTCGAAGAAATCTGAATTCAATTTTGATGCAAAATCAGTCCTCGTTTCAGGAAATACCTACCTCGACCAGAAAAAGGAAGAGGTCCGGCATCCAAGCCCTTATTCCACAATTGACGTTTTCAAATGATGCGAACACTACGCCTGTGAGAGGGGCAACGATTGCAGCAACTCCTACCCATTTCTCCAGAACAACCACACAGACAACAATAACATTGCAACACCAGCAGCAAAGGTCCGTTTCACCATTGACGTCACTCATTGACCAACTGGTACCAAACGGCAGAAATAAAACCTCACCAGCAAAGTCGAAACAAAATGGAAACGCTGCGAATTCTAGTCTTATTCAAGATGGCGACATGACCACTGCTGAAGACGATAGCATTGCATCCTTCAGTAGTGACTTGGATTCGGACACTGCTGTACCCGCAGCCAAACAACCACTTCCAACTTTCGCGTCGACGAACAGTCAAAGTCCTCCTTCCACTTGTTGGCAGCATTATGATTCCAATCGAGCCAGGGAGAGCAGATACACCACAAGTGCATCTGAGAAGCCAACGACGCAAACTTCTGTTAACGTCAAGATCGAGAATAATGCAACCTTGCCAAATCGGACCCATCTCGATGAGAACGAACGGCAATCGCCCACTACTGTAACTCCAAGCATGAGCCAACTTGACGATGATGATGGTGGTTCTAATCATGATGCTGGTGCCGCAGTAGCAGCATCCACGACAGTGCCAATAAGGATCCAACAGCATAATGTCACGGGAGCATCCGTCCACACTCCTGAATATAATCCAAGTGGCGGCGGCATGAAGCTGAATGCAAAGCAAGCACAGGCAGTACAAGCCATCAAGGACAAGAAGAATGTTTTCTTGACGGGTCCTGCCGGAACGGGCAAGAGCGTTGTCCTGAGAAAAGTCTTGAAATACTGTTCCGAAACCTACAGGCCTAACCAATGGGTGGCGGTGGCCCCAACGGGAGTCACTGCCATTGCGATCGGAGGACAAACGATCCATTCCTTTGCTGGCATTGGAATTCCAAGTGAACAAGAAGACTTCAACAAAGCGTGGCAAGGAGAAAAAAGACAAGCTTGGCGAGAACTCAAAATCATGGTGATGGAAGAGATTTCCATGATTGCTGGAGAATTCTTGGATCGTCTCGATAGCGTGGTGCGGCAAATAAGAGGTGTAGATGCACCGTTCGGTGGTATTCAAGTCTTGATTTGTGGTGACTTTTTGCAACTTCCACCCATTGCCGAGTCGATTGAAAACATGGCAAAGATGAGGGAGTTTGTTAACGATCCTGGGACTGTCCATGGCAATCGTGGATTTGCCTTTCAAAGCTACTTTTGGAAGGAAGCAAACTTGGAAACAATCCATTTGACGGAAGTCTTTCGACAGGACAATCCACAGTTTGTCAATGTCCTGAGTCGAATCCGAAGAGGCCTCGTTGGGGAGCCAGCAAAGTCTTTCTTGGCCCAATGTGCTCGCCCATTGACTCTTCCAAGCAAAGATATTGAACCCACTCGCCTATACTCCAAGAATGTGGATGTGAATAGAGAGAATATGTCCGAGTTGGTGCGCCTTGATGGAGACACTCATCAGTTCAAAGCCATCGACCATGTCATCGCAGCATCTTTTGCCAAGCCAGGAGCAGAAGAAAAGCTCTGGAATTCCGAATTCTTTCGACAAACTGTGGCTGAAGACCTTCTGAGATTGAAGGTTGGGGCCCAGGTAATGTTGATTAAAAACGATACTCTGAATAGACGAACCCTGGTGAATGGCTCCCGCGGAGTTGTTGTTGAGTTTACCAACGAGCAACCAGAGCCTCCGTTTAACATTCCCATTAGCATTCCTAAATCGAATTCTGATCAAGCAAGAAAAGAAGGCATCTACCCAAAGGTCAAATTCCAAAACGGCGAAACTAGAATTCTTGGAATGGCTGAGTTCACTTCAAGAATAGTGGGAGTCGGACAATGTATTCGAATTGCAGTTCCTTTGAAGCTTGCATGGGCTATTACGGTCCACAAGTCGCAGGGAATGACACTGGACTATGTCAAAATTGATCTTTCTGGTGTATTTTGTAAAGCTCAAGCCTATGTTGCGCTCAGTCGAGCCAAAGATGAAAAGTGCCTGGAGCTGCGAAACTTTTCGTCCCGCTTGGTCAAAGCAGATGCATGTGCACTAGCATTCTATGATCATCCCAACATTGAGATAAACAAATGGGATCACCGTGAAAAGTGGACCCGAGCAAAAGTGAAAGTTGAAAGTGTCAATAACGAGCCCCCTTCACAAGAAGAAACGAAGGAAAGTAAGAATCAAGCATGGGTTTAGCCACACTTTGCTTCCCCAAAATAGAGTCATCTACAAACCAGAACAAATACCACATTTAGTAACTAAAAACCAAGTCCACTTTGGTCATATCGCACTGTTGTTTTCATTTTATACCTTCATCTATATTTCTCATATACACTGTACTACCGAGTATCATTCCAATCTGGAAAGTATTATCCCCAAATATTTGTGCGCTAAAATCCCCCAAATTATGAAGGCATGTGATGTTCGAAGAACTCGCTAGAAGAAGCAAGAATTCGATTATTACAAAACGTTCGTATCTAAGTCACCCCTGCGAGGAAGATTTGTTTTTGGAAACCTGTAATACGGAATGCCTAAGTCGCAGGGGTGATGTGTCTACGCGCAAAACTACGGTTGTCTCTCGTAAAGACTTTGGAACGAGTTGAAGAACAACACTCGAGGACACTGTCCGAGATCAATGAAGAAAGCCACTTACTCAAGAATCGTCATTGCAAACGTTCATCAAGCGACTGCCTAATGTATTGAGAGTATGTCAGATGATGGGAATGGAAGTTTACAAGCAGCAGGGTCTGAACAAAGTTGCCAGTCGCAATCTGGATCCTTTCTTTCGCCGGAAGAGAAACTTGACACGCAGGTTACCTGTGATGTGTTATGTTCGCTGAGCGCTTCCTATCCACAACGATCAGCCGCTGCCGAAGAAACCTCTTCTGAAATCGGGGGAGAGAAGAGAAAGGCAAAGACATGTCCTAAGCAGCATCAGCTGCCTCTGTTTCTCAGCAGTAAGTATTATTTTATCTTGACATCACAGCTAGGATTGATTCAGGATCCAATGGAGATGCGTCACTAATCAAATAATTCGGTCATCTACAGAGACCTATCATATGATCGATCGCTGTGATCCCGAAATAGCCACTTGGTCCGCTAGCGGAGACAACTTTGTGGTGAAGAATGTTGAAAAGTTTGCAAGTGTAAGTTCAGACCTGATGTCTGTTGGATGTGCGATCATGTGGATCCCATCACACTGAACTGACCTACTGACCTTATCTTCATTGCGCAGAGCGTCCTTCCTCTATACTTCAAACACTCCAACTTTTCAAGTTTCGCACGGCAATTGAATGTAAGAGCACCCAAAGCGACTGTATTCTCGACAGTTGCAAGACAATGAATCTAACAGCTATTGAATACCCACGCCTCTCCAGTTTTACGGCTTTCGAAAGCTAAGAACAGATCCCATCTTGACATCTGATGTCGATCCAAGAACTGCATGCTATGTTAGATTCTACCATGACAAGTTTCAAAAGGACCGACCAGAGCTGCTGCACCAAATCAAGAGGGCTACCAAGTCTGATCAGCAGAACAAGGATGAAGTTGAGTCACTCAAGGGAGAAGTGTCCCAACTGAAGGAATGCATCGGGCAGATGAATCACCGAATAAACACGCTGACTAGTGAATACGAAAAGGTAGCCGCACTGCTAACAGAGTTTCTAACTCGTTCGCATCAGCAACAAATGAAACAACAGACGACCCAGCAACTTGGACCGGCAGCAGCTCCGCAAGCAGTTGCGACGAGGGGGCCTTGCAATGCTCCAGATCTGATGCATTCTCTATCGCAAGTAGCAGCAGCTAGTCTCCAAAGTCACCTGCAAGCATCTGTACCAAGTAGTAATGGAGGGTCGAAAAGAGATAATTCCGAACCAGCGCTCGGGCCATCGCCCTCACGGCAACGTACTGATTGATTATGATACAGCACGAAGCATGAGCTAGCAACATTTCCCCATGACGTAGCGACAGTTCTCCATAATGTAGCGAAATCTTTGAATGACATCAGCGCAATCTACAGTATAAAGTGTTTGCTTCGAACCCGAGTTGCGGGAGATGGAAAGGTGAACTCTGAAGTAACTTCGACAACACACCTACCTAGAATATTGCAGTAGAAGATATGAGATATGATATATATTTTATGGTTATAGGAAATCGTTTATTTACATGGTATGTACAATAGTACTGTAGTGCTTGCAAATGTATGCTAGATCAAAACTGGGGAATCGCGCGAAGACTGTTCAAAAGAATGTGAAGTCATTCCTGAGAGAAGTCAGGGATGTGTCCGCAATTGGATGGAAGGTCATCTGGCTCAATGATAGTCGTCTCGATTGAGAGGCAGCAGCAGATGCAGCGGCATGAACGGCTGCTGCTTCCACAGCATTCTTTGCTGCCAATACATCGTCGGATCCTGAGCTTTTCTCATTTGCGAAAAGGCGAAGAAGAGTCGACGCAGATGTTTCACTTCTCTGGTGAGCCATGCAACTGCGATCAAATAGTCCAGGAATAGGCATAGGCATAGGCATAGACATAGAGTGTCCTCTGAGTGGGGTAGGCTCCAAGTCTGCAACCATTTGGTTTTCTCCGTGGTATTGGGGGCCATTGGATGGCACGGCACATGGTGTGGGAATGTCGAGTGCTTTGGTTGGTGTAGCCGGCGCGTTCATGGTCATGACTCCTTGGAATTGCGATGTGGAGATGGGAAATTGGATGCTTTGTTCATCAATCATATTTGTCAAACCTTGTGTGGAAAGATTCTTTTTAGAGTTCCTTTTGGCAGCCTTGCTTTGGCTTCCAGCGGATTTCTTTGTTTTGATTGCATCGCGAAGTGCTTGGCCAACCTTTTCGCGAGCAAGCTTGTCGCTGACCTTGTACCAGCGTCTTGTTAGCAAATCTTTTCTGACAAATCCTCCTCCGGATTCTTCTGCTGCCACTCGAATATTCTTTACAATAGTGGAAACAATTCTTGTCTTTTGTCTCCTGCTCAAAACTTCCATGTAGGTACCAAGGTGGCCATCAATGATCATTCGAAACCGACGGTTGCCAACTAACAGAAGCATGTGAGATCCATGGTCTTATAGAGGGATTGCGATCTGAATTCTGGCCAGCCGGCACTTACCGTGATCATAGCACTCTTTTCCTCGTTGGCAGATGACATCCCACTTTCCAGGAACAAATTTCTCTGGCAAGAGATCCAACGTTTCCTCGTCAGCACCAAAGTTGGTGCTAGAAGCGATGGCTTCAGCTGGGATTCTTTGTTGCATCATTCTAAAATTTATGTCTGGGCTACTGGCGATTATTTGTATCACAGTTGCGTTTTATGTGAGCTGTGGGAACTTTTGGTTGCATAGCGTTTCGATGTTTTTGCAAAATGGCTCACAGGTAGATCTCTGCGAAGGGACACTTCTGCTCGCAATGTTCTTCTTTCATGACCTTTGGATTTTCGAACGCAAAGAAATGCTTTGGGTTCTTCGTTTCTAGAGTTCTCTGGTCATTTGATATTCTACACATATCGACTGGGTACTAAAATTCTGCTGACATCAGTGAAGGAATTCCGCCTCTGAAATGTCAATCTTGACCATTGTTCCTGATTTGACACGAGAGTTTTGTCAAAGATAGAGTCGTATTTGCACTCGCGTCATTCTGAATGTCAATTTTTAGTTCTCCAAAGCTTCATAGCGTTAAATGAGCGCCATGATGGTGCTGATTGGGATTTTTCGAGAACAGTCACGAAATGGTACCGGAAACGCTCCAGTAGCGCAAGAAGGAGCAAGATATTCCATTAGCGAACAGTCGTTCGCACAAATGGGGCTCTGAGGTTCCATCTCAGCTTAAATATAAGGGGGATGATTGTTCCTTTAGATGCAATGGCACCGGAAAAGAGAGCGCGATTTGCCCTTGAGCACAGTCGTTTGCGCAAATAAAAATCGGAATGGATGTAACCTACAGTATCGTACAGTATTTACTTCTTTGAAGCTGACCGCGGGGGTCATGCGAAACTTTTGGGAGAAGGTGACTGAGGTACCAGGTATACCCTACCACGTACCGGTACCGGTAGAAAGTTTGAGCATGTCGTTGAGATAGAAGGAACTCATTCATCAACATTTGCGCTTTGTTCACTTTTTAATTCCAGAAGAATGTCTACATGAACCAAATGACTGGAATCTTACTGGAGAAGACAACCGATCTCTTGACCGCAATGGCCATTCGAAACATTGAGTTTTAAGATACGGTACCAGGCACTACCCTCTATAGAAAAACCAGCACGTTACGTCCTACAGGCAGGAATTGCGGTACAGTAAAGTGCCACATACATTCCACTTCGTGGTGTTGAGCAGAAGCGGTACTAGTCTTCAATCTTCACACAAATAGCGCTGTGTTCAACTTTCCAGTCAGTGTAAATGTGTGTTCAACTTTCCAGTCAGTGTAAATATATTTTCAACTTCCAGCCAGTCAGTATGTACTGTTGATAGTTGATGGTCGATTGTTCATGAAAATAATTTCTACTACTCGTTCTAAGGTACTACTATAGTACCTTCAATGGTACCCCATAGAAAACGTTTGCCTCCTACAGTGACGCGTTCAATTTCGTGGTGTTGAGCAGAAGGAATAACTACAGTAGTCCTCAATGCATCTTCACAACAGTGGCGCTCTGTTCAACTTTCCAGTCAATATAAACGCGTTTTCATTTTCCAGCCAGTCGGTATGTACAATGTATCCGAGCTCCTGGCTGAAAGAGTCACTCGAAACATTGAGTTGTAAAGGGTACTACAGTACGGTACAGTTGTACCCTGTAGAAAACCTTAGCATCCGACTGCAGTGACACGTTCCATTTTCGTAGTGTTGAGCAGAAGGAATGTGAACAAGTAGCCTTTAATCTTCACAGCAGTGGCGCTCTGTTCAACTTTCCATTCAGTGTATAAACGTATGTTCAACTTCCGGCCAGTCAGTATATACCGGTACTACCTGTTGATAGTAGTAGAAGACATTGATGAACAATTTATAGTTCAGGTTCTTCCCAAACAGCCCCAACGGACTGAAGATACTTGTAGATTTCACTATTCTTCCCGTGGTACTGACCAGCCAAGAAGAGTGCGGTGCCCCCTTTCTCTCCAAACCGTCCATTGACATTGGCTCCTTTCTCGATCAGAAACTTGGCCGTTTCCACATGACCACTACGGCTAGCTTCGTGAAGGGGCAGCCATCCATTGCGATCCCGTGAGTGCACCAAATGCAACTGATCTTCCAAAAGGCCTACTAGTTCTGAAGTCTTCCCCTGCCCAGCATAGACATGAGCTGGTGATGACCGATGTTTGTTGATTCCAAAGTAATAGGTGTCTGGATGTTCCTCTCGGTAAATCTTGTCTTCTGGTGAATCTGGAATGATGTACGGCGGCAACACGCGATGTCCCTGTATGTATATATAAGTATATCGTACAAACGAAAAGGTAATGATGAGATTGATGCCCAAGTTCAATCCATCAAGGATTGCATGATTTGTTTGTTTGTTTGTTTGTTTGTGTTCGTACCTCAATCTCGTGTCCGCCAATGTCCTTATTCACCTTGTACTTTCCAACACTCTCCTGCTTATCCGCCTTTGCATCATACCCATGGTACTTTATAGAATGCCCAGTGGGTTCAAAGTGCACATGGATATTGGCAAAGTATTCCCCTTTCAAGGGAAAGGGTCGCCCATGCAAGACACTGTGACTTTCATACAAGACCATATCCCCCGGTGTCATGGTAATGTTAGTTGCCTTGCCGTCGTGACCAATAAACTCCATTGGCCATTCTTCTTCAAGATCTTGTGCAACATTGATGACGGCCGACATGACGTAGGGCAATCGATCCACGTGTGGATTCAAAATGGAACCTTTGGTGTAGATCCGAATCCCATACATGCTGCAATCTTCCAATTCTTGACCCGTCCACTCTTGAACCATTTTTCTCGTTTCGTCCCATATCGTTTTGGCTAGTCGAGGTCCTTCGCGTCCCCGAAGTCCCTTTTCTTCTTCTATGATTCGAACCAGATAGGATGGCGATGACCAATGATTGACAAAGGTATTCCCTGGTGGCCATTCTTCTTTTTCTTGATTCTTATTACTATTCTTGTCCTCGTGGTGGTTGCGTTCCCAAAATCCCTGAATCATTTGCCACAGACTATCCGGTACCCTCGTTTTGTGAAATCCTATCGTAGTATAATTGACCATGGAAGCTGGTTGCCGTAAATTCGTTTGAATTCGACTTTCTTCAAACTCGTCACACACACTTGCGTTGAAGGCATCCACACAGCCTTTTAGAAACGTTTGGTATTCCCTTTGTCGATCTCCTAGCGGTTGAATCGGTTGATCATGGAACATGACTGTAGGATGACTTGCTGGAGACGCTTGTTGTTGATGATTATTGTGTGGCAAGTGATCGTAATTGGAAGAAACCGTCTCGTGTTGCATAGGAAAACTAACGTCAACGCCGTACTCGGCTGCTTGGGCGACATGTAGAAGAAGGGCTGTTATTGTCAGCAGCATTCCTATTGGAATAGCTGAGAAAGATGACATTATACCTGGTACCGGTACGATAAAGCTAAATGAACGAATATCTTGATGTGGATGGCGAGTGATGTATATATCGATATTATTGCGGTCACTCACAAAATCTGGCACCCTTTCCGATTTGACCCTTTCGACTAATACAGAAAACAGACCGTACATTTTTCATTTGGCGACAGATGGGCGGCCAAACTACCAAAGTATACCGGTACACGTGTACCGGTACGTAACACGTGCCCCTCCCAATGACGCTACCAAATTACATAATGCACAAAGAATACGCCAGCTGCCTTTGTTTGTGCGGTCATCACAAAATTGGACATCCAACCATCTGCATTGGATCTTAGTTTTGTCGTGGGAAAACTTCTTCACAAAATCTATCATCTTCAATCTTCGCCATCTTCAATCAATCATGACGATGTTTCGACTGATTGTCAAGATCTTTAGCGTATCATCGCTGTTGTTGTTAGTGTCCTTGAAGGATGCCAGTGCTGCATTGCCACCCAATTTTGATGAGAAGCTAGTCAAGTCTCTCAGTTTGCTGACCGACTTTGTCTTTTTGCCAGATGGCCAGATGTTAATCAGCGAGAAGAATGGCAAGATCCACGTCATGGAAAACCCTTTGTCTCTCGACAGTGGGATTCGTACTGTCATGAACTTGGAGGGTGTTATCTGTAACAACGGAGAACGCGGTGTCAACAGCATGTTGGTGGATCCCAACTTCAACTCGAACCGATACGTTTATGTCTATTACACTTGGAACAAGAACAACTTTTGTGGAACTGACAGTGACCAAGCTCCCGTCAATCGTTTGTCTCGCTTTACGCTTGCCAACGACTTTAGTTTTGGATCGGAAAAGCATCTAGTGCAAACAGATCCCGTCGTCAAGCAATATCACAATGCCGGTGGTATCGTTTGGGGGAATGATGGGAACATTTGGTTGGTCACTGGTGATGGCGGTGAACGAGAACACAACTTCTACACCGCCGCTGGCCAACGTCCCGATAACTTGCGGGCCAAACTCATTCGGATCACACCCTCGGGTGGGATTCCTTCCGACAATCCCTTTCGGGGATCCAACTCGGCCCGTTGCAACGATACAGGCATGACATCGGAAGGCAAGGAATGTCAAGAAATCTATGCCCTCGGATTACGAAATCCATGGAGCATGAGCTCGGACCCTTATGTCACCGACAAGGTCCGTCTGCTCATTAATGACGTGGGAGGTTCCGCATGGGAAGAAGTCAATGAGGCTGGATCCGACCACCGGGCCGCCAACTATGGATTCCCTGTCCGAGAAGGTCCCTGCAAATTGGCCAAAACCACGGACTGTGACAATCAAGATGCCGAATTCACCTCTCCTTATTACTATTACATTCACCGGACCAATCCAGATCCCGAAAAGAAGGACGAAGGTGCCGGTACCGCAGGAGACTTTTTGCCACCCAATAGTGGATGGCCAGCCGAATTCAACGGATCCTACTTTTACGCCGATTTTGTCTTTAACGAAATCTACCGCCTCGTCGAGAATGGTGGCTCCGACTGCAAATCTTGCAACCCGCCCACGTCGCGATTTGATGCGGTTCCCTTTTTTCAGGTACCACGAATCACCCGCATCCATTTTGGTCCCGACGACAATGGCAAAAAGGCCATGTATTACATTTCCCATGGCGGCGATGGATTCAGTCCCGGCATTCGCAAGATCTTTTATGCAGGAAGCGCCAATCGAGTTCCCGTGGCCAAGATTGACGCCAATCCTACCTTTGGTGCCTTGCCACTAACTGTCACCTTTGATGGATCCAGCAGTACCGACCCAGATGGCGATTCGTTGTCGTACGAATGGGATTTGAATGGCAATGGGAACGTGGATAGCACCTCCTCCTCCACCACCTTTACCTTTGAAAATGCTGGCATGTACACTGGAACACTTACCGTCAAGGATGGTAATGGTGGAACGAGCACACAGACGATCCGGATCGATGCTGGTAATGTCCCTCCAGTTCCTCGAATTACAATGCCACTGGACGATACTCTCTTTTCCGTCGGCGACGTCCTTACCTTGGTGGGATCGGCCACGGACGAACAAGAGGGTGCCCTTCCCGATTCGGCATTGGAATGGTATGTCGACAAGTACCATGCCGATCATACCCATCCCTACCTCGCATGGACCTCTGGAAACAACATTGCCATTGATCCTGCCCCCATTCCGGAAGATTTCATGGCGGCTACCAATAGCTTTTTGCGAATCTACCTCAAGGTGGCGGATAGCACTGGATTGTCCGCAACCGTGACGCGAGACATTTATCCCAACAAGGTCACCATGGACTTTACGTCCGAACCATCTGGAATGACATTGATTCTAGATGGGTACGAAGTTACTACACCGTATACTGGCGTGAGCTGGGACAAGCATACATTGAAGCTAGAAGCACCCGATCAAGGACTGATGGTCTTTGATAGCTGGTCTGACGCAGCCGATCGAGTGCACAACATTCCTGTCGGAGGAGATGTCGGATCTAGCTTCCGTGCCATCTTTCGCGAATTGCAGTTGAACACCATTTTGACCAGTGCCAGTTCCGGAATCACTTCAGAGGATGGACCAGTCGCCATTGACGGTTTGAATGGTCTCACCATTGAACAACTTTCGAATGGGAAACTCATGATCATGAATACCATCAATTCCAGCATGATTTGGGAATCCAATCCCAGTTCGGTTACGGAGTCTACCTACCGTACCTTTTTGCAATCGGACGGTAACTTTATTACCCGCCGTACAACCGATGACGCCGTAGTGTGGAAATCGCAGAGTGAAGGTGGAAAGGTGGATTCCTCTTGTGGATCTGCCTTTTTGGCCATTGAAGCTACGGCTCAAATCTTGGGTGTCTATTGTGGAGCGGAAGACAATAGTTCTGGCAGTTTGTGGTCCATTGAGACTGGGCCCGTCCTTGCAGCCACGGGTGCTCCCACTCTTGCTACTCCAACCATGGAGCCAACAATCGAAACTTCACTCCCAACACGCATGCCAACGGGTGTTGGAGCAGATCCCACTGCGGCCCCAGCAGTTCCAATGGAACCAACTACCGATGTGGCGGATCCCACTGCGGCCCCAGCAGCTCCAATGGAACCAACTACCGATGGAGCCGATAATCCAACTACGGCTCCAGCAGCTCCAATGGAACCAACGACCGATGAAGTCGATGATCCCACTGCGGCTCCAGCAGCTCCAACCGGATCCGGTTCGGATCGTGGAATCGATGATTCTGCTGCAACGAGTGGTGTTCCCACTTTCTTTTTTGTGTCAATGATTGTCTTGTTTGGCATTGTGGCTGCACTCTAATAAGAGTGAAAGACAACAGTAGAAACCAAACAGAGAGAGAGAGAAGAGTCGGCATTAGATAACTCATAATATTAGAAACAAACCAGATGTTTTGAAGGACCCTCGTATTATTCGCAAATAAGTATGGTATTATAGACTCTCTATTATGACATGTTGAAATGTGGATGGGTTTCTACTGGTTGCTGATCTTCGTGCATCCATCCACTTGCTGCCCATCGTTCTCTCGTCGTGGTTGGCAAGACGGCATGTGGGAGAGTTACGGAATCAAAAAGCTATCAGAAAGCCCAAAAAACGGGGTCGTTAGAGTTCAAGTTCTGTTGGAATAAAGTCATGCTGGACATTGATGACGAAATTATACTCACCACTAGAGTGCCTCCCATTGGTTCGACGTCCAGTATTCTTTCTTCCACAGATTCTTGTGATTGCAAAAAGTCAGTGACGGCCGATTTGGGTTGCTCAATCAACCGGAAACGCTGTGCCAAGTCTTTGTTATTCATCAGCGTGTTTTGAACAAGTAGCTCGGATCCGCCAATGTACAAGGTTGGATGGGAATGAAATGGTTTGGAAATGTATTGTCTTCCTCCTTCTGATGCACTTGCATCATCAATGTACAAGGCACACAACCCGGAATTGGCGCCATTTGTTCCCGAATGCTGAGCATCCATGAAAACTGGTTGTTCTCTTCCACCTGCAGTAGTAGCCTTGAGCCATCCAATTTGCAAGTCTCCGCTCCCCCGTGCTCCCGTCTTGGCCACGGGGAGGGTCCTTCGCTCAAAGCAACGCAGACATCCACCATGTTGATTGGCATCCCAATCATCATTCAGGTAGATCAACCATGTCATGCTACGCCTGGTTGGTTTGGACCAGCCTGCCTTGCCCTTTAATTCTTCGTGATGCTCATCGACGTGACGCTTCAAAAAGGCTCCAGGACCAAATCTTGTGTAACTAATTTCGGTCGATCCATCGCCATACTTTGTAACCGAATCCCCCACGAGCATTTCCGGTCGGTTTAAATTGTAGGCCAAGTCCTCTCGTAGATTCTTCATTCGGTTCCCAAATCGCTCTCGAATCGTCCAGTCTCCAATTCCTTGATCCTTCCATTGTTGCAATTTTAGGACTGCCCGGTCTTTGGAGGGATCAAATTTGCCATTTGAGCCGTAAGATGCCAAGGCGTCTGTGGAAAATTTACTGTTGGCATGGAGATTGGTAGCATCATTTCGTAATTTGATAATCTCGTCCTGTGGTAAGAAGTTGGGAATCACTGCTATCCTTCCTTCCCCGATGGTATCGTAGACGGACTGTGAAAACAAGTGATCGTGATTCTTGGCATGCAACTGTGAATTGGTTTGTCCTCTACTACTGCCAATACAACTACTACTTTTTGATGATGATGATGGGACAAAAGCATTCACCAGCTGCTGGCTGCTAAGTATAGAGCCGGCAAGGGATGCTACAAGCAGAATCCGTTGTGGTGCCATGATGATTGTCATTGGTGGATGGTGAACAAAGATAGTGAGAATCTATGGAACCGATTGTATCTCATCATGTTTATCAAAGGTATCCTCTCAGTCGAAAATCCGCCTCTCTGGTAGTTGAAGTTTTGGATTTTGCTGTCTCGCGCGGTCGTACGAATGGTGTCAATCGGACGACCCATTGGATACGTCTGGTCCTACCCCGTCTAAATCAATCAATCAATAATCAATCAATCAATCAATCAATCAATCAAGAGTGAATGAATGCATCAATATTCAACATCGCAACAGTTACATAGTGTAGCATCACTTTGACTATAAAAAAGTGAACGGTTTGGCAAATGAATCTGGCATGAAGAAACATCTCTTTGGCGTGGTAGTTCGTTTACTTGCAACCTCGCCCTCAAACAATAATCGTCTGCTGTATGAACACGGATACCATGCCGGAAACTATGCCGATGTAGTGAAGCATACCGCACTCATTGGACTCCTCAAACACATGTCCAAGAAGAAGTCTCCTTTTTGCTACGTCGAAACACATTCCGGTGCTGGTGGATATGCCTTGGCTTCCAAGGAATCTCAGCAAATGGCAGAACATGAACAAGGGATTTCCACGTTTCTGAATGATCAAACGACGGATTCTGATTTGTTACATCCATCTATGGAAACCTTGCTCCGCATTATGGAGCAAGCATCATCTTCCAACGTGGATCTGATGGAAGGGGGGACGTTCTATCCTGGTTCTCCAATGATTGCTTCTGCACTTTGTCGGGAACAGGATTCACTGTTATTATGTGAAAAGGAAACAGAACAATTTCAATTGCTGCAAAGTCGGATGCTGATGGATGGCGAGGACAACCACAACAATGATCGAGTTATCTTGCTACAAGAGAATGGATACAAGGCTCTCAAACGCTTTGAAAATCTTCAATCCAACAAACGAGCCCTGATCTTTATTGATCCACCCTACCAAATGGGTTCCGATTCCGAACAGATTGCCTCCTTGGTGGGATTTTTGGGGAAGCATTGGCGATCGGCACGGGTGGCCATTTGGCACCCCGTTTCTAGGACGAATAGAGAGAGGGCCGATCGATTGTATGAGCTGGTCCAAAAGGCAGTACTTGGAGACAGCAGTAGTAGTAGTAGCAGTAGCAGTACCGAGTTGTTGGCCACAGAATTGTACACTGATCATGATGGTAATGATGAAGATGAAACAAATCCAAGTGTGGTGGGCACTGGAATGTTGCTGGTCAATCCACCGTTTGGAATCGACGAGGAATTAAAGGCCTTGTATTCGTCACTTGGTGATGCGCTGACTGGTGGTGGTGGGCACCCAAACATCATGATCAAACGACTGTAACCAAAGTACTTGTAAAGTTCACCATGAGCTCTGAATCCGGAAATGTGTTTTTTAAAAGTTTTTGTTTGATGCTTGATTCTTAGCTTAGTATACATTCTATCAGTCTATACTACTTTTACAACAAATCGTAAGTAAGTAGAAGGCTACGCCGGTCGGGCGGCAATAGAGTTGCGTCGGAGAGTTTGTAGTCTGGTGGGACTGATTCCGACAGGGTCTTTTTGGGATAAATTCTTGTGAATGCTGCTTGCCAAAAGTTCCCTTTCCAAATTTTTGTCACTGGTAGATTCCATCATGATTTCTTGGACTTCTTTTTCAAGCTTCTTTGCTTCTTGGATAGCCATTGCTTGCTGATATTGGCTAATCTTGAGACTCACTCGTGCCAGCGAGTCTTCTGCTGGCAAGTGCTGTCGTTGTTGTTTTTTGGCAGTACCAGTTTTAGGATATGTTTCCTTCTTGGTCATCTTGTTCCATTGATAGTGTTGTTCCTTGTCCACTTGATCCCAAAGTAGTTCAGTTCGTCGGATCCTCAACGGAGCCCAAAAGGATGGAAGTTCATCTTCTTTCTGGCATTCCTTGAGGATGCTGTTAACTTCTACATTGGTATAGAACATGATTTCAATGTCATCGTCGTCAAAGGTATAGACAGCTTCATGTTCGGCTGCTGCATCATTAAAGTGGATGTGCCTGGTACGTGTAGTGACAGCTTGATGATCCATGGTGTCAATTTTTTTTCCTTCTTCAGTGTGATATTGTATTTTGTGAATTTTGTGTGAGAAACGGGTGTATTTTGACCCGTTGTGATGGCATTATTTGTTGACGCGGGCTCGCTTCTCTATGATCTTGATGACTTTGCAGATTCGGTTTGACAAGACCCAATGAGAACATACATTTATCGTGTGCGAAAAGTTTCGGAGTCCCTTATGTGTCGCTTCAAGACAGAGATCAGGTCAAAATTGTACCGGCATCTGTACCTGTTCCAGTCTTCGCGTTGATAGATTTATCGGCGTATTTCTGGCCTTCGCCTATTGCCATAGTTTTTTGAGTCCCAAGAAGCTCCTTTGAGGACATAGTCGCTGTCTCTTTCCATCGAGGAGTCACTATTTGTCTTGGATAGTCAATATCTATGCCCTATTCTCACCGCACTGTACAGTACCAAGCTTGTCATCTTGATGCTCATAGCTACTGAAGCGTAGAAGTAGAACCGAGCCAGTGCATCAGAGAGACCAAAACGGTGTGCAAAAATTCCTTCAATTTATTTTAAGCAGCTCTAGTGTTCTGCATAAATTTGCTGGTTACCTTCGAACGGGGGGAGTTTGCAGGCAGAGCTTGCAACTGGATTATGCAAGGGTTGCATTGTCCTTTCAAATGGCATAGTTTTAGCTCAGATTTGACATTCAAATGTGATCTGAACATTCAGAAAACAAATTCAGATGGTGACGTCAAGATTTCAATTGATGGTTACCGTCATCATCGTGACTACAACGTTCAGAGAACAATTTCAGCCGGTGGCGTCAAGATTTCTATCCATATTTTTCTTCCCCGTCACATTCCCCAACAAATTGAATTTATATTTTGCAATGTAATGCAACACTTGTTTCATAATAATAAAAATCAAAATTCTTTGCATCATCAGACCCTATACAATTATGGACTTGTATTGTTGTTTTGCATGCTTGCCAACAATTGGGACAGATGAGAAATAACTTCAACTTTTAAACGCTGCCCTCAACTGTTAGACTATGTTCTAGGAAATTATATCTGAATACAAATTCTCCAAGTAGGCGGTCCAAAATGTACATTTTGCCTGGAAAGTAAATTGGAAAGTAAATGCATTCATGGTACTAGTATATGAAAGAACTATTTCACTGTTTCAACTAGACAACTCCAATTGATTCTTCACCATCTGCACGAAAGAAGTCAAAGTTCCCCCAATTGTCAGGAACTGCAGCTCTACCAATGCTCGGCACCACCTCTACCCTCTGAGATCAGCACGGATCCCTTGCTCCAACCAATCGTTTCATCGAGAAAAGAGGCTATTGAGCTGGATTGCAGGTTGAAACCAGGCAGCCAAATGGCATTTGACGCCAAAGCTCTCGTCTTTGAAACTTTATCAAATTTCTTCCCATGTAATATTACAGCCTTGCCAAGGACCTGCAAGAATGAAACTTAGGTATCTCCATTCTCCTGTGAAGGTATTCCACTCAACGACATTACTCTTGGATTTGGTGGGCCCAGCGCTCTCATCCTTCCACACCTTCAGCTTCTGTATGTAAATTTGAATACTGTATTAGTATTTGAGAGCAGAATTGGTTAGCAAAGAAAAATGTCTTGTTGGACCCCAATGTGTCACTCACTTGTCACCGCCAACTTCATGTTGTTCCTTCACGTATGACGTTTCTGGTTCAAGGCTTTATTATACCTTCTTCCCACTCTCTTGCTTGCCACCATCCACCAGAAAAAACATCCCCTGGAACGTTGCTACCCATCCTACTCCTAATAACAAGCTCATTGAAAATCCCTTGTATGCATTGAGTTGATGTTGACGATGGGTAATGATCGGCTGATGTAAGAACAAAAGTTTAGTGACATATCTTTTACAGGTTGAATCCCAAACTTCATATCTCCTCAGGGTCTATTGAAGGGCATCTTCAACAACTTCCAGATTTGAGGAGCATCTCCAAGGTCACTGGGAGGTGCGTCCATATTTTTCAATTTATGACAGCATTTGTCAATTGATGGAGGAGAGTTTACCGCCAATTTCAGAAGGTCACTCCACATTCCCTCCCAGTTACCTAAGCTTATTGTCCCCAACGGATTTGGCTCATGTCGCATGCCAATTCATTGTACGTGCTTTACACAAGCATATGCTATTTTATTATGGTGCATTGCTGCACGGTACGACTATACGGGATCCAAACAATAATTGCCCAGTGTGTTTGCTATTTTATTTTGGCGCTTCGAAGACCAACTTGGTGTTGCGGGTGTGGCTTTCGGAAATGGCGCGAACCTTTTTACTTAGGACAGATAGTATACAACCATTTTCGAAAAAAATTCAGCAACGGACAGACACAGTGGTAACACAGAACCAGTCCCATCGCAGCAGTCGTGGGGTCGATTCCTTCCGTTTGAATAGTTGGATTGCGAGCATGCCAGAAAATCTGAACTTGGCCAAGTTCAGATTTTCTGGCATCCTCTGTAGGAGGTATATCACCGTTATTTGTCATGCATGCATATACTCACTTAAGGACTTTCGGAAAAAAGAACATTAAAGTACAGTAAAAGTTTCATCGTGAACGGAGCTCCGAAATATATTCAAACTGTATGAGAAGTTGGAAGTTGCAACACATCCAACTGCGCCATCCTTTCTTTTTGCCTTCACACTTCCTTCAACATGGCAGAAGAAGGAAATTCAGCCCACTACATGATAACAATCAACCTCATTGAGAAGGTGGTTCATGCCTTCTACAGCATGGAATATAGAATCTTCTGAAGAGAAACTCTCTCGGATCATCAACCTTCCCGACGATCAAGAGATTGTGGCATCACTCTGTGGAATGTCCCTAGGTCATTTTCAAAAGACTCAACTCTCAAGATGTCCTTTTTTTCAACGTACCACTGCGTGTGCTGGTTTTGAAAAATAGTGGTGAATGAGGAATTGGATCATAATGATATCGAATGGAACGACTGTGATGCCAGTCTGGGCAAGCAACGGAAGAACCAACGACTGCCTTGTCCTGATTCAAGAACAGCCATTGAAGAAACATATTACTGGGATACTTCACCGCAACCTTGCTGCCTTGTGGCACCCCAAATCCCAAGAGAAGTGGACAAAAAGCTAGAAGGGGTTAAAGCATTTTGGCAACAAGGTGTGCTCCACGGTGTTTACGATTCACAGGCTTCATGTAGTTCAATGGAATCAGCTTCTTGTCAACAATAAACCGGCGGGTGGAATACATACAACGGGCGTTGGATAGTAATGCAGACCCGCCCGTTGTGGTATTGCCACGCATTTGTTCAGCCAGGAGAAACTTTCCATGTGGAGTCGCAAGGAGGAGCAAGGCGATCCTGCTTCTACAGAGGATCTCTTGAAGCAGATTATGCTCTACTAACTACCCTGAAGCAATCGATACTTTTCCACCCCATTGCAAGCCAAGAATGACAACGATCATGTTCAAGAGAAAGTACAAAGTGGTGTTTATGTTTCGACCATCGAATGGTAACCAAAATCCTCAATGGCGACCCTAAACTCCTTTTCCTTGCTTTGACAATCATGTATATTGCATCCAGCCTGTTGGAGATTCGTCAAGTTGACTCCTTGTCTGCCGGAGCCCCGATCTTGGACCTTTGAGAATGAGTGGCTTTTCTCGCTACCCTTATCTTGCTCGTGTGATTTACGATGCTGCTGGTTCCGTGACTGCTCCTGTCTTTCAGCTGGCTCTCAATCTCAATGGAATTACTGGTGTTCCTATTACTATTAAGAACCTGCAGTTCAACACTATTGTTGAGCAATCCCATGCTGCTATCAAACTGCAAACATCCCTGATAGCAACATCAAGACTGCCTCCAAAGTTATCGACACTGTCCTTGCCTTTGCTCAGCGTGCAATAGGTACCTCTGTCAACAAGTCTCTGGTTGCCTCTCCTGGTTCCATCTTCTTCCATCGTGACATGCTACTCAATGTTCCTGCCTTTCTTGACTTGGAACAAGCCTCTGACCTCGGGCCAACGCCAAGCTGTTGCAGATCACAACAATTTCACCAAGAACAAGCGCCGCCGTTACAAGAACTACAACATTGGTGATAAAGTTTTGATCCTGGCCCATAAGCCTCACAAAATGATGAGTGCTTGTGCTCCACACTATCACTCAAGTTTATGTTAATGATACTGCATGTGAGCCCAGTCAATGCTCTGGAGAGTCTTGATCTGGACAAAGATGATGATGTCTTTGTTGTTTTGGGAAGTGATACCATAGTGCATGAACTCCTAAGAGGTATGCAGGTCAGAACTCATCAAGAGACTAATAGACTTTTCCAGCCCAAACAACTGATGACCCAGGTAATGAACACCGATCATAGAGGGCAAACCAAGTTAGTCTGAGGACCAATCTTAGTGATACCTAAAGTATGACATGATAGTTCATGCGAATCTTTGTTATAACTATTGTATTACATTACCTCAAACTATTTTCAAGTGTTTGGGGCAGCAGTTGATTGAGTAATGGTGTTCTGGACAGTCATCTTCAGTTGCTGTCTTGAATTCCTCTATGCAAGTCTCAGTTGGCTAGGATGGTCAATTCCGTAGTAAGTTTGTGGGTGAATTGCTTGTATGTATCTATGGATCCTTAGTACCATATAGTTTGTTGTCACAATCTTCTCCTTTATTCCACTGGTTCATCGTCCAATGGTGTTCTGGACAGTCATCTTCAGTCCTTGTCTTGAAACTGTCTGTAAAAGTCTCAGTTGATTACAACAAATTGCTTCAACAGCTACAACGTACTGTATACACCCATGGGTCCTTCTAATGTGATTTGTACAATATACTAAGAATCTTTACTACAATCATCTGGTCGCTGTGTGAAAGAATGAAGAAAGTTCTTCCTTGTTGGCATAGTAGTCTACACGTCTTCTTCAGATTTCAAAACATCGTGAATGGAATCAGTCCATGGACATACAATCGTCAATAATGGTGGGAGACACTGTGAGCTTGGATCGGCGTCTCCGTTGACACAATCATTTTGTCGCTGTGTGAAAGAATGAAGAAAGTATTTCCTTGTTGGCATAGTAGTCTACACGTCTTCGTCAGATTTCAAAACATTGTGAATGGAATCAGTCCATGGACATACAATCGTCAATAATGGTGGGAGACACTGTGAGCTTGGATCGGCGTCTCTGTTGACACAATCATCTGGTCGCTGTGTGAAAGAATGAAGAAAGTATTGCCTTGTTGGCATAGTAGTCTACACGTCTTCGTCAGATTTCAAATCATCGTGAATGGAATCAAGTTATGTCCATGGACATACAATCGTCAATAATGGTGGGAGACACTGTGAGCTTGGATCGGCGTCTCTGTTGACACAATCATTTTGTCGCTGTGTGAAAGAATGAAGAAAGCTTTTCCTTGTTGGCATAGTAGTCTACGCGTCTTCGTCAGATTTCAAAACATTGTGAATGGGATCAGCTCACGTTTTAGGTGACTGTCTGCTTCATCTTGTCAAAATCTTCCAAGGAACAAAAGTCTCCTGTGTTTGTTGTGAGCCATTCAGAGAAGACATTGGCATATTGTTGAGTAACTCTTTCTTGCATGGCGTCCAGGGGCTCCAAAGCCGAACATCAGAACTACTGGTTCTTGGTTGGCCTTGAGAGGTCATTTCAAAGATCAAAGAGGCTAATGCGTCCGTATCACTTCAGTTGTCAATATACATACTGTCACGATGAATGTTATATCAACTTTTCAACTATTTTCTTGCTGTGGGTGATGAATTCATTGGCCGCAAGGCTCACCATCGTGAGCAAAAAATATTAGTGTGTCGTGATGGAAATTTTTTTGTCAACGCAAATATTATAGCAGACGATATCCAAAAGGGGGTCAGTACATTTGACACTGTAAATTAATTTATAGTAGCGCATCCATCCCTACTGTTTCCCCAAATATAAAAAGCCATCTATGGGGACCTGTTCCCAATGGTTGAGTAAGAAAGTGAACCTTTTTTGCATGTTGAACATATGATTTGGGGCATTTTGATGCCGCACTTTAGATGTGGCAAGACAGTCTTGGAGGTGAAAGGTTGGAATAGGCAGGTTACGATATGCAGTTCAGTTTCGACTGTAATGGTAGACTGTACATGTCTAATATTTTTATGGCTAGTTGTGTTTCGAATTCGAAATTTGACTTTATCCAACGTCGGCAATGACGATTGCATTTTTCATCTATTGGGTAACAACAATTTGAGTTCAGAATTTTATTGGGATAAAAAATTGCATTTCGTATGGACTATATGATTCCTTTTGATGCTGCAATAAAATTGGGGTGTGCGTTTACAATTTTATTGTAGGATTTTTGACCAGCAACCCCCAAAGTGGCACTTTTGGTCTCTCTGATGTGAGCATTTAGCGAGAAGAAGAAAGCAATTGCATTCCATGCTTACTGTATAGCAGGCATTTGTAGTTGCATCTGACCCAATGCCGCGCGTAAACACAAGTAGGGCACTGCACGATGCGCCAGGAACCAAGCATCCACTGCACCGAAAAAGAGTTGACCTTTATTACTGTAGCAACCACCACCACCACAGGAATCCTCTTTTAACTACCAATATCATTGAGTGGCTTAGTTCTGCAGGTAGCTCTCAGCAGTGTCATCCAGCATTGCATTGGTCAACCGTTTGGATTATAATGTCTAAGGTGGAAGATAAGCAGTCCCTAATAGATTCCTTCTCTCAATTCAATATGTACCTAACGGGATAAAAGATGAAGATAATATGTTGATCGAACGAGTCGAGTCAGGAGAAAGAGTAACTTGCTTGATAAACTTTACTTTTCATCATGATCCGTGCATGTGATGAAAAGGTTTATTCTGGTTCGATCTAATCTTACAGATGGTGACATGAGAAGATTTTTGCAAGTGTTTTATTTTGCATTCTTCCATTTCGCATAACCCGTCTTTGCCTTGGACTGTCGCCTCCAACTTGAACACCGCAATTCCGCCATCCAATCCGTCACCAGAATATTTTTCACAGAGTTTTCACGCGTCTCGTCGTGCCCCGTTTTTTAATTAAATTTAGTTAGGGAGAGACGACTGACTGACTCAACTACATGTTCATCACCTGTCTACCAGATTCAATATGATGCTGCCTTTCATCGACATCGAACAACATGTACCGGTACTCATGCATCGAGGTCATTTGTTGAAACCGAGTGTGTATTGCCATAGAGTAGAACGGATGAAAGCTTCTCCAACAAGACTGAATTGTCATCACCCTTTTGAGTTCGCAAGTGGCGTTCTCGTTTCAATGTTGAATTCGGATTGTGAACACACACAAAAAGACACAACTGATTATCACATTCCGTTTACAAAACATTGCAACATATATCACGACCAACAATAACGAAACATGGACTTTGTGGAACACGATGACGAATACTTTGATTTCGTCTATCACGAACAACCTTCGCTGGAAACCATTCCTGAATCCTCATCGTGCCATCATTCGTCGTCTTACAACCACTATCATCATTACCATAATCATCACCACAAGTATTGGACGAGGGTCAGATTTCTCAAATATCTATCAATACTGATTCTACAATATGCTGTTCTATCGGTGGTCTTTCAATATCAATGGAACCTTCAACACCCACCGACACTACCTCCAGAGTATTACCAACTAGATGATGACGCTTACATGCATAAATCCTTTCTTCAGGCTTCCAAACCTCCAGAAGCAACCTTGGTAACTAGTGACGACAGCAAGAAATCCATCATTACAACGATTGATGGCACTGACACGAGTAGTGGTAGTCATCTATTGAGCATCAGCACCACCTCAGCCAAGAATGGCACCACCGAGCGAGAAATGGTTCCTAATGAAGCTGATAATTCCCTCCCTAGCAACGACTCAGTATCTGACGTTGGTGGCGACGGAAATGAAACCTTGGTCCACGAGGAACCACCGCAAGAAGAAGGCCAACTGAGGATGGAAACGGCAAAACCCACCGCCAAGGTCACCCAACCTACTGTCCATGAAAACCCACAGCAAAAAGAAGCCCAATTGACGATAGAAACGGCAAAACCCACCGCCAAGGTCATCCAACCTACTGTCCATGAAAACCCGCCGCAAAAAGAAGCCCAATTGACGATAGAAACGGCAAAACCCACCGCCAAGGTCATCCAACCTACTGTTCCGTTGAATTTGCTTCCCAGGACAGAACTCCATTTCTATGATTACTTTTCCGACTCCTGGCTCATTACCAAGGACAACTTTCTTCAACTGAATACAACTGCCATGGGCCATCCGGAACAAGCTTGCTTCCAAGCCATTCGAAAACCTAATTTTTACATCCACCCGACCTCAAAAATGTTTGTGGATTGGACTGATTTCATGGTGGAGCACATGTCCAAATGGTGGGGAGTCTTCCGGATTGCCCGGGATGACGATCCAACCATGTTTAAGCACGTCGTTGACATCTTGGACAACTACCTAATGAAGCAATCTTCCGCTTACAATGACGAGCTTGACACCAGTCACGAAGAAATTTCCTCCCTTCCGCCCCTTCACCGCACATTGGCCATGATTGCCTTTCGAGAATACCAAACCGGATTGCATCCTGCACGAGGTCCCATACTATCTTCTCATGTGCTCGCAGCCACGTTGGCCTCGTTGATTCCAATGGGATTTGGACGCATCCTCATGGTGGGATATGATCCCGATGACCGAACCCGTGTCTTTGAAGCCTTGGAGATAATCGAGGCATCCTACAAGGGGGCTGCAATGAAGCATCCCAAACATTCCAACTTTTTTTCCTTGACCTTGGGTTCTACCGAGTTTGCCTATGCCAAGATCCCCAAAGAACATTGGGTCAAGACGCGTGCGTACGACTCCAATGTTCCGCGAGGAGCCTTGCGTGGCGTCCAGTTGGCTGTTCAAGGGAACCTGACCGAGTTGGAGGCACATGGTACTACAATTGAAGAATGGTTGGGCATGAAGTACGATGCATCGTATTGGAAGTATTTTTACTTGACCGAACCAGATACAATCTTGCACACGAAGCAAGAGCTCTTGCCATCGATGCGCGAAGGATTGGATCGGGGATTGTCCTTTTTCCCGCACCGACTCCAACCCATTCCGCACGAACACGATCTGCCAGTTGATAAGATAGCATTGGATCGTCGTCTTGATGGTCGGGATCGTCCCAGTTGGGAATTGCCTTACGACGAGCAGCAAGAATCGAAGCATCATGACAATGAGAACAGCCATCCAAGTCGGAAACACTTTTCAGACCGCTATGCGGGCATGTACCTTCCAGCCAATGTCCCACCATTTTCCAACATTACCATTCTGGATTCAAAGAACAAACCAGAAGAGTATCATTGTTGTGACGGTGGAAAGGGTTGGCCCGGACGGTCCGAAGAATTTGGGACTGACCAAAATCCATGCAACGGCAAATCCTGGTGGGCCTGTGGCTTTGTGGGCGAGGGTCGACAGTCCAAATCTGCTGACCGAGTACAAGAACTTCACAAACGATTGATTCCATACCCGCTCATGTCGTTGGAACAAGGCACGGGTGTCATTTTTGGTCCAACCAATGCCGGACGACGATGTTTCCCATCCCACTCACCCTGTCCCAATCGAGAGGTGCATGTCCTTCCCGCTTCATGATAGTGTGTATTATTTTATTGAACCATTGAAGAATGGTGGAAGATATATTATTGATAACATTGCGGATAGATCATACCTATATTGGCAACAACAGATCTTATATATACCTCTAGCGTAGTAGTGTAGAGTGTTGTAAAGTAATCGGTTTCTGTGATTTTTTAGGGAGATTATTTGGTGCGTTTTGCGGGTTTTGATGCTTTTTTTGTGGGTCATTATCAGGTGGTACGGAAGCTGTACTTTCAACTTTCATTTGTATGGCAGAGTGGACAAATTTGGGGATTTTCCGAGCTCTTCTGTTTTTACGTCAGTTCGGTACCGTACAGTACTGTACCAGCTACCGGTACCGCGGGAAGGTGTTTTACTTACAGGCTGTTTAAAATCTCCCGAATTCTTTCGACGCGCGCAGGAAGAAAACACGAATGAATGAATAACTGGATCACCCAGGACAAAGAGTTTTCTTTTGTTTCGTCAAGAGGGCATAATCAATAATCAATCAATTCATCAATCAATCATCAATCAAATATTCAATCAAATATTCAATCAATCGTTCCAGCAGAGACACCAGGCCATTCCAATCGATCATTGCAATATAGTCAACAATCACAAGAATGACAACAGCACGACGAAAGCTCTCATTTCCAAAGAGGAGAATGTCAATAACCGAAATCCGATCATTGAACAGTAATGATCTGATTCTTTCCAGCAAGTGGTGTCTCGCCTTTACTGCCATTTTCTTGCTGTATGGACTGCCCTTTGTGGCAACATGTGTATCAGCATTTGGATTGGTGCTCTTTCCCTTTCAAACAAAGTCGTTCTACCATTTATTGAAGGATTTGAGAAAGTGGGTTTTACTGTCAGCCTTTGCCTTTGTGGCCAGTTTCAAATCCTACGTGATCCTCGAGTTGGCCTCCAAGAAGACGGAACACGAGTCTTATTCCTACTTTCTTTGGCTCTCTGGAACTGCCATTCACACAGTGGCTGGAGGGTTCCTCGCGTATTGTCTTTACACCGACTATCTCAAAGAACCAGAGAATGCTCAATCCACCATTCAGTTTCTAGAAGTTCGTGTCCACATTTTAAAGGGCCGCAATTTGGTTGCCAAGGACCACAACATTTTTGGAAAACCTACGACTTCGGATCCCTATGTACGAGTGTTGCACAACAACCACTACGTGGGTGAGACAGCCATTGTTTGGAAGACCCTCAACCCGACCTGGAAGGAGGAACGATTCATTTTGCCCGTGGTCCACAAGACACTGATTCGCTGCAACGAACTGGAATCGGTCCTCATGGATCGTGACAAATTTAGCAAGGATGACAATATGGGCACCGTCATGGTTCCGATTCCCCAAAATCTAAACATGAAGGTTTGCCAATGGTACAAGGTTGGCACAGGACAGCCTGGATCACCCAATTATTGTCCTGATCCAACGGGAGAATTACAAGTGGAAGTAGAAGTCCGTCAACTCTTGTCGAAGCGTTTCAAGCGACAATTGCATCGCAAATCATCGGATTCATTTTCATTATCGTCGTCGTCGAGTGGCCGCAACTTGTTTGTTGCATCACCCAAAAAGCAAAGAAAACAACAACCACCACGAAATAACATACCAATGGAACTTGCAAAATCCATAAAAAGGCTAGATATCACGCTGGAGGATGATGATCTGGCTTCCCAGGCGACGGACGAGATTCATTCACTCGATAACTCATCGTCGTCTCCTGACAGGACCACGACGATACAACGCCGCAAAGCGTTCTTGTCACCATCCAGTGCTGCGGATATTAGTGATGTGGATTCCAGCAGGAAAAAGAAAATCAAAAGGCGCTTGTCCTCGGGACTCAAGAAATTACCCCGTATCAGCAGTTTGTCGCCCAAACGCAATAGCAACCGAAAAGCCAGCGCCATGAATAAGATACCACGAAAATTGCAATAGGGACTAAAAAATGGGGCGGATAATTGCCTTCATGACAGCAATAGAATGATAATAGATGATATATAATAATGAACGAGTATTTTATACATGACGGATTAGAGATAATGAGAATGATAAAGTGACTTTAGATACGAAGTTTGGAGAAATCGCGAAACGGAAACCATCAGAACAAAACACCACATCATCATTATCATCTTTGCTACTACCGCATCACTGCAGAATAACAGGTACTGTTAATAAGATGAGATCAGCTTGTGCTCTCAAGGTTCACCGGATACACAGTCTTCAATTGTTCCAAATACAGCAGAGACATCATGTAAGACGGCTACTGTCTCAATTGACTTCAGAGGAAGCGGGTCGTCGAGCCAGTCAACTGGCACAAGAATCATTGTTGTCATCCTCCTCATCCACAACAACAACGTCAACAACACCAAGTCATCATCTCAATACCTTGTTGGCCCATGCCGGTATGGAATCCAACATGCACAATGCTCCCATGTCCCCTCCACTCCATCTAGCTACCACGCACACTAGACCGGCAGATGGTGTATATCTCACAGAGGATTCCAAATACGGTCGCATGGACAATGCCACCCGATTGCTTTTGGAAAAGACGGTATTTGAGATGGAAACTATGGGATTGATTAATAATGCTAATAATTTGGATGAGGATGATCATGATGGTGATATCACACCAGCGAGTACAATTCCTCCTTCGTTTGCGTTTTCGTCGGGCATGATGGCAGTGACAGCACTCATTCTGGCGCATACTGGACCCATTACTGTCATTCTTCCAGACGATGTCTATCATGGAGTTCCTACCGTCTTGAACAATGTCTTTCTAAGGCATAATGTCACGATTGTCAAAGTGGACATGATGGATGTCAACAGTGTGATTGAAGCAGTCGAAGAAGAAACGAAGGATAAGAAGGATATCATTGTTTGGATGGAAACCCCATCCAATCCCTTGTGCAAGGTTTTGGACATTGCATCAATATGTCAACGATTGGATCCAATCAAGAAGAAAGATTCGGAATCCAATATTACTACAGTTGTGGATGGGACCATGGTCTCACCAATCATTACTCGACCACTAGAGGTATGTTTTGCTTTTTTTTCTTTCAGCTCCAATCTAATGTGTTTGCTGATTGGAGGAAGGGCACTTGTATGATTGATTCGCATTCACTCTCTCACGCCAATTTCCTAATTTGCTCTTTTTACTATCTAGTTGGGCGCGGATGTGTCCATGCACTCTGGAACCAAGTATCTAGCGGGACATTCCGATGCCCTCTTGGGCGTGCTGACCACGTCACCTGAAACCCCACGCGGCAAGGAACTGGCGCCAATCTTGAGATCGGTACTCGTCGATGCCGGAGGGGTGGCCTCGGCCATGGATTCTTGGTTGACCCTACGAGGCCTTCGCACCCTGCACATTCGAGTGGAACGACAGAGTCAAACGGCCATGGCGGTGGCGCAATTCTTGGACCAACACGAATCGGTAGCAGCCGTCCATTACCCTGGTTTGCCATCGCATCCCAACCATGATGTGGCCCAGAAGCAAATGAAGAATGGTATGTTTGGTGGAGTATTGAGTTTGGAAATGAAGGATCAAGTGGAAGCTACGGCGTTTGCAGCTGCCTTACAAACCATTCAACGAGCCACGAGTTTGGGAGGAACCGAAACGCTGATGGAACATCGTGCGAGTATTGAACCACCGGGACGAGTGACGAGTCCACCAGGGTTGCTACGAATGAGTTGTGGACTGGAAGACGAAGCAGACATCATTCGTGATCTTGATCGAGCCATTGCGATTGCCAAGCAAGTGACATCTGTATGAATGAATGAATGACGATTAGGGAGCACTATCCAAATGAGTTGTACGCGCCTCAGACTCTTGTGCAGGAGTAGACAAAATTTTAGCTAGCGGAATTTTATTGTATTAATAGTAGCGCTCAATGATGACCATTGTTGTTATTCTGAAAACCGTTCCAAGTGGGCCTTTACTTGTTCGACCGTCAGTGGAATCCAAATTTCATTCCGTCGGAGTGACGGTATGGTAAAGGGGGGGTTGAATTGCCATAGTAAATAGTTTTTCATGGCATCTTCTCTTGCGATATCCAGTCCATCTTCTTGCAACTGTTCGACTAGTGATGTCACCTTAGAATTGGCCACTTCTTCCGACATGCTACCACTAAACGTATGAACGGCACCTGTTTCAGGAGGGACTTCTTTGATCCGAACTCGAGAATCGGATGGTTTTGGAATCTTGTCCATGGAATCAAATTCCGATGGAAGATAAAATTGCATGGTACGTTCTGACGAATTGATGTTATCCTTGGAGTAGTTTGTGGAAACCACCGGAGCCGTCATGGAAATTTGCGTGCCACTACTACTGCTATTGGCATTAGAAGTAGTAGTAGTAGTAGTGGCCACAGGAGCTGTCATGGCAATGCTTTTGGATCCTTCATTTTGCGGAGGCCCACCCACACCAATATATCCCGCCAACAATCGAAAGGCATTGTTTTCTTTGGAGTTATCCGTCTCGATGGCATACCGGGTGGCGTACTTGCGGATTTCGTATTCTGTGGAGCATGGTTTCTTGGAGTGTTTGGACCGAAGGAATAAGGTTTCATAAACTGGCTCTGCAACCCCCGTCTTTCCAAAGACCATTCCCATCTTGTTTTAGTCTTGTTTTGTCTTGGTTGATGCTTGTAACTACTGTATTTGTCCCCGTTGGATTGGTTTTGTTGTCTCAGGTCGTGTGAGCTGATTTGAAGGAGCGCAATCGCGATGAAATCGTGACGATTGATTCTTCACACCTTCAGATTTTCAGAGCTCATAGTAGCTACCGGTATGAGAGCTAAAGCGTCTGCAGGTCTGACTGCCAGCCGCCATGTCGAACGAGGCGAATGGCAGTCATTATTGCTGGGATAGAAGGTGGTACTATTTCAATAGCAGTAATAACAACGGATAACCGGTGAATATCCTATTTAGGTAAAAAATTACGACTCCAAGATCAAACATTTAATTAGCAGTCGCGATTCGACGCTGGGGCTTTTTAATTTTATAGTATGTACTTAAGGCATTCTGATCATATCTTGCTGAGCATAAAAAAAAGGCGAAACCTGAAAAATTTACGATCTCCGAAAGAAGGGAAATCAAATCAAATCGGTTCCGCGACACAATACTGCACTGATACTTTCATCTACTATAGTGTATTCCACCTAACAATAACGTACATATTTCAAAGATGGCAACCACATTGTCACCTACTCGATCTCCTACTCGAGAATTCAATCATCGCCGTCGCCTATCCATTGACGCAGAAGATGAACTCTTCAAATCACTGAAAGGATTGCACGAACAAAACAATAGCGGTCGCGCCAACCGAAGATCAGTTGATGTGACTCGAGCTGCTTCTCCAGGAAACCACAGTGGTCGAATGAATAGAAGGTCAGTTGACGGAGCTGCCTCTCCTGGGAATCACAACGGCCGCATGAAACGTAGATCCGTTGATGTAACGAGAGCGGCTTCTCCTGGAAACCACAGCGGTCGAATGAACAGAAGGTCAGTTGACGGAGCTGCATCTCCAGGAGCCTTGCGTCGGCAACGAAGAGCCTCACTTACGAACGGGAGAAATGGTACAAAAAATAGCAACATATCGCCAAGGAGGAACAATAGCGGTCGCAGAAACGCGAGAAGCAATACTCCTCCTGCTCCTCCTGGAGACGCGTCTGATAGTGCTCTAAACACTCAGCCACTGAGTCTGAATAGGCAAACCTCTGGTGGGTCTTTGCGAACAGCAGCAAGACATCGACGAGCAAGTATAGGAGTTGAAGAGGTTCCAAGGAGGAACAATAGCAATCGCTCTGCTCGGCGTTCGGCTGCTCAAGCGGAAAAGGGAAGAACCAAGCAGCGCTCTGCCAGTCCCAAACCAGCCGCGACTGGTGCTCCAGTAGTGCGACGATCTTTCAATCGTAGCCGAACAAGCAGCAGCGATTCAATCCCATCCAGCCCCAAGAGCGGCGGCAGAAATGTATACCCAACAGCTGCTCCGTCTCCTTGTCGAAGCCCAGGAGGACGTCAGGAAAAGACTGAAATGGCAATGCGAGCCAACTTGCTCAAGAAAACAATCAAGGCTCCCAATTTCGACAGCAGCGCTGCTTCATGGGATCCTTTTGATGATGACCATGATGACGATTCATTCTTTGAAAAGCCAAACAGTGATCGAACTGCCGACACTACCAAGCCCACCAGCGAACGCACGGCGCAGTCGTCGGAGCGACTGGAAAGCTCGGATCTGAACAGTTTGCTTCAGAAATTGCGAGATCCAGTCGAGATGGACAAATGGAAGGCCCAAAAGGAACAGTTGTCTGCCAGACCAGTATCAGGTTTGGAGCATGAAAAGGTATCCGAAAAGGTTAGCAGTCGCAATCTGAAATCCTTTCTCGGTCTATCGAAACGAGGATATGGCGCACAAGCCAATTTGGATGGCCTTTCAGTGGTTTAATAGAGAAGTGCAAGTGCTGCGGGGTCCGATTGTGTGGACCTTCCAATTCTTGCTGTTCCTATTATTTATCCACGACGCATAAACACACAAACACACACACGATTCGTCAACGCTATTGACGAGCGCACAGCATCATTTTGCATTTCAAAAGTCTTATAATTTGTATGTCTTGTATACGAGTATGGTACTCTTACATTTGTATCTAGCATGTCATTGCTCTGGAACTACAGTCTCTCGTATGTTGTGAATTTTCCGTAGGAGATGAGTTTCCCATGAGTTTTCATTTGTTCAGAACAGAGTGTCGTGCCCTGCTACCTGAGGTTACTTGAAGCACTGATGATATCTATGCTCTATATGGGCGTCTTTCGCATCTATTTCTTTTTCTTCTTGCCACTGTCCTTCTTATCTTGTTTCCCAACCTTTTGGACTCCAATTTCCCGTACACGTACCTTCAACAGAGGTGGTCCCGCTAGAGTACCTGGCAATAATCCACTCCCCTTGCCCTTTTGAACGGGAAGAGATGCCAATCTGGATAAAAATTGCATACTGGGATCGTCAATGACTTGACCAATCACTCGTCGTTTGCCGTCAAAGGCAGGAGTGGCATCCGCAGTGATGGTGAAGGCACTTTCGTAGGCTTCATCAATCGGCGAGACACCGCTGCTTATTCCGCCGTAACCAATGCCTTTGTACGGAATCGAAATCAGACCTGCAACATTGTGAGGGCGTGTAGAACCCTCACTAATGGCTGCTGGTCGATCTTGTGGTACAAAGTTTGCCCCTGCCGTTCGGACACCACGGCTCTTGGCATATGCCTTGGCTTGGGATGAAACTCCAAAGTCGACTGCCTTGCCGGAATAAATCGTTGGTACAGATCCACTCTCGGTCAAACTGACTGGACCATACTCCAAACCAATGGAGTTCCGAAGCGTTTCCTCGTCCATGCTGCTAATGCCTCGCGTCAAAAAGAGAAGCATTTGCTTGGTGGACTGTGGACAATCCTCTCCATACAATCCAAATCGAATAAAGCCAGCTTCTTCTCTTCGTTCCCCAACGTCAATTATCATTTGAACCACATGAGTAATCTTGTTGGTGACCTTCGGGATGGGCTGACCTGTCGGAGCTTCACCTGCTAGTGTACCATCTTGTTGGCACCGAACATCTTCAGGATCGCATCGTTGTTCCGCAGCCGCTATCGCTGGCCCTGGTGAAAGGGCAATTGGAGTAGATAGCAATGCTGCAGTAACTGCACCTTGAAGAACTTCTCTTCTTGACGTTGGCGCTGATATTATTCTCTCATCCTCATTGGCTGGAACGATGATCTTGGCGTGAATCGCAGAGTCTCCTGCTCGTCCTTGTGGATGGAAAATGGATTGACTGCCTACTTGGTGATGATTCACCAGTGCCGTGGTGGTCCAAACCAAAGTTTGCCAAAGAAAGCAAATGATAAAGCTAGACCGATATTTCATCTTTTAGCATTGAGAATTCAGATTACTGACTGTAATGAGCGATGAGCTACAATGCTACCGGTATACAGTGAGTGGATCATTTTATGAGTGACGTTTCCCGTGGCACACTACCATCCGTGACCAAAGTGGATCCCGTTTAATTTGCGGATCGTGAGAAGGCTGTCAATTTGGCGAAAGTCGAGAAGAGTTGGAATGTTAGCTTCAAATCGTTTTGGTGTATGCTTCGAAGCAGCGATAGAATAATGTAGCTTAAAAAGGTGGTTTGTTGATAATACTGTATGTTGTTATAAATTGTATGTGTTTATGATTCTAAAAGTATGCTGCTTGTATATGCAATGCGTGGTGAAGTGTGAACAGGACGAGGCAGGTGGGTGGTGCAGAAGTGTAGGCAACTCATGCTGATCGAGTCACACCATTGAGTATGCGATAGACGGAGGACTTTTTGCCTTGAAATTGCTCGGCAACATCCACTGCCTTTTGTCCTCCCTTATTCTTTAAGTGGGCATCCACATCTTGGTCCAACAGGTAGAGAACCATGTCAAGGTGGCCAAATCGAGCAGCTTCCATTAGGCAAGTCCAACCCAAAGAGTCTGGAGCCTTGACAAGTTCGGAAGAACCATGCTTGGCAACATATTCCTTCAATTCTTCGAGTCTTCCATTGGCAGCTAGAGAGTGGGCAAAATTGCGAGTAATCTCTTCTTGAGCTCCTCGAAGACGTTGTTGGGGAGCATCGAATTGGGCTCCCTTGCTGATGAGGAACTTAACAATATCAGAATCTGGACCATTGAATCTGTCAGCCTCAAATAGTGGGGTGTGTCCTTCATTTGATTTGGGGTTAAGCTTGGCGCCCTTGGAGATGAGGTAGTCTGCCAATTCTGTAGAACCGCTTCGGCTGGCTTCGTGCATCAGTGACCAACCGTAGTTGTCGACATCGTTGATGAGGTCTGGATAGCTTTCCAAAAGATCCTTCAAGTCGTCGAGTCTTCCAGCTTGTGCCAATTGATGCGGAAGGTATACATAGGAAGTTTCTTCTTCCGTAGAATTTGTGGTGGAGGAAACGACTGAAGAGTCGTAGTCTTCTGCTCCAACAACCACCATTTCTGGCTGTTTCATTGTCCTGAGGCGGGCATCCATTATGGAGCTTGCGTTGGTAGTGGCGATGGTAGCAAATATTTGCAAGAGTGTGAATAGTAGAGTAGATTTCATCGTGGTGTTTGTGTTTGTGTTTGTGTGGTTTGATGTTTTGTGTTTTTCACTTTTTGATTTTGTGATGGGATCAGATTTCCCAGTCGGTCGTAAATTGGCATGCCGGGGGACCTCCATGAAGATTTCATACCCAGTTGTTGGCAGCTTGCAAGAATCCCTCTAAGTAAACCGGACCAAGCATACTTCATTTTCTACGGACACGAAGATATTAATACTTCTCCCTTCACGAATGGATTGGTTGAAGGCAAGACGATCCAATTCACCTTCAGAACCCCGAATTCAGAACCATCAAAAGGATCTTTGTATCTTTATATATCCTACGACAATGGCATCGTCTTCTCTTTCTTCTCAATCAGCAGCCCATGAAACAGATTCCTTGCTTGAAACTCCACAGACGGATAATCTCCTACGGAACTCGAGTAACCAGCGACGAAATCCCTATGGAATCATTCTCAGTGCCTTCTTGTTGGCAATGATGGCTTTGGTGGCTCTCTTCTTTTTTAACATTCTTCCGTATAAACCACCCAATACCGATATTGTAGGATCACAACTATTGCAACTATCACTGCATATGCAAGGGAGAGTTGTATTTCCAGAAGATGCGGATTTTGGGGATGCCTCCAAGGTGTGGCGAGAAGATGTCGTCGCCAACAATCCTCCCTTGGCCATCATTGAAGCATTCTCGGAAAGCGACGTCCAACTTGCAATGCCAGTGCTTGCCAGGTTATTTCGGTTGCACGATATTCCTTTTCGAATTCGTTCAGGAGGGCACAACAAGGCTGGTTTCAGTACTACAGGAGGAGGGATCATTTTGTCATTGAAGCAAATGCGAAACGTTGAATTGCTCAAAAACAATGACTACGATTCGAACGAATTGCAAGGGGACATATTGACGCCCCATCCTACAACCAAAACAGTGGTTGCTTCCGTTCAGCCAGGTGCCACTGTGGAAGTCGTCTTGGACAATCTACTAGAACAGGAAGGAGCAGGTGGGACGGTTGGAATCTGTGGCAATGTGGCCGAAGGTGGCTTTGTTCTTGGAGGAGGGATTGGATTCATGTCACGAAGTTTGGGACTTGGCATTGACAACGTACTTAGTTTTCGTATCGTCTTGTATGATGGAACTATTGTTACGGCCAATGCGGAGAGCCACCCAGATTTGTTCTTTGCACTACGAGGAGCTGGATCTGGGAACTATGGGGTCGTGACAGAAATGGAATACAAGTACTTTCACCCCATGCCTAGAGAACAGCGGTCTCGGATGGTTATCATACCAATCGAAGATTTTGCGTCTTTTCTCTATAATCTTGGCAAGAGCCCACCAAGTCGAGAGTTCATGAGCATATTTGGAGTTTCTCCAGACAGTGCTACTGCCTTGATGTCTTGGTTCAGCGCGGACCCGGAACGTATCGACGAATCCGAAGACCGGTTTCAAGAAGAAATCGCCCCATTGCTCCCGGCTTCCTCCTACGAACAAGTTCCCTACGCATATTTCGACTGGGCTGATGGAACTCACGACTTTTCCGACAAGCCAGGCTACACCGATCATTTGTATGCCGTGCAAGTCTGGCAAGGCTTTTTGATGCCAGCCAACAATACCCGCGCTGTATGGGATGAGATTGTATCACTGATCCAACATATTGTAGAAGAATGCCCGGATGTCCACCCAGATATTGAACTCTGGGGTGGAGCAATTTCTGATACTCCGCACAACGAGACGGCCTTTGCCTATCGAGATGCTCTTTTCAATGTAGGTGTACAACTGTATGTTACCAAGGAGGCGTACAAGGAACAGTTTGAATACGAATTGAACAAAGTGAATCAATGGTGGCCGTCTGTAGCTCAGTACCTGGAGGGAGCTTACGTCAACTATCCAATGAATTCATTAGGAGACGACGAGTATCCAAGGCTTTATTGGGGAAATCATTTGGAGCGGTTAGTGCATGTGAAGCGTCAATATGATCCACTGAATATCTTCCGTTACGAACAGAGCATGCCAGTGGCGGTGACATAGGGTCAGGTTCCAATGGAACCTGTATATTATCCTGTAACTAATATTGTATGAATATTATATACCTAGTAGAAATATCTTTCGCCTAGCAGAAATATCTTTCGCCCATGGCAAAGATTCTGTCGTTTCTACTCACATTATTCACAAAATGTTCGAGCACCGCTTGATTTGGTCTTCAATCATGGGAATGTGTGGCGAAAACACACAGCAGCCACCCATACACATACGATAGTCTACATCATTATTACAAACATCACTTTGGGTTGTCATTCTATATTTTTATTTTACTCCTAAAGACTATATATGTATTACGCAATATGCACTCAGACGGATCCTTTCATAGGATCGCCGACACGTTCCATGGAACTCGTTTATCTTAGCAGGTGGCCACGGCGGTTAAGTTGACTTGGTGATGACATCCAATCATGGTTCGCAGTGTTTGGACCATCTGGGCTGAAACTCTCAGTGAGACTTGGGAGGGAAACATACGGAAGTGACTTGGCTTGCGTAGATGACAAGATAGCGAAGGATAGAACAAGGAGGGGAGCGCTGATGATGGACTTCATGATTGTTTGCTGTTGTTAGGATTATGAAGATCTTACTTTGGTGAAGCAGTTGGGGTTCTGGTCGAGAAGAAAATTATGACGATCAGAAACTGCAAAAATTGAGAACTCGCAAGAATTCGGTGTTCGTGCACCGTTGAGGAGTCACAGAGGTGCAAGCAATCAAATAACAGCCAAAAACACGATCGTTTCGTTTCCGCCGGGTGTTTCTCAGCGACTTTTTGGAGGTCGTTAATTGTTTTGATCCCGAAAAGGTGCTCCAAATGCTGGTGTAAGCACAATCTGACGTTGTGGTTCTAATTCTGATCATATGCCATCATCTGTGCGCCAAGCGACGACTGACACTTTGCACGATTGACTACTCTATTTTATAAATATATTATAGCAGCCACATACAATGAATGGTTAGCAGTCCGCAATTATCTAAAACCAGCATATTTTTGTTTCGTGACGCATGTCATGATCTGTTTTTCTACAACAACCATCTAGAGTCTCAATTCTAGTTCGACTTTTTAAAAGCAGCATACCAAACATGATGACTGATCGATTTCAGTGGGAAAAAATTATGACCCCGATCCACGAAAAACCCCCCCTTCCCATGCCCACTTTCGGGCTTTTCTAAAAAAATATCACCATAGAATTTAAAAATGGTCATTTTTAGAATACGTGGTATTTTAACGCCAATAAGACAGTGCAAAGGGCAATTTTTCGGGGATTTTAGCCCTATGCTCGAAAGTACTTTGCGACAATTTTTGATTGCGGGATGATGAATCAACTGATTCGCATCACCACTCACGATGGGACAATGATTGAGGGCGAAATGGAAGCCAAAGAAGGTAACTACGCCGGCTACATCACAGACACCATCTACAACACGTGTTCCAGAAGAGCAATGGGGTTTGATTTGCAATCATGCAAGGTCAGAGAAGTGGTGTGATAGCTATCGACGAGAAAATGAAACAAATTCGAAAATAAGGAAGAGGCTGGAAACGACACGACCGAATGAAGGATTCCTCTTCCCTTTCCTTCCCTTTTTTTGTCCCCAAGGTCTAAGGTCTGTTGATTGTTATGTTGGAGAGCTACTATGGTTTCCATGTTGCTGTGGCAGTTGCTGATGGCAATTGATGAAGATGTTGCTTGATGAGAATGGCGAAGACTGCCACTGTGGAGAGAATGGAATGAATTAAAGAAGACGAAGAGTCGTAGGTAATGTAGTATAGGCTTGGATGTAGGTAATATGTTAGCTTTGTTACGTATTCCCTCAGTACTGTAGTGGTAATGTTGACAAAGGTGATGTCTTGGATGCCATTTTGGTTCCATCGGTACGGAAAATTTCCACGAGGCACTTGGTGGAATTTGCGCGCGAACCCGGTTTTTTCCGTACGTCATCAGTTTCAGAACCCATTGCGCACTTCTATGCGCTCGCCCGTTGAGAATTCTTCAACCACATCAAATTTTCCTTCCGTCGGCAATGGTGAGCCTCGAGGCCGAGGAAAGCATCACCCTCTGGAGGAAAACTCGTGGGTCGCGGACATTCTCTGTATCGTACCCGAATCCACCTTGTTTGTATGAAGTGATATGGATGCATTTGCCATTCTCACCTCTGAAATCACTGCTAAAGAACCTCAACAAGGTACGAAAACTACTTTTCGAGAGGTTTCGGGACGTCTACGAAGTCCCAAGGCAACATAGAGCTAGAATGTTCTGCGGAAGTTGCTTATGTTGTTATACTAACGGCAATGATACCATTCTATATTCTCTATCTGGGTTCCTACAGGACAATTTTCAACCCAGACCATTGAGTTGCAAATTCGTCAGACACAATGAAATTGCACGGCCTGGACCCCATGAGTAGAGAAAGTGGAATCAGAGGTTGTGGCAACCATAGTTGATATATATGTTACGTCGGGAGCGGCAGTAATTATGTTGAACATCTTTTTCTGGGCCGCAATCACACAATAATCCACCATGATTGGTTCCGTTGGTTGCTTGGACTGGACGGATAGGTGTCAAGAAGACGTATTTGCCGAGTGCGACTCATATCTACCGTCACCATCAAGACAATATCTACACAGAGACTCGTTCGGAGTGTCGAACTACCAAAATTGACGATTTGGAGCACATCAAGGTGCCATGGTGCGATGGTTCCCCTCGTTTGGACTGGCCAGTGTGGACGCCCAGAGAAGTAAAAAGTGAAGCACATGTTGTGGCAAGCGTATTTGATAGATAGACTATGGCTGGAGCGGCCATTCATACTTCTATTTGCCTCAGTTACACTACAATCTACCTTGTTTCGTTCGACTGGTTCTGTTGGGCTACCGAAACTGGTCGGCAGAAAGTCAAGAGGGCCAGTGCCTCCCATTCAACATGTGCTGGAAAGCTCGGCAGTGATCCTACCTACTCGGGGATCCATTCGGTTGTGTTTTGTTATGAATACTTGTTGAGATATTGGAATTCCAGTGTTTGGTGCTGTCTGTTCCCCTTTCAGCATGAAGGTCGGCGTGGCCGCCCTGGAGACAGCCAACCATTCAACAATACACCAGAGCCTCCCTTGGATGCCTATTGTTTAAATTTTCTGGGACCCAGGCAATGGTTCCGCCTAGATTAAGAATCATGCCGCCCAAACGGGGTTAGAAATCATGGAAATCTGGTCCAAAAAGCCACTTGGTGGTGGTGTGGGCCGGATTTCCTAAAAATGCCTTGTTCTAACACATATTTGTCGTCCATGGGTATGCATGAGAAGATTGGTGGCTTTGGAGTGGACATTTTCTAGGTAAAAGTGATTGAATAGCATTCACACTGCTTTTGGGATCAATCCAGGTTCATGAAACAATGTGGCTGGAACCCTTCTCAGTAGCCGAGTCGATACCCTGACACGATGGCACCAAGTTCAAAGTTGGTCAAAATATATATAGTAATCGAATTTGGGTGGTGGTTTGGAGGGCTATGGCGGAAAAAAGAATCTAGGATAGCATAATTTTTTTCTCTCTTTCCTACTTTTCAATTGACTTTGTGGAATGGCCTGAAATAAGATCGATATACACAAAGATCTCTAATTCAGAGTGGACCCAATCCTAGAAAATATATATACTTATAATATCGCATTGAAATTTATCTAAGAATGTAATCGCAACAAGGTCGTATGGTACGAGATCAGCCTCTGGCCTCTTGAGTTTTTTTTGGCAATCACACGAGTCAATATCAAGTCAATTGAGTCAATTTGACTAACGGCTGTTTTTTTAGCCGTTACCAGAAAGTTGTTTTCTGCATTGGAGCCCCTATAACACCCCCTATGAACTTGGGATTTTTCACAAGGGATGGGCAAAGTATTCTCTAGCGCTTTGAAAAGGTTTTAGGTCCGTAGGTGTCTTTTGAAATTTTTGCTTTGTCCCAAGAATTCCAAATTCCACCCGAATTTTGGGGGGGTATTTCGTGGATCGGGGTCTTATCGATAATTAGACTAGATGCGCAATCCTAAACGCAAGCAATTGTTTGTCCAAATCGCGAAAAAACGACGTTATCTTTTTGGCGTCTGGCCGCTTGCCCTGCTTTCTGATGGTCAGGGTTCCGATGATGTTTTTTTGAACAGTTGAGTTTTCCACATCTTCACATCAAGAGGACATACCTTCAAACCGACATTGAGAATGGTGGGCAACATCAATTACACAGTGATCTATGTGCTAGCTATAGTCATAATACTGATCCTGGAGTCGACTGTGGAAGGATTTTCTCCTTCATTATCTACCCTGCGAAATGTTCAACACAACAGAATTCCTCATCTTAGATCGACAAATGGTGACGCTGATGCCAAGCTTCCAGCCAAGGAAAAACGTCAACAAACGACGAGTCACGAATCTGTTCAAGCGCGAGCTGGGCGACTTGGGGGCGGTAGCGATGAGCTCACAACCACATTAGAGCATTTTGGAGATACAGCAGCACGAAAGCGAGTGTTAATCCTGTGCACTGGTGGAACATTGACAATGTCAAACGATCCGTCACAAGGCGGCTCTTTGGCCCCAGTACAAGGAGCCCTCACCAAATACTTGCAAAACATGCGGGAATTTACAGACGACCCAGAAATGCCTGAGATTGTCTCGCATGAATACACGCCGCTCATTGACAGCTCTGACATGGGACCTGGAGATTGGGCCTTGATTGCAGAAGATATTGCAGAAAACTACTACTACTTTGACGGATTTGTTGTACTTATGGGAACGGATACGATGGCATATGCTGCATCGGCACTGTCGTTCATGTTTCAGAATCTTGGCAAGCCGGTTGTTTTCACAGGTTCCCAGATCCCACTCCGAGAACCCTACAATGATGCCAGGAAGAACCTAATCATGGCAGTGATTTTTGCTTCGAGTGATACTGTGTCAGAAGTGACAATTTTCTTCCACGATCGCCTGATACGAGCATGTCGAGCGACAAAGGTCAACACCTCCAAATTACTTGCCTTTGATAGTCCTAACATTGAGCCTTTGGCAGAGATTGGTTAGTATTGGGAAGCTCTCGTTCTCAGGTCTTGTTTACCGCTTCTCAAACATTTTTTTTGCTTTGCGCTTGAAGGAATCAATATTGAAGAACGAGATCATCTGTACCTCCCACCACCAAGAGGGGCCTTCCGTGTTCGAACCGAAATGGACACTCGTCTTATCACACTCCGCCTCGTACCAGGCTTTGACGATACTTGCATCATTCACATGATCAAAGCCGCCCGGGAGACGCACTTGAAAGGTCTGATTCTTCAGCTGTATGGAACAGGTAACATGCCCAGTCTGAAGGACGACCTTGTGCATGCCTTGTCCGACGCAACTGCAGCTGGAGTGTGTGTTGTAGTTACTACTCAGTGTCATACCGGATCAGTGCTTCTGGGTCATTACGCCACAGGGCAAGCACTCATTAAAGCGGGGACTGTCAGTGCTGGTGATATGACTTTGGAGGCAGCTACAGCTAAGTTGGCCTATTTGCTAGGAAGAGGGGATTTGAAGATTGACGAAGTCCGGGATTTGATGGGCGTTGATTTGCGAGGAGAACTAACACCCAAGGATCAGATATCACCACCACCGTTGGCAAGCTCCTACCAGAAGGCAATCTTCCAGAAGAACCGTAGTCGCACTTACTAGTTCCTTCGAGAGAGAAACAGATCTGTCATGCTTGATGGTTGATTCTTACTATTATCAAACTTCACGTATCCGCCTGGCCGTTTGCCCTCATGATTTGACATTTCAATTTTTCCATCCGTCAAATCATGATGACATCACAGGTCACAACATTCATTGAATTGAAGAACTCATATCACTACATCAATAATGGTCAGCAATATCCAATGGGCTGTATTCTGTATATCCGTGATATTGAGCCTGCTGTCGAAAGTGCAAGGATTCTCTCCTTCATCATCAACTCTACGGATATCTCGGCTTCGCGCATCAACTGATGCCGACGTTGATGTCAACGTGGACTTTAATTCCAATGGCGACGCTGAGGCCGACCTTCCAGCCAAGAACACTAATCACGATGCGTTACATCATAGGTCTGTTCAAGCACGAGCTGGGCGTTTGTGGGATGACGATGACGACGAAATGACAACCACGTTGGAGCGTTCTGGGGACACTGCAGCACGAAAACGAGTGTTGGTACTTTGTACTGGTGGAACATTAACCATGTCACATGATCCATCACAAGGCGGATCTTTGGCCCCAGTACAAGGAGCCCTCACCAAATACTTGCAAAACATGCGGGAATTTACAGACGACCCAGAAATGCCTGAGATTGTATCGTTCGAATACACGCCGCTCATTGATAGCTCCGACATGGGACCTGGAGATTGGGCCCTAATTGCGGAAGATATTGCAGAGAACTACTACCATTTTGATGGGTTTGTTGTACTGATGGGAACTGATACAATGGCGTATGCTGCATCGGCACTGTCGTTCATGTTTCAGAATCTTGGCAAGCCGGTTGTTTTCACAGGCTCCCAGATCCCACTCCGAGAACCCTACAATGATGCTAGGAAGAATTTAATAATGGCAGTGATATTTGCTTCGAGTGACACCGTGTCAGAAGTGACAATCTTCTTTCATGATAGACTCATCAGAGCGTGTCGAGCGACAAAGGTCAATACTTCCAAGCTGCTTGCCTTTGATAGTCCCAATATTGAACCGTTGGCAGAAATTGGTAAGCATTTTATCCCGTTGGAAAAGCTCGTTCTCGTGTCTTGATCACCATTTCTCACAGTTGTTCTAGGAATCAACATCGAAGAACGGGATCACCTGTACCTTCCACCACCAAGAGGCGCCTTCCGTGTTCGAACCGAATTGGACACTCGCCTAATCACTCTCCGTCTAGTACCCGGATTCGATCCTACTTGCATCATTCACATGATCAATGCCGCTCGTGAAACGAATTTGAAGGGTCTGATTTTGCAGCTGTACGGAACAGGTAACATGCCCAGTCTGAAGGACCTAGTGCAGGCCTTGTCCGACGCTACAGCGGCTGGAGTTTGTGTTGTAGTCACTACTCAATGCCATACCGGATCAGTGCTTCTGGGTCATTACGCCACAGGGCAGGCACTCATCAAAGCCGGAGCGGTCAGCGCTGGTGATATGACTTTGGAGGCCACGTCAGCCAAGCTCTGCTACTTGCTTGGACGAGGGGACCTGACTATTGATGAGATCCGGGATTTGATGGGGGTCGATTTGCGAGGAGAACTGACACCCAAGGAACTAATGCCACCGCCACCCTTGGCAAGTTCCTACGAGAAGGCAATTTTCAAAAAGAATCGTAGTCGCATCTACTAGTTATGTTTTCAAAGAGCAGAACTCCTCGGAAGTATTGCATTGCGAAGCACCATCGAGTATTGAACGATATGAAGCGTTGGCGCAAAAAGCAAGAACACTCGACTAGTTATTGTCGCAAGAGCCAAAATTGACTGAATCCCCAGTCCGCAAGAATGACCAATAGGCCGGAAAGGACCACTGAAAATGTGATGACTCCTGGTACTCCTCTCGACGTCAGGTTTGGTTGCATCCTTGCAATCACTTCGGCAACACCCAAGATAATCCAAATCGAAGTAGTAGCCTTTAGCAGCAAATATATTGGTGGATAAGTTCCAACTTCAACCAGCGTATCCACCCATGTAGGATTCGATTGGTAGGTGACCCTCCAATCCAAACCTTGAAAGCTGACCAGCCGTAAGGCTGGAAATACGGCATCCAACGAATCCTTTCGAAACTGTTCCAGCGTCCCAATCCCGTAGTAGGAAGGACCGACAATTCCGCCCAATCCAACCGCCAAGGCAGTCCCAATCACAGTCAAAAGTGGTGCAGCTACAATGGCGGCCACCAAGGATGGTCCCAGGGTCCACCATTGCGGAGCAATCCCCAAAGTCTGTAGCAGTTTGTTTTGCTTCGTGGCTTGCATGGTTCCAACTTTACCAGCATAGGATCCCCCGATCCGACCGCATAATAGGAGGGCAGTCAACAGAGGCCCCACTTCCAAAACAAACAATTTAGTCAATCCAATAGCAAACAAACTAGCCTTTGCTGGAGGTACAGTCTTTTGCAAAAGGTCCATAATCTTCATTCGAACTCCCAGCATCTGGAGCATATTGGCTTCTTCGCCCGTCAATATCTTGATGAGTGGTTTCACTTCAGTCTCTACCAACTCCAAGACCTGGTCTTGAATATCCAGTCGTCTCAATAAGTCAGCAGTGAGCATTGCCACGGCCAATCCAGTGGCACAAAAGGCCATGGCAATGAGGGGCAAACTGTATCCAATGTAATCCACCAAACGATCCAAACACCGATCTCGAAAGGTTGTTCCAAACAAGCTGGGTTTGACGCTAGTAGAAGACTGCGAGTCGTCCTTGGATTGTGATTGCTTTGGTTTCAACTCTATTACTTGGTTGTTGTGTGTCTTGGTGGGATCCATCACCACTTCTGCCAAATGAGGTTCGTGCGAAATCAAAAGGAGGCAGGTATTCTGCGTCTGTCGCAAATGAACCAGTTCCTTGGCTACACTCACAGCTGTTTGGTGATCTAGACCCGTAAATGGCTCATCCAAAACAATAACCCGCTTGTGTTGCGCCAATTGCAATGCCAACGAGGCTCGTCGCCCCATTCCACCAGATAGCTCATTTGGTTTCTTGGAGGCATCTCGTTCGTAGTGAAGACCCACAGCATCCAAAAGTTGCTTGATTTTCAAATCACGCTCATGATCGTTGGCAAACTTATCCTTGTGTAGTTTCAATGCCACTGCGAGATTTCCCGCGACTGTCAATTCGTCCAACAGCGTCGTCTGCTGAAACAAAACACCACAGCGCTCCACCTTGGGGATGGTAGAATCCCATTCGCATTGTTCCATGACAATGTCCAATTTCTTCAACACTTGATCATGTCCTGGCAATCCACACAAGACGCTTCCTAATGTAGTCTTTCCCATTCCAGAATTCCCTTTCAGGCTGAGACATCCTCCCGGAAACAAGGAAAATTCAATCGGGCCTTCAAAGGGACACCTCGGGCCCTTGGCGGCGGCACGAAACTGAACAATTGGTTGCTGATCATGATTGCTACTATTATCATTGGTTGTGCCATTTGATGCAGCCATTGTAGATCTCTATATATATCCTAACGCTGCGATGGAGCGAGATAAAGTAAATGAAATCGCAGTCGCGTCGTATACTGTATTTCCCAGACTTCGTCGAAATTCCAAACTGGACTAAACGTACTTCGGACGGACGTTGATGAATTGAAACTAAACAAGCGCTTCGGATGCAACAACAGCACCAATGATAACAGTACACGTACCCGGTACTGGTATTGTACTGCTGTACTGTAGGTACCGGGACCACTCATGCATGTTTCTGATTGATCATCTCCCGGAACCTAACAACAACGCATGTGCTACCTCGTATGGAATTAGGCATGGAAACATTTGTCTCCTCTTCAAGATCATGAACGAATGATGGAACATTATCTGAACTATCGATTTCTGTGGTAGGTCCATAAATTCAAAAATACCTCAAAACGTACAGTATAATAACGCGCATATGACGCCGTTGTCAACACGGGTACACAATTATGGTAGCAATACGTGCGAAACATAATAAATAACAAGTGTTAGCCAATAAAGTGATCAAGGGTTCCGGACAAGAATCAAATTGAAAATCCAGGATTGGCGTTTCCAAAGACCAGAATAGTCTCATTTGTCGTTGTCATGTTCAGTGCTCACAACATCTCATTTGTATCCAATTTACTGACGAAAACATCATGAAGCTCCTCCTTCCTCTTTCCATCTTTACTACTGCCCTTGTTTCGGGTGCTGACGACTGCTACGTTTGTGGCAGTGCTGATGTTGCTATGGGTACTCCGGATGCCTTTGTGATTAACGACATCTACAACTATTCCTGCACCCACCTCGAAGGTGAATTGGCCAACAGCAGCCTTTCCTGCACCGGAATAACAAACTACTATAGGAACCTTCTTGATACTGATCTGGATGTTGCCTGTGGCTGCCCAATAGCAGACAATGGAAGTTCTGGCGGTGACAACAGTTCTGCTTCCACAATGGGACTTTTTGGTGTGGCTGCTTCAATCATCATTGGAAGTGTATCGTCCTTGTTGATTGGGGTGTAGCAACAAGGAAGCATGGCCTGCAATCATGACGCAAGCACCAACGAAGCAAGCAACGAATTCACAGCACATACTTGCATGTCTGTCTCATGATACCGTGTCGGATACATGATAAATTGTATAGTTACTACTATAACACACCAGACCATCGCATAATATTTCAAGACTTTGTCGAAATTCCAAATTTGGACTAAACGTACTTCGGACGGACGTTGATGAATTGAAACTAAACAAGCGCTTCGGATGCAACAACAACACCAATGATAACGGTCGGTACCAGGTACTGGTATTGTACTGCTGTACTGCTGTACTGTAGGTACCGGGACCACTCATGCATGTTTCTGATTGATCATCTCCCGGAACCTAACAACAACGCATGTGCAACCTCGTATGGAATTAGGCATCGAAACATTGTCTTTGAACTATCGATTTCTGTGGTACTAGTATAGGCCTAGGTCCACCAAAAATACCAGTAAGCGTCAATCGAGGTCAGCCAATCTTGCTCGATATCGAAGGAATCGTCGATCGATAAAATCAAACTGGTCGAGAGAACGCTACAGTAGCAAAACATGCAATCGATTGCCTCTGTACCAACAAAATAAAAGCAACAAGCAGATTCTTGCCAGATAGAAAATTTCTTGGCTCTTGCTTGAAATATGATAGTACTATTTGAATTCGTAGCTAGCTGCCTAGTTGTGGCTCAATCTCTGTCATCGTTGCAAAGTTCCTTTCACAGAGAGAGCAAATACGCAATATTCCGAGCTGCAATTATGTTGCACCGTGACATTTTCATTTATTTGCTCCTTGCACTTTCCAATCACCCATCCTCACTCTTGGCAAGTTTCGCAACGTCTGGCCTGCTTCCCCTGTTTCTCTTTGGGCCAAGCCAGCCGTTCTTCCTACCAGGGTTTTCTACGCGATTGGGATCGAAACGGTATTCGACACACGTGCCTCCTTCAACTATCCCATGCACGTCTGCGATATTTGCAACCCCGATTACAGGTCATATAAAAAAAAACACAAGACCAAAAGCAGTATACTAAACTCATGGGCATAATGACAATGACTGCAAAGCAACCTACATCATACTTCCAAACAGAGTCACCTCAAATGACGACAAAATCAATGCCAAAGAGAAGGAGACCACGAAGAGAAATTCCAGAGGATCTTACGAACCTTTACCTTGAAAAGGGTTCTGTTCCAAGCAGTCTTGACGTGATCACCAGAGGTCGAGACTTCCAACACACGTATGAAAAGAACCAGCGATACTGGCGTCGGATTCTTTCTGAGCGCAAGGGATACATGCAATTGAGCAAATATGAACATGAAGCGAGAAATGCAATTGTCGAATCCATCTATGATTATGTTCGCTCATCGGGAGGACGATTCCTTCAATTGGATGCCAAGTCTGGACAATGGTTCCAACTTCCCAAGAAGGCTTCCATGCACGAGATTCAACAAGCTCTGAATGAACGATATGTTCCTTACTTTGCGCGATCGCAACCGCAACCGCAATCATCAGCTCCAAAGAAGGCTTCGCGCCCCGACACTTCGGCATTTGCTGCATTCCTCACGAATGCCTCCTCTGCGCCAAAACCAACAACCACCAGCAACTTTTTCAGCAACTTCAGCCAATCTTCCTTGCAATCATCAACGGGATCTATTGACTTTATGGCGTGCATCAACAACAACAACAACAACAACAACAACATGAGCAATGCTACTTACCTGCAACGAGTTCCAAAATTGAAATCGATGAATGCCTACTTGGAAGACCACATGAACTCTGCGTTTTCCAACAGCATGAATAACTCCAACAGCTCGCTGGTCGAAGTAATGTAATATATCAATGCAAAAGAAGGTGGTGCTGGAACATCACAAAACCTGAATACAATAGTGTATAAAATCTAATCCATGACACAGTACTATGCTAAACCGGGAGTCATTTATAATGATTAGTTGTCATATCAAGAAGACTATTGCACCGTAGATCTTCCACGATGTCGTCCTAGTTATTGTGTGTGAACATAAACGTGTCCTGCCAGCCAACATTTGTCATATCGTGAAGGCAACTCCAGCTCTAGCTCTAGTTGTTGCATAGTAGTATTGGGCACTATCATCCTGGCCATCCATGATCAGCAGCAGGACTGAAACGAAACGAATCGTACTTCTAAAATACGAGTATTAGGTACAGTCTTCCTTTCAGTGTTAGATATGAAATCCTTTAAAAGTTTAGTAGCTATATTCAAAAAGTGTATCATTCGCTTTCTGTGCAAGTCATAATCCACCCCATCACGCTTTGGGACTTGATTCGGCTCATCATCAAGTCATGTCATCATGTGGCTCAACCCGCAATCTTCCAGAAAGGCTTCATGACGAAAATTGGCGAGTTCGTCCTCCTTGTAATACAAAGAATCGTGATCATCATCATACACTGGCGGTATGAAGCGTACATCGGTCATGTCGGCAAAGGATACGGAAGATCGCTTGGAGGATGGCGACGACGGATCCTGGTCGATCATGCTATCATCAGCAGTAACAATAATGTTTGGAGTCAATGGAAGCTGGATCGAAGTGCGTACTAGGGGATGATCATTGTTGTTGGACTCGTCCTTGCATTCTTTGTCGCTCTTGCCAAAAGTAGATCTGCCGTTTGGGACAGCAGATTGGCCTCGTTGTCTCTCCCGGCGCGTCTGCCCCAAGCTTGTTGTCTCGTCACCTTCGTCATCGTCCAAGCAGCAGCCTGACACCTGAAGTGCTTGAATTCTGAGCTTGATATCATCGGAGCATCTCTTTTTTGGCGATTGACTTGGAGACTGGTTCCTGTTTTCCAATGATTTCTGGTTTCAAAAAGTGGGAGATGTCGAAATTGTGAGAGCATCAAATTGTGAGATTATTCGTCTTTGGTGGTATGATTGCTAGTGGCGGGGGGCGGCACAGCTGGAGTACTCAAACAGCAGGGTAGGAAGTCTTACTGGTTTGATCTGTGATTCAACCATGGTGCTGATCGATGGTGTTCATGGGTTACCAGATCCGTTCAGCTCAAATCGTTGTGTGATGTTGTGAGACCTATCATACGCGCATACCAATACGGCGGTATATAATTCTCTCTTTTGAGGAGGACATAAAACGCGGCTCAGTTTTCTCCGTTTCTCCAATTGTCAAGCAAATAGAACGAGCAAGTTATAAAACGCGCGTACACGTGTACGTACGGTATACCCAAGTATACCAGCAAAAAGTAACTTTTTTAATTAGAAAGAGTGAGCGTGCATTTTCAGACACTACAGGAGTTTTGAGACGTGCACATTGACTAAGTCGTGCTTGAAGTGCTTCTTCCCACCTGGAGACGACAAGTGAAGGTAGAATGAGCAAGAAGGTTTCGGGTGATATTTTTTTAATTATTCTGTCTACTTGCCCCTAAGTGTGGACATTGTGGCATACGTACCAATTTCTCTGTAGGTAGAAATATGTTTCAGAAAGTACTGAGACTTGCATGTTTGCAAACGTGGACTCCAAAAACATTTTATAAATGATCACTTCGCAAAAAATAATCACTCTCGCACCGACTGTTCCGTTTGATCTTTTCGTTCCGCACACAAAATTCCAAATTGCCAAACAAACACACAAACCAATACAAGATGACTCCTTTTTCGAATAACTACAAGCCCACAGCCGCCAAGGCCAAGAAGACCAACCGCAAGAGACGCCCACGACGTGAGCTTCCTGAAGACCTCACAGAACTTTACATTGCTGATAGTCGTCCGACTGACCTCGATGTTATCGCTGGACGCGGCGGTGGCTCCAATCACCATGAAGGAAACAAGAGATACTGGCGCCGAATCCTAGTCGAACGGCCAGGATACAAGCAGCTCGGCAAGAATGACAATACCGAGAAGAACGAAATTGCGTCTGCCATCTTCCAGGACATCATCTCAACTGGAGGAAGATTCCTTCAGCTTGACTCCAAGACTAAAAAGTGGTTCAATATCCCAGAGAAGATCTCCCTGGACAAGATCAAGCAAGCCCTCAGAGACAAGTACGTCCCTCATTTTGCCAAGGGAGGGGATTTTGCCAAGGAAGAGCCACAATCCCCAACGACCGCACCTCCCGCACCTCTGCCGACACCAGTGTTTACGGTGGAGGAGGAGAACAAGTTCTTCGACTTCTTGAACAAGAAGTCTTCGGCTCCAACCACAAAGAATGGTTTCTTTAGTACCCCCAGTCTTGACTTATGCTCCATCCTTGGACAGTCAAGCTTGGGCAAGTTGGACACTCCGAAAATCTCCGTTCAAAATACTTTGTGTCCGGACAACTTTGCTCCCTTTGAGAGGTCTTTGGACAAGTTGGACATGTTAAAAAAGTCTGGCAGCATGCTGTCCAAAAACAACATGGATGAGACCTGGAGTAAATTCCCAACTCCCAACGACAACACCATGAACAAGTCCCCTTTTGAATCTACTAGCCTACCTCCTCCAGGCTATTCATTGGATCATTTGATGCGGGGTGACTTGATCAAGACTGGTGACAACTTCATGGTTGAAGCCAAGGACGTTACTCTGCCCAAGTCAACTGGAATGTCTGAAGCCTGCGAGAATTTGTTCCAAAAGTACTTGGCGCAGCAGTATGAGTCTGCCGTTCCATCATCTTCCGGGACGAGAACTGTTGTCTCAGTCTAAGCTTGCATGTACCAAACACCAAATATTAAAACTAGAAATATATACTTTTACATTTATGCACTGGCCTTTCATAGTGTACCGGTACACAAAGGACAATCGCATGAACCTCTCAGAGTACCAGGTACGAACTGAATAATATACCGGTACGGTATATCATCATGCGCAACTGGATCATCGACACCTTCGACTAAAACAAGCAATCCTTCGTATCGCGCATAAAATATCTGCATCAATCGACCGCGTCCTTTTATTGTGAACGATCCGCATCAATCGACCCCGCCGTCGCAATCGTATGAACGATCCACAATCAGAAGACCCAACCTGAACTGGGATGACAAAACTCCGACTCTGGAAACAACTACCGTCCACACTTCTCTGTGGCCTTGCAACTTTCCAACTCTTGACAAAAGCCCATTCATTCCCATCGGCAATCAGTCTTTCACGACGAAACTTGTTGCTGAAATATCCAATTGCAATCTTTACCGGCATGACTCAACCAACCAAGTATGACTTCTCGGAAGGTTCCACAAGCGCGAAAGCATCACTCTCATCAAAACTCACTGGAGCTGACGACTCGGACATAAGATGGGGAATAGTTGGTCTGGGCGATGTCGTTCAGAAAAAGTCAGGTCCAGCCTTTTTCAAAAACAAGAACAGCCAACTGGTAGCGGCGATGCGACGCACTCCAGGAAAGGCACAAGAATACGCGGAGAAAAAGGTAAACAGTTACACAGGCAACGATAAGAAGATTGACCAATGTGTGGGCTACGAAAATCTGGAAGACTTTTTGAAACACCCCAATATGGATGCAGTTTACGTCTCGACGAGACCAGGATCGCATTTGGAGATTTGCAAACAAGTAGCGGCGGCTGGGCTGGCGTGCTATGTGGAAAAGCCAGTTGGACGATGTGCCGCCGAGACCGAAATCATTGTGGACATCTTTGAAAAGGCTGGATTGCCCTTGTATACAGCATACATTAGTCGAGCCTACGAACGAACCCAAGCGGTCAAAAAGTTGTTGGCAGCGGATGGCTCGTCGCCACTGGGGGATCGAGTGACTAAGGTTTCATACAAATTGGTGGGGACAGGAGGAGCCCGAGATATGGGTGGTGATGATCAACTGCCATGGAGGTTAGATCCAGAGCAAAGTGGCGGAGGATTGATTATGGATGTTGGATGTCATATTTTGGATCGCATCGACTACCTTTGTGGCCCCCTTGTTGACATTGAAGGAGAAGCCCAAAACAAGAACAGCCCCGACCAAAAAGTGGAAGACTATGTGCACTTGACAGCCTCGATTGGTGAGACGAAAGGAAGACCCTCCATGCAACAGTCCATCAATGCAGTTGGTGCAAAAGTGGAGTGTACCTGGGATTTTGCTTCCCCTGACCAAGAGCCAAGCGACCAGCTTGTACTGGAAGGGCCATCTGGATCCTTGCGAATGATTGGGATGAGTCCAAATGCACCCATAGAAATCTACGACTCAGATGGCAATTTGCTAAGAAAATTACCAGAGTTTGCCATGCCCGAACACACCGCTCAGGCACTCATTCAAGCTGTGACGCTAGATCTACTCCACCTGCGGCTGGTAGAGCAAGCAGAACAACACGAAGGAACAAATGTAGATACGTATGAAAAGCCAGACTTTCTATCTTTTGGAGACAATGCCATTCGAGCACAAAAGGTGATCGATACAGTCTTGGAATCATACTACTCGGGACGGGAAATTGGCTATTGGTCACGATGGATTGGAGAGGAAAAGTGATTGGCTTAGGACAGCTTTTTTTGTAATGCATATTTTAGTAGTTATTATGAATATAAGGAACAGACGGCTGATCATTACGATGTGATCATTTGGAATAGATGACCCTGCATTCCGGCAATTGTGGGGCCCAGGCTGGAAGGGATTAGACTCTGATCTACTTCTGGACGACCTGATCGATTCCAGTCCAAAAGCCAATCTATTGACTGCGATCGATAATTCATTCCTAGGTCTTCCATGTGTTGATTCTTCGCGAGTGGCACGAGAAATAACGACCGCAGCGCTTTCTCTTCATGTCGAGGGGAGAGCTTTTGACAACCATCGATTTGTAGAGTCTTGAGTCGGAGTTTTGGTAAAGAATTTGCCAAGCAGCGCAAGGAATTGGATCTGAGCCGGCAATCCTTCATTTCCAAGGATTCCAGAGTGTTGTTAACTACCAATGCTTCAGTAAGCATTTCGATATCACCCTCTCGAATCTTGTTTTCGGATAGGATCAAGTTCCTGAGAGAGGAATTGGTCCTCAATGCTATGGCCAGTAGTGCGATTCCATTCATGGGCTGAGTCGTTCGGAATTTTGGTACTGAAATCATGGTGGGTCGAGGAAGCGGTGTTGAAGCAGCTTCGTTAGGTAGGCGTTGCCAAGTCAAATCCAAAGTTTCCATGGTTGCTTCTGGACGGCTCAGGTGCTTGCTGAGGATGCTCATAGTAGCTTCTTGGCATTGATTTCCGCTGAGATTCAGGATCCGCATATCGCAACTGGAAAGAGCGGCATCGGTCAACATGGCCAATTGCTCGTCGTTCAAGTGGCAATTTTCCAATTCTAAACACTCTAGATTAGGAAGCTCCAGCAAGAGACTACTGAGTCGGTTTGCAGCATCTTCGACAGCAAAGTATGACTCTGAATCATTCCCTTGGCCCAGTATAGACACTCCTTGGTCTGCGTCGCGAAGAAGAAGATTGCTCTTGATGCTTAGAGTTGCAAGGTTCCGAAACTTTTCTGGAAGAGAGAATTCGAAAGCTTCAAGCAAATCAGTGTCGAGCGTGATGCCCTGCAAATTCAGTCGTTGAATTCGGGATTGACATCCATGCACAAATGCTTGAGCAACCGAATACGGCAGATGTTGCTGCTGGTCATAGCGAATAGTCAAGGCTTGTGGGGAAGAATCCAGAATAAGGATGACCAACTCCATCAGATTATCACCGCTACAATTCCGCAGAATTACTTCTGTCATTCCTTGATGTTCTCGAAAGAATTCTGAGAATGCCAATAGAAGCGAGTTCTCAGCTTTGGGGCTGACCAAAGACCAGCTTGATAGATATAGAGAAGTGATCCTCGATTGGCGGGTATCGTTCAATTGTGCCAACAGTGTAGAAGTTGGGGATTGTCCGTGTAAGAAAAGTCGCATGATGGTGATTCCGTTTTCTTTTGTATAACATATTGTGTGATAGTTTGAAATTCGGATGTGAATCTCGCGTGATTCGAGAACCTGGCAGACGTGCACCAATTCATCGCTGAATTCCTTTTTTACGTGTTATTTCAGGAAACGAGAATGAATCACGAATTAATCCCATCCGTTTTAAGCGGGAAACCCAATCCCGTGAGTGAAAAGAGCGCACTGCTAGAAAATGTTGATCACTTGGCAGGCACTACGTATTTACGGTTTTGAACTTTTTTGCAGTGCACTATCATATCAACAATGCTGAATGATGTGTTACCTGAGGGTTCAAAAGCTCCCAAAGATGTGTTACATCTGAAGTGGTCCGTAACGGACAAGTATTACCATACCGGTAAGACCACTCGCTCCAATTTGTCTCTCCCACGAAGGCAAACACGTTGAAAACTTTCCTCCGCAAACAAGAGAGCGAGTTTAAGGATTCTCATCAGATCTAGTAGATAGCAGGGTTGTTTGACTTCGTCACCACAATTTTGAAGCCGAACCGCTATTATGGTGGTGGCTGAGCTGAAATTGCCAACACGCAAGAAATGTGAAAATAAATGTCCCAAGATTCGTTATGAGCCCCGAAGATTCTTCTCGTGTAGGAAAGTACACAAACTGTACTGTAGCGTCAAAGTAAATTTTCGGAATTCACAAATATGATCGGGTCCAAACGAATTCGAAATTATCAGAGCACAACCCAGCGAAGCAACATTATTAATAACAGCACACAAAATTTCAAATCAACACGTGACTTTTAACTGGCTGGGTCTGTACACGGTTTATTTCTTGTTACTGCTATCCCGAGCATGGCGTCAATCTACTAGTTTCAAAACAGCTGAAAATGAGCTCACATTCATTGGATTCCATGAGCAATAACGATGACGATTCCGAAGCCCGAACAGCAGCAAGGGCTATACAATTTGATGGAGATTTGGAGCATGTGCAATCACTGATCTCCTCACGGTTGGAAAAACTTTCTAGGAGCCAAATATTCAAGGCTTACAGCGACATTCATGGAACTTCAGATGATATTGAAGGAACATCTGAAATGATCACAACGACCCTCCAACAGATGGAGGAGAGTATAGCATCAATCCCCAAAAGACAAGCATACGACCGGGCAAAAGCAATGGATCCCGCGTATGTCGAGAGCTCTCAGCTGCGTCTTCGATTCCTTCGAGGAACTGGATTCAAACCAAAGCCTGCTGCTGAAAAGCTGGTCCGCTTCTTTGAAATCAAGCTGGAGTTTTTTGGCAGCCGCAATTTGGTAAAGGATATTCAGCAGAGTGACTTGAAACAGAAGGATCGCGACTATCTGTATTCGGGTCATATTCAATGGGTCCCATTGAAAGACAACAGTGGCCGACTTGTAACTATCATGTACCCTGGTCCGAAAGAGCGAGGAGTGACCCTCGGGTCTTTGCTTCGGGTGGCATTATACTTGCGCATGGTGGCAATCGAAGATGTACAGATCCAGCGAAAGGGCTTTGTTTTTGTGCTCTCTGCGGCAGATATAGGACGTGGGCTTGATCTCGATCTACCCAAGGTGAAACGATATGTTGAGAGATTCATTGAGATTCACAATGCTATGCCTGGGACGCTGAAGGCACTACATATTGTTTGTGCTGAGAATCACCGATCCTTCAACCAATATATCTTTGCCATGATGAGTCAGTTTATGCTACTAGCATTGAGGCCTTCAGAAGTCGCTCGAGTCCGCATTAAGAAAGGTAGGTTCTTTAGCAGCCACTCGTTTGTACCATGCATTGCATTATCAGCACGAGCTGTTTCTATGAATTGCAGTACCCATTCTCACCATCATCTTACTTCCATTGCATATTTCAGATTGCTCCCAATCGGAAATTCAAGAGTATCTGATCCAGTTTGGGATACCTGAGGACCAGATTCCTCCTTCGAATGACACGACTGCATATACTGCCCTTTTGACCCAACGGAAGGAGCTTGAACAATTGCGACAATCGAATCAACGAATTTTTCGTGTAAACAATAGTGTAGAGTCGGTGTGTATGCCCAGTCCATTCGATGTGATCTCGGGTCGAGGTCGCAGTCTCATGGGACATCATGGGAATCGAATCTTGCGCAATTTGGTAGAAGAACACATGGAGACATATGAAGCAGCAAGTCGACAACACAAGAAGGTAGTCTCATCGGAGGTCGTCGATCTGATCAAGAAGAAGGGAAGGTTCCTGAGGGAACACCTGCATGGATGGGTGGAGATTGATACTGAGGCAGCTCGAATGAAGGTCTCTCATGCGTTCAGAGACTTTCGAGCATCATCAAAGAAAACCTTTGGAAAGGATACCAAAGAGAAGGATGATGTGGGGTATATCATTGACCATGATGGTATTGGGTCCTTCGAATTTGACAGTAGTGATGGTGAAGATGATGGCGGTCTCTTTTCGATTTAAAAACTAAAATATCCTAATATGCATACAGTAGGGGTATGTGGTACGTACCTATATACCAGACTACCGGTATTTCGATTTCTTCGACTTCAGAGTACCTTGACTAGATCGACTCTTGTCTGATACCAGACGGTGAGGAGCGAGCGACGAGGACTTCGCGACCAACAATAACTCTTCCAAAAAGCAAGGGCAATTCCCGCATACTGTAAATAAGAAGACACCGCCAAATTTTGAACCTACCTGGAATACCCCTTTATAGTTCAGTCTCTGTTCCACGTACAGCAGGAAGATGATGCAAGAAGAGGATGTTACAGCAGCTGAGCAAGTTGTCCCTAATACCGCAGAAGAAAAGAAAGAAGACTCCGAAACGCAAGAAGAAACGTCCACGATGACAGGTTCGCTCTCAGACGAAGGTGTTGGCGCGTCGGAAACCAGCATTGCTGATCGCATTGAAAAGACAAAAGATATGATGAAAGACTTTGGCAACACGGTGGCTGTCGAAAAGCCAAAACAGATGTTTGCTGACATTCAAGGGATGGCCTCTAATCTTAAGGAAAGGGTTGCCTTTAGCAACAAGCCAGGTGATGGAGAGTCTGACGAAACAGGTGAAAAAGTAGACCCTATGGAAATGCCTAGACAATTGTTCGCCGGTATGAAGGAAAAAGCATCAAGTTTCAAAGTATCTTTCAATTCTCTTGCCGATGGTGGTGCCAGCAGTGCTTCACCTGATGGAGAGACAGGTGAAAAAGTAGACCCTATGGAAAAGCCCCGACAAATTTTTGCTGGTATGAAAAAAAACGCGTCAAGTTTCAAAGGCTTCTCTTTCAACTCTCTTTCCGATAGTGGTGTCACCAATCCCTCATCTGATGGAGGGACAGGTGAAAAAGTAGACCCTATGGAGAAGCCTCGACAAATTTTCGCTGGTATGAAGAAAAACGCGTCAAGTTTCAAAGGCTTCTCTTTCAATTCTCTTTCCGATAGTGCTGCCACCAATACTTCATATGATGCGGACTTGGATGCCACATCTGATGAGCAAGCCGCAGTGGAGGGCTCACCGAACGATGCTCTGGAACGATCCAAAGTATTCTTTACTGGTATGAAAGAAAAGGCTTCCAGTTTCAAGATGAAGCTACCCTTGGCAAAGGACGAAGAGTTTGATGAATATGGCAAGGCAGTACCAGGACCTTTAGATCGAATGAAGGCGGACATGAAAGACTTGGCATCAGGCATTCGGGGGAAAATGGCATCGACCAACAGTCAAGGTTCTGCTGATGGCCTTGATGACGGTACCCCGGGCCGTAGTTCTGTCTTTACCATTTCCGAAGACCACGAAGAAAATGATTATGATAAGCTTGCGGCTAGCAACCGTTCTGTGGATATGCTTTCGTCTAGCCACCGTTCCATGGCAAGCAACGATCTATCCGTCAAGGTCAGTGGATTCATCAACTCGGCCAAGCATTCAGCGCATGATTCGCTGAGTAGTATGCCAAGCTTGGCGTCCTTCTACGCTTCAGATTCTTCCCTTCAAAGCTTTGGCTTGTCGGATAGGTTTTCCTCATTTCGAAACAAAACGATTTCTCCCATTTCGGAAAAACTAGGTTTCAAGCATACCAAAGAGCCTGAATCCGAAGAAGTCCAGTTCTTCCAGTCTACTACTGGTGACAAGATCCCTGTTGGACCAGAGCCTACAATCGTGAAGGAACTCTGTCCAGAATTCAAGGAAAAGAAAACCAGCAGCGCAAAGCACTGGGAGAACGTCCTTCCTAAATCCACAAATGATACAAGGCCATCCATGGCGCGACGACTTCCTTCCATTGCTTCCTTGGACACGTCAGCTCATGCTCCATCACCACAGCCATATGAACACGACACATCATCTCTGACCATTTCTGAGAACGAATCCTGAGAATGCATCGACGCAAAAAGATCAATTAATATAAGTGTCTCCTTTCAGATCCGTATCGCAGATGCGTAATGACCTTTATCATTGGAGAAGTGATGGGATGCTAATGAAGACCGTTCGTCCTCTGTACCACCGCCAATTGGGCACAAACATGTATGCCACGACATGACAGAAGAGTAAAGTAAAATTTACATTGGATGTTCTGTTTTCGACCTTCTTATATTCGGATTATGTCAGTCTGATTGCTTTATTAGACAAGAGATATGGCGATAGGACCTGCTGGTCGTGAGTTTTCAGAATTTCAGATTCGTTGTAGCGGAATCCTTTCAAGACTTTTCGACATTTGGGTGAACCGCATCCGCATTGGATTGGTTCACTCAGCTCGTATTCGGTCGTTTCATAATCATGTCCAACTTCCGTTCCTTCCTCAATCGTCCTCAGAGCCACAAAGTCGTAGGCATTGGAATCATTGAGTTGGGCCCTCAAATTAGGGTCACACATGTGATTCAAAAAGCGAGCTGGTAGATCGATATAGACATGCGACTTCCAGTCCACTTGAATCGAGTGGGAATGAGGCTTGTCAAAGGATTTGAGGGCAATCGATTCAATGACACGTTCGCCTGGCGCAAAGTGACGCATGGCAAAGATTCCGTAGCCTCGACCGTCGGCAGTTCTATTGATCTGGACTGACCCTAGGCACCGTTCATTTGCTTCATTAATTTCTTGGGTCGCCGAGGAGAAATGAGAAGTTGTGGAACGATTGAGTGACATCAGGCTCGACCCGGGAATGTCCGTCAAGATCGGTCGAACAGTTGCACCAAGTTTTCTCCAGCGTCCTCTCATCATTTGTTACGTTGTTGCCGCGACTATTGATTTGTCGTTGTCCGAAGCTGAAGGAAGCGAATAGAAACACTCAGTGACAGATGATCAATATAGTCAACGTGCGGGTGAGAATCCTAATACAGTATGTCGTCGCGATGCGATGGTGCGATAATATATAAAATGATGACGAGAGACCGATGAAAACAGGAGTCGTTCTCTCTTTCTCCGTTTATCAGATCAAATGAGTCAAATAACGACCCCAGACCCCAGACCTCATCGCATCTCCGCTCCGGCTCCTCATCTCCGGGGACAACGGAGTGTGATATATGGTGTGGTAGCATAGATTGAACTGGGAATTTGGGTTTGTCGTGGTTTGATAGACAGGTAGTACCTGCCATGACTGCTTACTACTACCTAGACCAGCCAGCCAGCACCGACTGCGTAACATGATTCCATACGTACTTTATATTCTACTATTTACCACGAATTTTGTCTATCGTGTTGAACCATACCGGTACATAAATACCATTCACACGGTGTCATTCACTGCGCCTTTGCGGTGCGCCTGGTCATTTGCAGACAGATATTATTTGAGGGCTCTGCCGCTTGTTCCTGTCGCGACAATTTGGGAACAGTAATGGACAATACTCCGTCAATCACACAGGCATCTATCCGGTCGGCATCGACATTGGATCGCAAGGATAGCAGTCGGTGAAATCTGGGTGGTGGTTTGCTACCATTATTTGGGGATGGGGATTCTTCTTCTTTTTTTCTTCTTCCATCACGCAGGTGAATCACAGTAGCATTCCGATCAGTTTGTTCTAGCGTCATTTGCACGTGTTCCGATTTCATCCCTGGCGCGTCCACAACGTAGATGTAAGCTTCTTCTGTTTCTCGTTGGAGTCGAAGGCCGGAACACTGATGGGCTGAAGAGGAAGAATTCATGATTTGATGACGATGGTGGTGGTGGTTGGTGCCTGCGAAAAATAGATTATTGTCAGCTGCCCCATGAAACGCAGCCGAGAATGGATTGAAATCAAGGAGTGACATGCTTTAACTATGTTGGTTTTTGCCCTTTCTCTTCACAGCAACTGATGCAGTGCATCATGCGTTGAATCCGGATCATCTTCGATGGAAAAACGAGAAGGCATTTCAATCACAAACAAGCAATCATCGCTATAAATATAATTTTGACACGCGCATGTGCCAGCCGCACGTTTGGGGAAATCTATTCTCCCCCAAGTCACAAATGAATCCCCTTGCTCACAGTGGCGATTCATTCAACATTTTTAGGTTCCATATCATACTTCAGAAGTACCAGGTCACACGATGGTTATGTATTAAGGATAGTATGTGTGTGGTCTATATTTCTCATCTATGAGCCTTTGGTTACAACAAAGATACACTCGACATGCACAAAAATCCATCCTTTCCTCGTTTCGTACATCGGCATGATGACAGACATCATCGTGCTCCACCTTTTTATTGTTTCTGTTTCTTCTTGGGTACAGTGATAGTCAGGATATGGTCGGAAAGATTGCCACTTATTCTCTCAGCGTCCACTTTGGAACCCACTGAAAAGAGTCTCCTCTCACTGCTGGATTCGTCGTCTTCTGATGCTGAGGATCCTTTTATTGGTTGCTGTCCAACACTCAACCGAATAATTGTTTCTTGTTTCTTTTTTTCGAGATTCAGTCTCCATTTACCCGGTTGGATTCCTGGTGCATCAATAACATACACAAAGGCCTTGTCACTTTGATGTTGGAGCCGAACTCCCAAAGGTTGGTCCAAACAAAAAGCAGCATTCTTGTTCTTGTCGTTGTTGTGATGGTTTGACGAGGAGGAGAGGTATTGCGTGTTGTTGCGATTTCCCGAAAAGAAGAGACTGTCGTGCAAGGCTTCGTCAAAGAAAGAAGCAAACGGGTGGAATGGAAGGAGGGACATGGCTATTTGTATCTTTGCAGTGACAATTGGAGTTGCGCAAAAAATTCAAAAGTGACACGACGCCCTTCTGAATCTTTGGATTTTGTGATGTTTGCCATCAAAACCGTTGTTTGGCATCCGCGCGAAATGGAACTTAAGTAGGCGCTTTCGAAAGCGAAACATGTTCCGTTCAAATTATTGGTTCAATAAATTTGAACCTCACGCAGTCTCCTTCACCTTGATTCTTGTTTGTATCACGGTATATTGAAAGTCTGTTTGGAATTAAAACACAAACAAAAGACAAACAAAAAAGATGATGATGCCAGGCATGGAAGCTGCTGCTGGCGCCGAGGGTGGTGCTGCACAAGATTCTAACAAGATTGTGGACCTCTTGGACTTCGTGGAAAAAAAGAGCTGCTACGCCCGCAATGAAGACCCCCGCTTTCCTCATTCCAACTTGTTCATTGGGGACTCCCGACTTGGTTGTAAGAGTGATGCTGACGAGCAGTTGATTTTGCACATTGAATTCAATCAATTTGTCAAGGTACGTTTTTTTAATCGTGAAAATATGAAAATATTTTCCTGTGACAATGCTGATCAACGTTCTTCCTCCCCCATTTTCTACAGATTCATTCTCTCAAATTCACAGCCTTCAATCAAGGCAACGAACCAGAAACCAGCCCAACTGTTGTCAAACTGTACATTAATAGACCAAATCTTGGCTTCGAAGACATTGATGATGTCGATGAGACTCAAGCATTGGAATTGACATCGGAAGACTTGCGAGAGGGATCCGATGCCATGCTTTTAAAATTTGTCAAGTTTCAACGCGTTAGCTCCTTGACAATCTTTATTGAAGATAATAATGGAGGTGATGTCAGTTCCTTGGGTGGACTGAAACTATACGGCAAGACAGTCGCTACCACGAACATGTGCGACTTCAAAAAGAACAAAGGATGAGGAAGGTAAGCAGATGGACCCCTAGTGTGTTCCTTTTTTCTCGTCTACCGTAGGTATATATAGAAGACGAAGAAAAAAGGAACCGTCCATTTGCTGCAGAAGTCGATTGTTGTTTATGCACAATGTTGCTACAGAAAGAGTACCTGAAGTCGTAATGACGCAACCACGGGAATGGGAATAGCTTTTGCTTTCCAATTCCAGTGGTGGCTGACAAAGACTTCATCAATGATATTTTGAATTGCACATTGCATCTAGCCAAACAAGTAAAAATATTTATCAATGGCTCGTTTACTTATTATTATTTATCATCTTCCTTCTTGTCGTCGTCATCATCATGCTGCAATTGTGCACCCTTGACGAGTGATATAAGCAAGTCATTTAGACGAGGGATCATTGTTCGGCTGTCGTCCAATAGACCGGCTGCCATCAAACAATTGTCGTAGACTTGTTCGGCAAGAATCTTGGCCAACATGGGTTCTGATTCTCGAATCTTGTACAATCCTACCATGAGTGGATGAGATGGATTGATTTCGACATTTTGTTTGGGCAGGGGCATGGAATCCCGCGTGCCCTCGGAGGTGTCCACCATTCGCATCATTCGTCTCATGGCTCCGGACTCATTGTCAGTGACAATGGCGGGAGAAGATACCAATCGACTGGATGGCCGACAGGATCCAACCTTGCTGTCACCCAAGGAATTCTTCAGCCACAAACAGAGATCCATGGCTTCCGTAGCACTCAATTTTTCATCACTGCCACCCTCGTCTGATGATTCATCCCCATCGTCATCCTTCTTATCCTTCTTTTCATCGTCACTCTGGAATTGGCTTAGATCAATGTCACCATTCTCCACGCTCACCAACTTGCGTCCTTCGTACTTTTCCAAGTTGGCCATGACAAAGTCATCAATGGCAGTGTAAATAAAGATGACTTCCAAATTGGCCTTTTCAAAGGCCTCCAAATAGGGACTCAAGGCTGCTGCCTCTCGGGTGGGAGCACACAAATAATAAATGTCATTTTGTTCCGGTCGGACGTTCGAAATGTATTGGTCCATGGAAATGAGCTCCTTGGTGGTGTTCTTGTTGGTCTCGAATCGGAGCAGCTTGGCCAAGGTGGATTGGAATTCAAAGTCTTGGCAGACGCCCTCCTTCAAGAAGAAGGCGTACTCTCGGTAGAATTCATCCAAGTACTTTTCGGGTTCTTTCCTGGATTTGAAGCAAAGAGGAAAGTAATGAAGCAAGGTTAGATTTCATTGAAGAGAAGTGCATGGCATTCCATTGGTACGAGTGATTTACTTACTTTGCCATCTTTTCTAGCTGTGAAAGGAACTTTCTGGTCAATACTTTGCGCAACTTCAAGATAAGGGCAGAATCTTGTGGCTTTTCGCGGGAAATGGCAAGAGGCAAGTCTTCGGAATCCACCACACCCTTGACAAATCGCATCCAGTCGGGCAGGATATCCGTCGACTTCGATTCAATCAATACCTTTCGAGAGTAAAGACTGACTCCAGGTTGCATGCGCTCCATGCCATACTTTTCAGAATGGAAACTGGGAATGAATAAGAGTGCTTTAACGTCCAAAGGAGCTTCCGCACGGAAATGCAGGATATCCAATGGATCGTCAATGGCTTGGGCAATGTATTTGTAAAATTCAACATATGTGTCATATTCGACTTCTCTTGGATCTAAACCCCAGACTGCTTGAACTGAATTGACTCGATTTCCGTTGATGAAGATTGGGAATTGAACAAAGTTGGAGTACTTGTTGAGGACCTCTGTAATCTTGGATTCTTGAAGAAGACTCCAGTAGTTTGAATCCAAGAAAATCTTGATGGAAGTTCCTCTATCTTGTCGAATCTCCTCATCCAGCTCGGATATCTCATAGGTTCCAGTTCCATCTGACGTCCAAACTGTGGCAGGTCCACCTCTCGCTGGTTGTGTAGTAACTTCGACCTTGTGAGCAACCATAAACACAGAGTAAAATCCAACTCCAAACTTTCCAATGATTCCCTTTGCAATTTCCAAGCCATCGCTCGATCCTGCTTGTTCCAACTCGGTCATAAAGTTCTTGCTACCCGATCGTGCAATGGTACCCAAGTTGGACACCAGTTCTTCTTCTGTCATTCCGATACCAGTATCCTCAATTGTAATGGTCGATTCCACTTCATCCAATGTGATCTTGATTTCCAAATCACGATCGGAATTTTCAATATCTGCTCCTCCTGCGTTTTGCAAATGGCGCAACTTTTCACAGGCATCACTGGCATTTGATATCAATTCTCTCAGAAAAACTTCCTTGTCTGTGTAAAGCGAGTTGGTGACAATATCCAAGAGTTGCTTGGTTTCCGCCTGGAATTCCATAGTCTTTTTGGTAGTCTTTTTGGCTGGTTCATCATTCTTGTCGCTTTCTGTGGAAAAGGCTCGGTAGTTGATAAAGTGGTCCGACGATCCGGGAAAGAATTGGTTACATCTAGAGGACGATGACATCCTCAAACGGCTCGATGAAAGATTCTCCAAGGAGGACTTGGTCATGGAACCCGCTGGTCTTCGAGCGGTAGCACCCGCAGCGGCGAGCCGTCTCACATTGCGTCTCATCATGTCGGCAAACAAGAAGTGCAACAACTACAGTAGGTAGGGTAGAGGATGCTGATGAAGAGAGATGAGAGTTGGAAGAGGATGGAGTTTCCAAGAAGAACCAATCGATCGTGTCGACGCAAGTGATGTTCAATAATAATAGGTTATGGGGCGAAACGGACAAAGGACGAACAAATAATCAGAAAACTTCTGATCATTTCGCATTCTTCATCATCAACAGTAAGACATGTAGATGCTTCTTATCATGGTCATTGTGATTATTGTATTATCAAATTTAGAAAGGCGTTTGTCACCTGTGGTGCGTATAAAATGGTGCATTCAAGAGCCTCATCGTTGTGATTCTTCGCCTTCTTCCGAAAGTTGTGTACTAAAATTTGGCAAGAAGGTGGTACTGTAGCATGTAGTAGCCATGAAGTGGTAGAAGACGTACATTAGAAGTCTTGGTCAGCTGATCATCCTGAAAGTGCCCTGGGCTGCATTGTTGCATTACCCTACTGATAAACAGAGCTTTCAATTTGTAGCATTTGTAGGAAACATGATGTTGGGCCCTTGTTTTTGTAATGGAGAAGCAACAGGAGATTACCCATTTGTATGGATTGTTGCTCATACTGCTTCATTTATTCTCCAAAATCCGACTCGACCTCTGCAAAAGACACGATGGACAATGCGGATGTCAGCAGAGACATAGAATGTCGCTTCCGATCTGTGGGAGTTGCATTTTTCCATGCGTTCGTAGTGTTCTCGATTACTACAACAGAGACAGAGCTGGTGGAATCCTCTGCTGTTTCTCCCAGCGAGCTCAGCGCAAACTCTTGCGAGTCAGAAGGTAGCGAAAACTCGGTACTCGAGGGAGGAGTGATGGAACAAGTGTGCCCACTCTCTTCCAGTTCATGCTTGGCAGCCGATAGCATTTTGGACGTCTTTGAGCCCCGTCGAAGATACCGCCGTCTGGCATCAGGAGACTGTAACTTGCAAAAGCACGGCTTTTCAGCTTTCCCCTTACTTCTTCCGTTCCATGGCAGAGACCTTCTTTTGGGATTTGAACATGTAGAGTTAGAACCAACCATTTTGTATCTTTGTCTTCGATTGTCTTCGTTTTGTGTGGGATGGAGGTGTTCTACAGGATCAATTCAAAAAACCTGTGTCACAATTATATTGGCCGTACTTATGGACACGAAGACTGCATGCAGCTTTGGGTGCCGTTGAGTGTTTCACAAGTTTCTTGGGCCTCATTGCTACTTAGTACCCGTCGGTCAGAAATGTCTTTGCTGGTACGTCAAATAGTGTCCACAAGGTCATTTACTGATCAGGAAATTTCAAAAAATACGAACAACGGTTGCCGCTTATGGGGAGCAATGACAACAAATGAACTTTCCATCCCGCGCTATTTTAATCTCTTGTTCTCGTCCCTGAAATACCGGCAGTGCTGCATTAGGGGTTGTCAATGAACCCATTGGAACTTTATCATCTCCCCTTGGTTACCGGTGTGCCTGTTTACCTGTTGTCGCTAATCGGGTATTGAGAACCGATGTCACATTCCGGTTCCTTTCCGTCGATCACGAGTGAGTGCACAGGGCCATCAAATACAGTACGTAGGAAACTTTGTTCAATATATACGCTGCAAAACATATTCCTGCATGTCGCTCCATCGTAGTAATTGCATTAGCAAACACGGAACTATTTCACAACAACAGATAAGATTGAAAACCTAGAGTGAATAGTTGTAATTCCAATGATGTTCAGCAAGAGAAAAAACCAATCTACTCGTAGGGGATTAATTCTCTTTTACGCTTTGGACTTCTTCTTTTTCTTCTTTTTGCGCTTCTTATTGGATTCAAAGTCGACTACCTTTTGGGTCTCGTTTACTTTCTCCTCATCATTCCCATCCTCGTTGGACATTAGACCAAGTGATTTCAAGACGTCCAGATGGGCAGCATTTTCTTCTTCACCACCCGCAAAGGCTCGTTTCTTGCCACGATTGGTTTTCTTTGGTCCCTTTCTGGTTGATGGTTTCTTTTCGACAATACCCATTTGGCTGCTATCAACATCATCAGTCACCTTCGTTTGCACAGTAGACTTTGTTGTTTTGGATTTCGGAGTAGCAGGGGAACTCTGCTTGTCCATTTTGCCAGGATCTTGACAAAATGCCTCCGTAATTGCCTCCAAAACGGACTCGTCAACTGGCTCCGACTCTTTTGCTGCGTCATTCTGGTAAAACAGTACACTGGTATCAAACGAAGCGACTCGGAATGAGTCTTGTCTCCGATGCTGCGTACCTTCTGCATACCAGTGCTTTCCTTGGTCTAGTAGTAGGTGCTTCGAAAGATACTTGTGATCCAGTAGCTGTTGATATGACTTCGATTCTTTCCAAGCTGGAACAAAGACCACAAACATGAGTGGGTCCGTTGCATCCCGAAGAAACAATTCCATTTTTCGGGATAAAGCACCGATGACTCCATCACAGAATGGGGGGTTGGCTTGATAGCATCCCGATGGCAAATTGGAAAGATGAAAGAAACTTGATAGACTTCCGAAGAGTGCATCCAAGTCGAATGCAGAAGCAAAGGTCTCATACCGGCAATTCAAAGGCGACGCGAAGCATTCCATGCGGCAGTCCAGCTTGTTGAGAAGAGTATCCATAATACTTCCCGGAACACCGGCCTGTAGACCTGCTCCTTGCAGCATATCGTATCGACATAGCATACAAAACAGTGCTTCTTCAAAAGTAAAGTCATCGCTGGTCGGTTTTCGTTGTTGTTGTCTGTCATAGAGCCGTTGCAACTTTTCGTGGTACGAAGGATGGATGCGGAATGAGTTTCCGGCATGTGTGATTTGAATCAGCGTATTTTCTTCAACACGTGTGATCCTTGGCTGCTTTCTACTTTTGGCTGCTTGCAACATCGCTTGATTCGCAACCTGCTGGAGTTGTTTGGCGTAGATTTCTCTTGTATGCATGATAATCTTGTGAATAGCCCTGTGCACTTGATTCAGTTTCTTTTGGAGCTTTGGCGGCACATCATCCGTCGTAGATCCTTGTCGTTGATTCCATGCTCTCAAAACTTCTTCCCTCAACAATGGGCCAAGCAAGTCGGATGATTGATTGGAGAGAAGTATCGGATCGAAATAGTGTTCAAAATCCTGTCGAGTCCAAGCATTGATTTTGGCGGTTGTCGCCATTAGCGGGTACCGTTGCCTATTGATACCTTCATATTTCCCTCGTTCCTTGTGCTTTGCGTCCATGTGCCACTTTTCCAAAACACTGGGAATGGAGAACTTCACCTTGAACGGCTGCTGAATTATTCGTTGAATCACTTCCAAGCACTCCTTCTTGAAGGCTTCGTATGCCCGTCGTCGCACCACTTCTACCTGTGGATTGGTAGGAATGACCGAACTTGTGACATCATCGACTGAGGGTTCCACATCATCGAATGGCACAGCTTGGACGTATGGATTCCATATGGAATGGCTTCCTGCCAGGTAGGAGTTATTTGGATAATCTGTCAATTCTGGTAGTTTTCGTTTTCTCGCTCCACGATCTCTGGTTTTCTCAGTCGTCTTTGTTTTATCCATCGGTGCTTGGAATCCTTGCTGTTGATTCCAGTCTTGCATCAATGATGCGATGGCATCATCTTGTCGCAACATGATGGTGTGATTGTGATGATTGATGATGATACGAATTTTCTCACATGACACAAAGGGTTGGTTGGAGTTTAGTCGACATAGTCAAATCTTTACGGGTCACCCCCACGCCACACTGAACACGGGCTACAACAAATAGCCCGCTTCATTTTTATTGCCCGCATAGTGTAGTCAAATAAATCATCACCGCGAGACGACCTCACAACGCAACGCACAACACAACGCAACGCGCATTATCCACCAATAATCCTCGTAGCAATGATATAAACCGCAATATGACAAGAGGCATTAAGAATGTATCCGGGGTCTCCTGTCACATCTCTTGCGCCCTTCAGATCCTGCTGCACTCGTTGATTCCAATCTGCGACGCTCTTACCAAGAAGGAAAATGGTCCACATCCATCCAGACCTTTGCATCAGATGTCCGAGTTTGCCAAGGAACTAAGAGATGATTCACCGCCGGATGATGAGAACCCTTTGTCTCCAGTTGATCCATCGCCATTGTACAAGATGCTAAAAGATTTTCGGTCCTCCACCGCCAAGTCTACCTTGTCGCTGGAGCCAGAAGATGTGGGAGATGCGTCCACTGCCATTTTGATGTTGCTGAAGCTACTGAGACAGCAATCCAAAGATTGGGCGAGTTTAGTCGACCTTTGTTCCATGGGATCCATGAGGTATTCCATCAAAGGGGAATATCATATTGCAGCCTCCGATGGTTCAAACAAAAAGAGAATACGAATAAAACCTGGAAAGATCAAGCAAATGCCGTTTCCTTTCCCAATTTCTGGCGAGTACCAGTCGCTGGACGAAGCTCTCAAGACTGCATTGCAACCAACGGAAGTAGTCGGGTACAATTGGCAATCTCAAAAGCCGGAATCGTACGAGGAGATCTGTTATGATGAAGCCGGTCAAGTGGTCGAGCTTAAAGACGACGACTGCAACTCTGATAATTACGATTCTAAAACAGAATGGAAAACGGAAAAAGCATTGCACATTGAAGAGCTGCCGCACTACTGTTTCTTTCACTTGGATCGCTTTTCATATGACTCAATGGGTGACAAAACTCTCTTGAATCCTACTGTTGAAATTCCACCATCTCTGGAGCTTTCAGCCTTGCAATCTAAAGCAGAAGGGTCCCTACAACTATTGGGAGGTATATTGCATGTCAGCGAGGGTGGAAAGATTGAAGAAGAGGGACACTATGTGACTCTTGTTAGAATAGACGAGGATGTTTGGGTACTAATTGATGACGAAACCTGTACCGAAATACGATCAGATGAAACCGCCATGGAGCGTCTGAAGGGAACAACCGATGATTCAGGGAACTTTGTCTGTGCCACTCTGGTTGCTTTTGGACCGCTCGATCAGAAAGCGAACACGAATCATCGCGATCGCATGTTTCACAGGATAGTGGGGCAAATACAAAGTCAGACTCCCGAGGAGGTAGTTGGCAAGCGCATACTCGTCAAGTGGGCCAAAGAAAAATTTTATGCTGGCATAGTCAAAGGATATCATGCTGCCACTGGAAAGCATTCCATACTCTACGACGATGGCGATGTGAAACAATACGTTTTGAGCCAAAAAATTGCAGAGTTTCCATAGTGGCAGTGGGTGTGGTTTGAGGTAGTTCGAACATCAGCGACCCCTTGTATTCCTTTGTGTTCCCAGTCCCTCCTCTCCACACGTTAAAAAAAAAGATGATATGTAGTCATTTTATGACCGCGACAGATTTCATCACCGCGGGATCAGTATATATCACTTCGACATCACTTAAATAGGGTATTTTTGATTTAATGTTCATGCTGGTGACCCTAATTGGCATTGTGCTCAAGTGGCCACTATCAAACTGGCATGATACCTGGTATGCTCATCTTCTCTTGTAGGCACGGAAATTGAACCGGAATCTACTGCTGCGGTATCAAAATAAGTACATACAGTAGTTTAGGGCTTATTCCTATACCTACCGGTTGCGTCCATTGATTATTGATTATTCTAACATTATTCCAACATGGTGAGGATACGAGAAGGCAGAGAGTTTTACGATGATTTGTACGAAACACCAGATGAAGATTATGATGATGAAGAAGATGAATTGAAGAAATTGACCTTTCCTGATCAAATGGTCGGAAGATCGAAAGAACTTGAACAGCTGCATCAACTATACGAGAAATTTTGTGGAGAGAAGAAGAGGGAATCAGAAAAGCTTCCACTTCTTATGATATCTGGTTGGTCAGGGGCAGGAAAGTCGGCGTTGGTCTCTGGTTTTCGCAAAGAGCTGGAACACAAGCAACTGAAACGAAAGCCACTTTTTCTATATGGGAAGTATGACCAAAATTTACCTGGTCAGGAATCTTCTACGCTTGCTGCTATCCTGGAAGCGTTCGTAATTTTTTCCAAAAACCTCGAACAAGAAGAAGACCTGGAAGAAAAGACGAGTATCCTAGCATCCCTGAGGGCTGGAATGCATGACGACATTGAAACCATTGAGCCGCTACTACCTCGCTTGGCGAAACTTCTGAGAGAAGACACCGACCCCGCATCAGTGCCATGTGCTGGATTCACATGGGACCGCTTGCAGTATCTTTTCAAATCGTTGTTTAGATCTCTTTGCAGTGGAGGGCGCCCATTAATTTTGTATTTGGATGACTTGCAGTGGGCTGATCAGAACTCATTAGAACTGATCGAAATCCTGCTGAAGGACCAAAGCCTCAAAAACTTTATGATACTCTCATGCGTCCGATCCAGTTCAATAGCAGACGGTGGACTCAACAAATGGCTTTCGCTACTAGATGAGGACAGAATAGAAAAGATGGAGCTCAAGAGCTTATCTTTGGAAGAAACTGGCCTTTTCATTTCAGAGACTCTGGAGCTGAAGCCAGAAGAAACGTCATCGCTTACAATGGCGGTCTATAACAAGACGAGAGGAAATATATTCTCAACGATACAGGCACTGGAGGAGTTGTATCGGAAAGAGATTATTCAATTCTCTGTGATTTCATTTAATTGGGAATGGAACGTCAAGGCCGTTGAACGACTGCAAGCACTTCTCTCTGATGACGTGCTCGAAGCTCTGATTTCTAAAGTTGAAACATTGCCACAGCGGTTGCAAATGATTCTCGCCATTGCTGCCTACACTCGATACGTATTTGAGATTGACATGCTCGAATATATCATCCGTTGCGACGAGTGTTGCAAAGTCGATTCTCGAGACGAACTCACAGCGCTGCTCAAAAAGGCTGTTTTGGAAGGAGCCCTTACCCAGTCAGTTGGAAGCCCACGGTATCGATTTACTCATGACAAAATTCGACAGGCATTGCAATCTGTCGTTTCATCTAAGTATCCACAGCTGATACCGACCATTGGAAAACTACTTTATGAGTTTGCAAAAGAGAAGAGAGGAAGTGACTGGATGTATTTTGCAGCTTCAAATTATATCCATCCGTCTGCTGAATCGGAAGATCCCGCCTTTCTTGCAGAACTGTTCTTGGAGAGTGGCCAGAGAGCAGTTCGTCTCGCTGCTTTTGCTCCAGCAAGCAAGTTTCTGAAACAAGGACTAGAGGCATTGGGACGAATGGAGACACCCTGGGTTACTTCCTACCATTTGACGCTGAACCTTCACAACTTACTAGCTGATACTGAATTCAACCTTGGTAACTTAGATTCCGGCAAGGAAATCTGCGATATCATTGTCGAGAATGCTTCAAGCTTACTGGATAAGCTGCATGCCTATCATTCTTATGTCATGGCGTTAGCAAAGAATTTGGAGTTGGAGAAAAGCAAGCAGGTCGTCTGTCATGTTCTCGAGCTACTGGGCGAGCGCCCAACGCGACTGAAAGGAGCTGCTCGCTTTTTGAAACTTCGCAAAGTAAAGACATATTTCAAGAAACATTCGAATGAAGACTTGTTGAATCTTCCAGCAATGACCGACGAAAGATTGGTTTGGTCAATGAAATTATACATGAATCTTGCAACGCGTGCATTTCAAACGAATGACAAGAACTTCAGCCTTCAGCTATCTCTAAAGATGATTATGTTGACTGAAGCAAATGGGCTTTGTGGCGCATCAGCGCTGGGATACGCTTTGTATGCAAGACATCTCAAGGAATCCGGGGACTATGTACATGCCATGCGATTTGCGGAGTTGGCAAAGGAGGTGTGCAAACGTTTTTCAGCGAACCGAATTGTCAGCTACTTTGTCATTGAATACATTGATTGCTGGTGTCTCAATCCTGCATCATGCTTGACCGCATTGCAACACAACCATAGGATAGCGCTTTCGAAAGGAGAAGTCGAGGCGGCGTTTCTTCTCTCCTTTGCGGGAAACAAGTTGGCTTTTGATCTAGGATACCCCCTTCGAGCTGTCGAAAGGAGAGCAACAGAGATTCTGGATGAAGCAAAATTGAACCAAATGGCACTGTATGCGGATCGGGTGAAATATAACCGTGCTGTTGTGAGATACCTCCTTGGATTTGAGTCGCTACCATTGGACTGGGATAGCATCGGAGGAGGCGACATTGACTTTGACAACGAATACTTGCTCATGCCTTTCTACTATAGCAGGTTGCAAATTGGCTTTTATTTTGGAAATCTTGAGTTCGCTGAACGGATGGCAACTCGCCTGGATACAGTGCTTGTGGCTGACAATGGGTTTACTGTCATGTCGAACGCTCTATTCTTCCCGGGCCTTGTTTTCTCTGGACTGGCGAGGCAGACAGGGAAACGCAAATTTATTGCACGTGCTAGGATCTACCGTGACAAGATGGAGACTTTGTTGAAAGCTGGTGCTGTGAACACGAAGAACAAGCTTCTCTTAATGGATGCAGATATCTTTGCATGTTCATCAAGGGCAAGTACACGTTCAATACAAGCAAAGTACGACGAGGCCATTTCTGTAGCAATGAAATCAGGTCTGACTCATATGGTTGCACTTGGAAGCGAACTTGCCGGTGAATTCTTCTTGTCGAACAGACAGGATGAAGAAGTGGCCCGAGATTACTTCTCGCGGGCTGTAGAGGGATACAGATTATGGGGCGCCAGGGCCAAAGTGGAAGATCTGAACAATCGCCATGGAGAACTCATCAGCCATGCACAGGCATCGGAGGCCAAGAGTACACTGACATCATCATCAGAGTTGCAGATGTGCGACAATTCAAAAGATCTGGAGCTGATATCAGTTCATACATCGCTCAACGAACTGCCAGGCTAAAACTGTATAAATACTATTATAATGTTACCTCCGAGTGTTGCGTACACGTCCTATCCGTACCCTGGTATCTTGAGTATTAATAATATAGAGGTATGATCGGTGATACAACGACCGAGCCTACCTGAGGCAATCTCGCTCCTATTCCTTTCAGATCCATTCATCCGTGACAAAGAACCATACCACTCTCTCTATAAAAGGAGAGGGACACCACAAATGCAGCTGGGTCCTAGTAGCAAGCGTTATCGCTTCGCCCTCGCTCAATTCAAAGTGCGAATGCGCTTCGCCTGAATTGTAGTATTCTTCAAGTTGCTACAACAAATACTACATCAGGGCTCTACAGTGCCGGTACAGTACGATAGCACCGGCGGTCTGTGGTACCTCTTATTGCGCGAAGCGCTCCTATCTGAAGCATATATCAGTACTTGTACCAGTACGTAAACGGACACGTTTACCTGGTACGAACCCTCCTTGCGTGTATTACTGTAGGTAGCAGACAAATTGAAAATGGCGCATTGAGGGAGCGCAACCACCAACAAAACCTGCCTTTTTCCCGTCGAACATGATGTGGTCAGATTTTGAAATTCAAGGAGCTCTGGTGTTTTTCTAATTAGGGAGTTTTCAACGGACTTATTTCCTTTGTTCTTGTGATTACGAGTGCTATCAGGGCGATCCCGTCGCATATCAATTGGGCATTTATGGGTAGACGGTGGATCTCAGTTTACTGCGCGTAGAGAACATGGCTCACGAAATTTACATATTAAGGAAAAAGGATCTTGCTTTCTGCTGAGTGCCATTTTGTTACGTCATCGAGGAGACGTCAACAGACATTCTAATCGAACTATAATTAAAATTCCCACTGGACACCGCTCTTTTTACCGCAGAAACGTATTTTGTAACTTTCATGGCGTTATTTATATAAAAACAACGATCACTAGCTAATTGAGGGATCGGGACCCTGCAACATCATCTTTTGTAGTAATGGGGCTCTGAACTTTCATTTTTTTCAATGTTCAGCAAAAGACTCTCACCAGAAACGGCTGAAGCTCCGGCTTCCCCAACGGAAGACATGAGGGTGATGCCAGAAGCAACCAACTTGCTGAATACAACAACAGGGCTCATGAAGCTACGTTTTTCCAACTCGGATGCGCTTTACACGAAGCCCCACGACAAGATGGGTATAGACGGTGAGAGAATGGGACCCCTAATCCACATGCTCCAACTTCGCTTGGACGCCATCAAGAGAGGGACAGCCTATGAGATGGCTGAGAGATTCGACAGCAAGTCAGATCAACTGAAGCGCGAGATACCATGGATGTTTCTCCGTGTGAACCATTTTGAACCAGAGCCTGCTGCCAAGCAAATCATTTCATTTTATGAGATGAAGTCTCGGTTGTTCGGCAAAGACAAGCTCAACAAGGAGATCGTCATTGACGACTTGAACGAATGTGATAAGCAAAGCCTCCGATCAGGTTCCCTGCAGCTTTTGAGCTCAGCTAGGGATATGCAAAAAAGAAGAATCCTCTTGTCACTACCAGGCAGACGCATCTTCCAGGCCATTGAGAATGAGTTGCGCGCTCGATTTTATCTTGTAATGAGCGCTGCCAGGCTTCAAGAAGTTCAGAAAGACGGACTTGTTTGCATCTGCCATTCCATCGGACGATACAGGGATAGATTCAATGGATTTGGGCATGCAGACAACTTGCAGCTGTTGGCCTCACTGCCACTTCAGATTTCTTCAATGCAGATGTGCGTCGATGACTATGCGCAATTTGTGGCCTGGAGCTTCACGGCTTCCAATCACATGCCACGCGAGCTTGCCCCAAAGGTCAACATACACAGTGGCTCTGAAATGGAATGCTTATTCGCGCTGTTCAAATGTGGCATTCCACGAGGCTGCTTACCTCCAGCAGACGGTAGTGACCATCCATGGATGGATGCCCACTTGGCTTGGTGCAACAGTCGCGAGATCTTTGAAGGGTCCCCGAACAAAATGAAGGTGGAAAATCAGAGCACCTTTGGTGCTGTTGCAAAAGACCAGCATTATACCAAGCCTCGAGAAGACGACGTCCTCTTTGGGACTGACAACAAAGCACATCCGGGAAACGTAAAGTTCCACATGCTGATCGACCATCTCCAGCATCAATATGAAGCTGCAGATAGGGAAGGAAAGGTCTTGGTGTCTCTAAGGGCTGTCTTTAGTATGAAAGGAACAGGCTCACGATTCTTGGATTACGACGATTTCACCCAGCGCTGGCGCGAGATTCCAGACACGCGGGCAAGAAACAAGGTAACAAAGATAATCCGAAACCGTCGCCGATACAAGAAATGATTGGGGCCATCCAACCAGTCCAAATATGGGGTTTTTGGACTGCGGAAAGTTTTCCCAATGAATCCATTCAATTTTGCTCTTATTTAGCTAATAATTTTACAAGTCTTTTAACGATACATCGAGCTACTCATGAAGAACCGATTCAGCTTTTGCATGGTCGATCGTGTAGGATCAGCCACTTCTCGGTCTTGCTGAATCAAATGTAGGCTGATTCGAATACTTTCCTTGGTAGCAAGTGACGTGGAGGTTGGAACTTTGGAGCATGCATGATACCATCTGAGGAAGTCATCCCTGGCACTTTCACTCAATAGCACTCGAATCAGTGACAGTGGAAGACCCGAATGCCCATATAGACTAGCGCCTTGTTCTAATTCTCCTATGCTTAAAACTTCTCCTTTGCACAATAGTTCAAGATCCCATTCTTCACACCTTGGACTAAGCTTGAGAGGATAGACCTTGGGGCAAAACAGAGCAACAGAAGCAACAGCTATTGCTACTGATCTATCTTTCCCTTGAGCGCAGTGCACAAGCGTTCTTCTCCCCTGCCGCATGTGATGAAGCAAGAAGGCCAAACCAAGAGGGAGTAGTCTTTCCAGCTGTGTTTTGTCCCTTTTCCCTTCAGCAACCACTAGTTGCAAGTAGAAGCATGGTTTCTGTGACGTTTCCATCGATTTGATCATGTTGGGATACTCATTCTCAGTAACGTTCAGAATTGCATCGAAGGAATCCCAACACTCGGGTGGTCTCCCCGCCCTTCGACTTCCGATCCAAAGATTTGATTCCCCAATCTTGTTTGCATTTTTCGCATCAATTTGAGGAGACGCAGGAGTATCTCCTAGAGCATCTTGGCAAGCCGACTTTACAACGTCATCGATGATAGCGTCCACATGGTCCTCAGTTAAGGATGATAAGTCGCCTAAAGAGTGCTCGTGCATCCACAAAAGCTCTGGCGTCAACCCACGCGCCCAAGTATCATGGTCGTCTGCTGCACCTGGAGTGTAGTAGAATCCATTGTCCCCTGGCCCATCTTGCCATTGGATATGATTCTTATTGAGTAGCTTGCCATCTTCTTCGATATAGGAAGATGGATTGCAACAAACAATGACATGGTACTTGTCCCAATCCAAACTTTCGTTTACTGCTGAGGATAATGTGTCGGTATGATATCTTCCATTGGACCACCAGACAGCCCGAACCGGCTTGGTCAGTAGCTTCGCCAACCCTTCTGGATCCACAATTGCCTTGCTCTGATACAATAAATCGACACGTGAGTCGATCAAGTCTGAGATTACAATATGCTCTTCCGGCGAAACGACGGATGCAGGAGTGTAAAGGCCGACATCCCAATCAGTGTCATTCCAGTATTTAGTAATAGAACTAGTACTGCCCAATCCACCATCACCGCTAAGCTCCTCTCGATATCTCTTTGCTATTCGATTGAGAACACAGGCCCATATAGGAATTGTCCTGGAGAAACTGTCGGGAAGTAACTTTCGTACAGAAGAATCCACCAAAACGCAGCCTTGATGGCCGCTCAGAACTTTTAGTAGTGGCAAATTCAATCGTTTCAACGAAACGTTGTAGGTTCCAACATGGCCATCTGTGGATTTAAAGTAACACGAACAAAGTGTTGGCTTTGGAAGGTACCAGGAGCCACATTGCTTGTTGGCAATCCATGGCCAATCGTCATGCACAGTAACTGCATCGTCAGCTATCAATAGTGGTTTGATGACATCTTCAATGGCATTGGCGTCTTTGCGGATGGAAAGCAAACGATGCCTTGCCCGGTTAGCGATCTTGCGTTTCTCACGCTTGTTCTTTGGCTTGTTGGTGGGTGAAAGCGCTTTTGCACCTCCTCCTAGTTCAGCTCTTGCATTGTCAATGGGTGGATCTCCCATCCTACTGCAGCTGGCATTCGCTCATCGTCTTACAGTATCAATTTCAAACTATACCTCCCACGATAAGGGAGGTACAGCACGGAATACCTGTACCGGTTGTACCGCACTCGCACTGCGTACAGTGGACTCTTTTGGATCGACTTGTTCGACTGAGCGCATTTTCCCCCCACATCTTACTGTAGGGTACCAGTACACCGGTACATGTATTTTATTGGTGGACACATTGAGGCGGCTGAGTACCGTTACATCAATCGCTCGTGCACAAGAAATGTGGTGAGGTTCGCGGAAGGAGGCTCTGTTGACACCGGTGATGATTTTTTAAAATAGGTTCTCGTGAATCTACGATCACATTGAGGCAGTGGGAATCCCCGGATTTCTCCCCTAGTTGCGAGATTTTCCCACAGCTCAATTTTTCCCACAACTCAATTTTTCCCACAACTCAATTTTGCTTCCCACAACTAGTTGTGGGAATTCCCTCAACAGTTGTGGGAAAACTGTCATTTCTACACAGAAAATCACGTAGGATATGTACTGAGACAAATTTGAAGTTTCCCACAACTCTAATTGTAGTTGTGGGAAGTTTCCCACAACTCAAATTGTTTTATTGGGAATTATGGGAAAACTGTCCGTTCTACGGAAAACTGTCCGTTCTACACACAAAACAACGTTTGATATGTACTGACTAGAAATTAGACAACTACATATGATGTTTCCCAAAAACTCTAATTGTTTTCGTGATATTTCGTGATACATTTAAGGCAAAAAAACGGACAGCTGCGCAACGGAAATTCCCACAACTAGTTGTGGGAAATTCCCACAACTAGTTGTAGGAATTTCCCACAACTATTTTTTAAGATTCCTACAACTAGTTGTGGGAATTTTTGGCAAAAATCTGTTCCCACAACTAGTTGTGGGAAATCGCGTTAAATATCGCGGGGACGAAGTAAAATGAAAAGGGGGAATCCCACTGCCTCATTGGAACAATGATCGGAAATGGAATTGGCGTGAGATATAAAAAAGACTCAGACGAAATAACCAATGAAATGGAGTTTTAGTAGTCAGATACCGGTATGATCGAACGAATCAATCAATCATTCAGTGAAGCGTTGGCGAGATACCAATAGAATCATACAGTATCGATGATTCTCTGTCTCGAACGAATGAATCAAGGGTGAAATGGAGCTGTATGAGCTAATACAGAGATTGTAATCCAAACGAGGAAGGCAAAAATCCAAGTATCGTAAAGTGTTCGTTAACATAACGAAGTTGTATCTGCCTCGTCTACTATCATTTTATCAGCTTTTGGCTGGGCTTGCCACTGCAGCATCAAACAGCTGCTTTATCTTGTCCTGACGCTGTCTTTCGTCAGGGGGCATCACGGAACCGAATCCAAGCTCCATCTCTTGGCTCCTGTCAATCGTCTTTTCAAGCACCATCATTGGTGTCTCTCCATCCTTGTCTTTGGCCTCAATGTCAGCGCCATTTTTTAGCAGAATCTCAGCGACATCAGCATTGCAGAATACAGCTGCAATATGAAGAGGAGTGCTACCATATTGATCACTCTGCTGGACCGATCCACCCAGTTCCATAAGGATTTCCAAAGTCTTTGCACCGTTTTGGGTATCCGCAGCAACCCGGATCATTGACATACCCATGTTAGCCCCACGCTTGATCAGATTTGAAATAGTCTCCCTTCTTTCTTCCTCGGTGCTGTAGAGCTTCATCAAAGCCATTTGCAGTTCGTTATCGAGTCCTGGGTTTTCAACGGCAACTTGTTGCCCAATACCAACAGTGTTGCCACCAATCAGGCTTTGGACTTGTGCGGCGGTGGATGCAAACGAAATCGGAGCAGCTTTCCATCCAGCCGTTTCAATTGCCGATTTTGCTTCAGAACCTACGACGGCACATAATCTATCGCCTTCTGGATTCCGATACACCTGCAAATTGAGCATGTTAGTGGTTGGAATTGAATCTGAATCTCCTGCTGTTGGTGTGTTGGAATCACGCAAGCTTGTGGAGCAATAAGCTGGAAAGTCGGATTTCATCCCATTGTTACGCAGAAGTTCTTTTTGATTGATTGAGAACGCTAGTGTTGACTGTGAATACCAGCATTGTGCAAGAAGAATCAATGCCACATTACGGTGGATGGTCATGATATTTTGAACTGACACTTTTAATACACGAACACATCACGCATGCTGCATACTGTATCTTCTTGGACAGGATTGGAAGCCTGTCTGAACGTCCATCAGAATCACTGATCCGTGAATGGGTTTTCGAGGTATCATGAAAGTTCAAACACGAGGCAGTGCGCTTTGCGCCTTTTCCGTCTTTTGTCCGAAACGACTACTCCGCCCGCGCTGAATTATTTTATTATTTACTAGTTGAAGACATTTCGATAATGATAAATCAACGGGTGTCAAACCAACAGAAAAGCCTAATATGCCATACGTTGAATTGCGCTCTTTATCCATTGCCACGTGAGGGGAAACATCTGGAGATAAAAAGATCGGCCAAAAGTTTCCATGCAACGACAAGCTTCATAGTTTAAACTTCACATCCTCTGCAGTTACAATGTGGTCGTTATCTCATGCCGTGACTCTCAATAACCAAGGCGTGGGTCTCCTGCTACAGCATGACCACAAGGGTGCCACTACATACTTCATTGACGCGCTCAGTTCTGTCAAGCAAATGCTAGGTGGTACTCAGGGAGGGAAAAGAGCGGTTGCTAGTAACACGCCACCAGCTCTCGTTCATGAATCCACTTACAACATACCTGGTTTCCATGATCTCAACTGCTTCGTCTTTGCGAGCGCCATCACGCTATCTCCCAATGTGAAGGTCTCGGATGCGGAGAGCATCAACGATATTTCAGCTGTCATTCTTCTGAACATTGCTCTGGCCTACCACCACGCTGGTCAGGTTGACAGGTCTCTGTTAACGAAGGCAGAACACATGTATGCAACCGCGAGTGAAATTGCTACAATGAACAATGATAGGCGGCATGGCACATGTCTTCTTGTCAAGGCGGCGGCAACGAACAACCTTGCTCAGATCCGCCATGCACGTGGCGAGTATTCACATTCCCTGGAGGGCTTCAACTATCTTGGATCTCTGTTTGCAACCTTTGGCCAAGTTATCCAGCGAACAAGAGTTGAACAAGATGTGTACCAAGGAATGCTAATGAATGCACTGCTAATGACACCTCCCGAAACTGCAGCTGCCGCGTAAGCAAGATGTTCGGGAATCTGTTGAATCATAATTGACTGCTAAAAAGCTATGGCAAGTGCAGTACTTACATGGAGGCAACAATAGTCGTTTCATGAGGACTCGCAAGAAATTTATAATATTAGGTTGTTTTACTATTTGAAAATGTGTGAAGGTTGAATGAATGGTTTCAGAAATATTCACGTACCAGCAAATTATTTCGCATTTGTTGAATTCACAGATAATCTTTGAACTTGACGCCACCGAGGCGCAAATACCATTTCATTGAATTACGTCACTTTAATTAGTCGGAGGAGTCCGCGAAGCATTCTCCATTACAGTATTATATATAATGTACAGGGTAGGGTCTGCAAAACGTGCTAAAATAGAAGAAATAGAAAGTCGACTGAGTCGAACATTTGGTCAATTGAGTGAGTCGGCCGAAAAAGGAACATGAATTTATGTGGTCACCTGCGACATGGTGCGACACGGAGCTACACGAAAATGTATACTAAATAAATAGCTTAATTGTTGACACCCGAACACCAAACCCCACCATACATCTGTTTTCACATCACATAGTAAAAGCAAAGCTGCCCGAGGAAAAGAAGACGGGCCACTTTGCAGATCAAGATAATGAGAAGTGAGAGTACCATCATCAAATCATTATCAGGAGAATATATAAGAGAGACCACCATTGTGTCCGATATAAGTCAGCCCGTTTCCACTTGTGCGATTGAGTGCGAAATAGTAATAAATCCTGAACCAAAGATCGAAGGACGAGGCATAAAAGATATCGAGTGATAGAAGGCAAACAATGCATGGAAAGAGGCGTCATTTAGGCAGAAAGCAATGATGGTTAAACTTTACGCCATCGCATGAACTTCTGATGAGTTTGGACGGATGTGTCCTATAATCCATTCACTTGGTATATATGTATTCCAATAAGGCAACGTTCAGATTCAAGTGCTACTGTAGCCAAGCTAGCAATGCTTCGTCAGGTTCAACCACCATTTTTTCTTTGTGCTGGCTGAGCCAAGATTGCTACTTGTTGAATGCTGATGATGTTTTCTTGGTACCCTCTAAAACCAGTACATCTATGAAAGTGCTTCGCCCTTCGCGACCGGCTTGAGCAAGAACTTAACCACGAACATGTTCAATTCTCGTCTCTTTGGTTTGTGAATAATGTGGAATCAGTGGCTTCTTCGTATGCCAATGCATAAGTTGAATTGGATCCAACTGTCGCAAGAGAAGGCGTCATTTCAGATTCAATTGATGTCACCAACGAAGTCAGCACTTTGGGTTCAACTGAAATTTCTTCGTGTTGAGCGACCGCTCGTTCGGCACACGAAATAATGGCAAAGTTCATGAAGGCGATTGGGGAAACGTACAAGAGAAATACAATGTTCATGACCGCATACGTTCCTTGTACCATGAGTTCGGGTACCACTTGACTTGGAATTCCAACTCCTTCGACATTTGAAAAGAAGGCAAACAAATCTCTGGGAATGATTTGAAAGGCAAAGGCCACCAGAGTTGCAACACAAAGCCAGGTGTGCAACTTGATTGATTCAAAGTAAAAATTGACCCCGTTGCCCCCAACGGTTCCAAACAACTCTTGTACTCGATTTGTGGATGGCTTCGCAAAGACTGTTTCCACAGGTTCCGCAAACCAAGGCGTCGAGGCAAAGAACCGCCGTGCGGTAGCACTCTCGCCTGCTGGTTTCGTTACCAACTCGGTGGCTGGATCCACCATTTTGTTGGTCGTCAGTCGAGGGATGAGCATATCCTTAATGGTAGCCATTTTCCAAAAATTGAGCAATCCCCAGCCCAGTTTCAAAAGTTGCAAGGCCATCAAAGGGTAAAATACTCCCGGGGTGGCCACAAAGTACCCCGAGGAGGCGATCGCTTCAATCGAGCCCGGATTGGCTACATCATTCCCCAGGTCCACCGACGCCGCTAGAGCCAGGATTGGAATCAGAGGAAGCCACGTCGATGGCGCAATCTTGATCAAATTAAGCTCTTCCGTGGCAAAAGCTTCTTCAAGATCTTTGTCGAGTCTGTACCACTCGGGAAGGTGAAGGACTTCTTGTTGGATTCGCTCGCGAATGACCAAGGCTTCTGTCCCCCTCTCGGTGGTGGAAATGGTGAGTTCCCGCAGGAAGACATTGTCCGATTCGTGGGACCGTGTCTCTTGATATTGGCGGAGCATATCCTGATAGTCTTCCATGGCCAGACATTCTTCGTCCAGGGTATCGTCACCCGTCAGACATTGCTTGTGGGCCACGGCATGCTTTTCTGCAAGATCGGAAGCAAATTCGATCGAGTTAATCACCCGTTGTGTCATGAATGCCGAACCAAAAAAGTAGACAATGGCGACCTGGAAAAAGAGTTCGTGAAGAAAGTGAAAACTCTCCAAGAGTAATTCTCCGTCGCCGAGGTAAACTTCCGAAAGATGTGCGACCCCCGTTTGGAGAGGAGAAACAGGATTATTCAGAGCTGCGCTGAGAATCAATCCAATGAAACCGAGACTTCCCATTTCCATCAAGATGTTGTCAATGACCGTAGCAATGGCGGGAGGCATGGCTTCTCGGGCCCGTTCCACCATGGTGTCCCAAGTGACGAGCATTCCCACAATAATGAGCAGCACCGAGGTCGTCCAAAAGGCTGGATTGGCCAAAAGAGGCTGCAGCCAGCTGGGGGCATCTGAAGCAAGAAGCGAAAGTGACGAAGATGTTTCTACCAAGGGTGATGTGGTAAGATCATTTGCCATCATGGTGACAGTGGTGATGGTTGATCCTGGGGCCAATGCTGATAACTCCCATCTACTGGTATGAGAGGAGACTGGCAATGAGATTTGAAAAGCTGCTGTAGTTGCAGACCCTCCTCCGATCACCAAGGCTATTGCCAGAGCAATACGTCGCATCATCTTGAACCGAATTTTTTCTTGACGCCGTAGAAAACTTAAAAAAAAAGTGAATGGAGTTGTACAGTTGATTCTCATGTGACGCGGCAAAAGTCAAAAAAGAACTCCTTCTGCCAGCAACTTCTGCCGGAAACCAATTAAAATACCACAAGGATATGGACACGTCAGATTTCTTCAGCTAAAAATGCCGGAAATTCTGTGTATGTCCAGAAGCAGAAGCGGACTTTCTTAGTTTCCATTCCTCATTTAATCTCCAGCCCACTCAAAGTTCTGTGGGAACGGAAGGTATGTATCGTAATATTTATTGCCGAATTACTCTTAGCTATGATTCCTGGAGCAATGCTTAAGGGTAATGACTTCACCTTGCATTTAAAATGGAAAGCAGTCGCTGTGCTGTTTCGGCACAGTACTTTCATAATCGTACCATGTAGGCTACGGGCCCTCGCGGTACTCAAAGTCTGCGGTAAAGTTTGGCATCGTTTCACCCTAATACATACCGTAGGTGCAGTATGCTGGACGGCATTTGATGAATTAGTTTCTTTAGCAATGTTTGAATGGAATTTGACGCCAGCATTTGGCGGGGCTTGGCTGGAATGTAACACATGAAATACTTATTGCCGAATTACGATTCTAGCTTCTCGCTATGATTCCTGCAGCAGATACCTGGGGTTATTGACTTGCATTCAGAACGCAATGCAGTGGCTGTGCTGATTTGGAACCGTCCTGTAATAGCCATCCTACCGGTGTGATAGCTACAGGCCCTCGGTCGTCGTATCACTTAAAAAATATTCCGCATTTTGATGAATTAGTATCTTTAGGCGCCAGCATTTGGCGGGGGACCCCTTGAGAGAACCGTGCTTTGATTAATAATCGTACCAACGGTACCGGTATACAGGCCCTTGTAGTACATATTCCGCATTTTGATGAATTAGTCTCCTTTGGAATGCTTGAGTGGAACTTGAAGCCAACAGCATTTGGCTTGGCTGGGAACGTGAAACATGTAAATACTCGTTGCCGAGTTCCTCTTGGTATGATTCGCCCCCTCGAGCAGATACTTGGGTATAGATTTCACTTGTATTCAGAATGCAATGCAGTGGCTGTGCTGTTTTGGAACCGTGCTTTCATAATCGTCCTACCGATAGGCCGATAGGTACAGGCTCTCGTGCACTCGCACACACTACTGTACTATTCCGCATTTTTAAATGAATTTTAATATGTTTAGACGCCAGCAGTTGGCGGGGGACCCCTCTAGAGAACCGTGCATTAATAATCGTACTTTCTGTATACAGGCCATTGTAGTATGATATGTAAGTAATTGTTAGACGCCAGCATTTGCCGGGACCATTGGCTGAGCGGGGGACCCATCGAGAAAAGGTGAAAACATATACTATATAGTACATAAATATGTGTAGACATGTCGTATGTTGAGATTCCACATCCCTCCGGTACATCGAACCTAGAATTCCTCTCTGGTACATCTCTACGCAGGCCTACGGAGCACCACATTTTCTTTGCACAAGACCTCGACACCACAACTTCCAATTTTTGCTAAGTCCACATCATACCAACTCTCTCCCAAACGACTCCCACAATGATGTCCCGGATGAAGCGTCGTGTACCACCGTCAGGTCCTACTGTAACCCAGGCTGTAAAATCCTACTGAGACCCAGGTCAGATACTGACGCCTTTGTTGCTGATGATGCCATAAAATCAACTTTGGTATCAGATCATCAACATCAACCACCACAATCCACTCCACTTCACCATGCCCAACACTCGTGCGCAGCGAAAGCGATCTGCCGCTGGATTGCGGAACCGCAACATTACAGTACTGGGGGTTGGTGAGACCAGAGGCGTTTCTCTCCAGATTTTCATTTCTGGGGATCCCATTGCTCAACCACGCCCAAGATTTGCTGTCACCCGAGCTTCGCGGACCTACATTTACAACCCAGCTGCGCGGGCCAAGACATTTTTTTCGAGAAAGATGAAACAGGAGCTCCAAGAAACTGGGCTCGCCTCCACCGCAAACCCAATTTTCACCCTCCCAGGAGTCGAGGTCCAAGTTCAGTTTGGACTTGCCGATATGTCAAAAGACTTGGATAACATGCTCAAGTTCATCCTGGATGTACTTGAGGACGCGGGCGTATATGCCAATGATCGTCTTGTTCGAAAGATCGTTGCTGAAAAAGTACAATCCAACACCGGATTCACTAGCTTGAGCGTTTCCTACATGGATTTGGCTACTGCTCTAGCTGCAGTCCACATTTAATTGCTGATACAAGCATATATTTCTAATAGCCATGACTATTACTTTTTAGTGTTAAACTGTATTTCTATGCTGTTTGTTGTTCTGATTCTTGTTGTTTTGGAATGTGCTGAGTACCGGTACCGTGGGGTTGACTCTCATAGTGAAGTCTCAAAAAATATCCTTTCTCCACACATTCTATTTTGATGTTTTTCCATTGGCTAAGCTCGTGGGGCTCAAAGACCACGAACCAAAAGTTAATATTTATGGCACCATACTTTCCAACTGAAACACCTGGACAAATCTCCACTTGTCATTTATGGGCTCCACGCGCTTCAAAACAAAACACATGGACAAAACTTCAGTTGAGGCTTTTTTCCAAATAAAGGATGGGAACATACGGACTGAAAAAAGCGGTTTTGAAGAAATTTCACAAAAGCACCTTGCCTCTGAAAACCAAGTGCTACATCCATCAAGAGTGTTTGTGAGCCATCCATCGGTGCTTCAATCCAATGCATCATCCATACTTCTCTTCACCGCAACTACCTCGTTTGCATGTTATTCTTCATACTGGGATATGATCTGAGGCGAGGAGGTTGAGTTTTGTTGACGAATCATATTGTCTCGCCTCCAGCTTCTGCTGTTGTGCCTTCAAACAGATTCTGATCATTATGATATTTATGATATCGCTCCAGGTTGCTACAATCGGAGCGCTCTTCCTCCAAGTCCAAGTCATACAAGAAATGCAGATGTTCATGCTTTGAAGGAATAAGTTTTTACATCGCTTGTACCATCAGCCTTGTGAAATCATTGAAATCAACGGCTTGTTTGCATTTTCCTTTTTGATTTGAGATTCATCTAGGTTTATTTTCATTTGGGCTGAGTCTTCCAGTGCCCTCGTGGTCCGTTGACTCTTGGATCTCAGTAGAGATCGCCCAACTGATCATGCCCCTATCTTCCAACTCTCTTCCAGAAAAACATCCGAACCTTTAAAAACTTCTTGTTTTGTGTGGAAGTGTATAGGTACGGAGGAAAACTAGGGAGACTACTACTTTGTTGACAAATTAATACTCATCTATGTATGATCGTATTGTTTACATTGCATCAGTCCGGTCTCATTTCTCTACATTCTATTGAGCAATACACATTCATCTCATTCCGTCCATGCAGCCCTGACCTGTCGGCGCAAACATGATGTACCTTCTTGTTGCAGTTTCGTATGTTGTAGCATTTGTGTATCGGTGGCATGGTGCTTCCACCACCTTCTGGTACATCTCCATTGCACCCTTCAATGGGGCATAGATGGGCAGGATTGATGCTTTGGCGGCAAACAAGTCTGGAGTTGTTGTTGTTGTTGTTGTTGACCTCAGCAAGAACGCTTGCTGCAATAGCTACTTTCTTTTGACGAATGGCATCAGCGTGTTCCAAATATTCATCAGGGGTCAGTCCAGCAACAGCTTCTTGGAACCTTTGATCTGCCATGGGAGCCACTGTAGCTTGAAGAAGATTATTCCTTGCTCGTTTCCCCCCGGGGCCAATCGCCGATTGAATCCTTCTTCTTTGAATTGCAGCAGGCTTTCTTGCCAACAGGTTGGTGGTATGGTAGGCAGAATTCCTTGAGTTTGTGAATTGTGATACGGCCATAGTCCGTTGTTGATATCTTTGGGCGACGCCTCTGATTCCCCTGTTTGCCTCGATATCAACAACTTTGGAGCCATATGCGAGCTGATGCATATTCAGCCCGGCAACTCTTTGTTGACGATGTTGTTGCATTGGTTGCACTGGGTGGAAGGGGGGCAGGGGAGGTCTGCCATTGCCATTGCTATTGGGCCGAGAACGCTTATTTCTTGGATGTTGTACTGTAGTACCACCATCACCATTGGGTCTCTTGGTTCCTCTTCCTGTATTATTGGACTTGGGTGCTTGCTTTTTCATTGTTTTGCTTTGAATGCTTGGGTTACGTTTACATCTAAACTGCAAATGTTCAGTCATATTTAACTTCAAACTTCTTCGCTCGTCGTCCAAAAAAAAGGCTGCCCCCTTGAGATCCTTGACAGTTTCATTTTCTTCCATAACCGACTGAATACATAGGAATCCTCGGTAGTGCTTGTGAAACCTTTTGGCATTCTCTGCATTGTTCCATCCATTCCGTCCATTCTTTGGGACATGGATGAACTTCTCGAGCTTCAGATTGATCCAATTTTGCAAAATCCCCGACCATAGCTTTGGGAAAGCCTTACCTAAGGCTGGTTGATGTGGAATTGATTGGAGATGGACAACAGTAGGAGCTGCAGTAGATCGTTGCAAAGCTTGTTGGCGTTGCGATGGTGGTCTCTGTTGGGTTTCGGGAGCAACTAGTATTTCTGCAGTCTCCCGCAGTGGTTGAGTTGCTGAAACATTTCCAACGGCTCTAGTGTGCACCTCTTGTTGACTTGGCGCACCAGTACCGGTCGGTGGACCATGGTTCTGAATTTGATGGTTCCCTACTACATTGCGTAATTCTTGAGCAATGAAGTGCCTCATCGCATCATCTCGTCTCTGCTGTACTGCATTGAACTCTTGATTTCTGTTTCTAAGTTCTTGTCGTAGAGCTTCAACTTGTTCAGTGAGTGCCTGGTTCTTAGTTGCACCTGCAACAACAGCATCTTCAAGGTATTTCACCTGCCGCATGATTGACTGAAAAGCGTTCTGTGTTGCTGAATTGAGTGCTTCCATTTTCTTTGGCTCAAAAGTCAGAAGCTCATTTTTGACCCAACGTCGTTTCATTGCAGCCCATTGAGCATATCCAGGAATTTTATTCTGATAACAATTAAATGGCATCATTAGGATACTTGGTGGTACCAACTCAACAGACAGGGTACTAGAAAAATCTGATTCCTCTTGCGACACTTACATGCAGCATTATTGACATCTCGTGTTGTGGATGGTCAATAATCAAGTAGATTCCATCTTGGACCAAAACTTCGACCAGAAATGGTAAAAGTCTGGAAAAGAACTTTTGAGCACAAGTGGACTTGTCCCCATCTGGGGCCTCTTGCTCCCTTTTCCATCGATCGATATCATTCCCAAACAGTGCACGGATACAAGCTTCAATACTTTCGAGTGGCAATCCAATCTGCGTTCGTAGGACATTGTAGGCTTCATCCATGTCAAATCCAGCCATCACAGTCATAGTTCTTCGTTCCATTTCAGCCTAAAAGTATGCCAGCGGGTAAAATTGAATAGCAATGCAGTTCAGTTTGATTTGACAACCATTTCAAAACATTTTTGGCAAACATTTCCAAAACCAACTTACCCAGTATGATTTTGTTAGCTTGTCGTTCATGTGCTTGGTGAGGGTTGAAACTTGATACTGTTGTAAACCCTCAGTACTAGCATGCATTACACAATGTGTTCGGTGATGGGTCACTTTGCAAGACTCTACACCAGTCTTGACGTAAATCTAAGAATGACATCCAGAAGGTTTGATGTGGCAGGCAACTTAGTTTTCAACCATAGAAAAAGCAACTATAGAAGACGTGTCAAACTCACCTCTCTCATGGCATTTTCTTCGTCAGCAAGCTTCGTAAAATCGACAAAAGGAATTTGCCAGAATTCGGCTGGACTCTTTTTGTTCGGACGTTTGAAGTGAACCTCGTTGCTACGTAATTGCAGTATCCGAATTACATTCATGGATGTCATGAATGAGGCACATAGCAAGTAATGGCGATGCCGAAGGACCCCAACTAGGCGATCCGTAGTGAAGTCACTTTTTTGATCATCTTTCCTTAAGATGGCAGTCAGATTCCTTCCTTGTCCTGGAGCAAATCCATGGCTGATATACAAATCTTTAAAACAGAGAGACCTCGTGGAATCTCCTCTCAAACCTGCATTGCAGCCCCAATTGAAAGAGCAACCAATGTCCTTCCAATCTGGTCGATCATTTAGAATATAGGTCATTACCTTCATCTTTTCAGTACTAGTAAGAAGGTCGGCCTTCAGGCCTTTGAAAGGATCTGTTCCTCCAAACTTGTCTTCTTTGATTGAATCGTAATATCGCTGCTGCTCTATTACACTTGCTTCAACTGCTTCACTGTCTTTTACTCTGAATTTTTTAGCTTCGCCATCCATCAAAGGTGATAGGGTGTCAAAATCTTTAAAAAAAGAAGACTCTACTGAATCCCAAAACCTTTGTATCGCTTGATGGACCCGAGAGCGACTATTTTGGGTGCCAAATTCTCTCTTTGTAAAGTCGTGGATGTAATATTTATCCACATTGTCTCTTGTGGTAAAACGAAAGGGTCGCTGCATTGGGTCCGGCATACGGTTATTCTTTATTACCCAAATGACAAATCGTTGATACTCCCGGAGATAAGTGTCACTAAGTCCTTTGGTCTTTAGTCTCCTGGCCGCCTCCACACGATCCAAACAAATTTTCAGGAAAACTTCCTGTTCATCTGACAGACCATTGGGTTGTGCTGGCATCTTGCTCTGTCACTCAAATGAAAACGGTTCTGCTCCTCCTTGTTGCTTGACAAAGAATGAAGAAGACAACTGGGCAACAATCGAATTTCCAAGTGAGTGACCTCGAGCTCTGTAGCTAAAATGTTACATAGGCCGTGCGGGCGTGGTTCTGGAGGAAGGGGTCTTACCTAGACTTCCACCTTGCAAATTCCGCAAAAGTTGCGGAACCCAGCCGTAACAAATTCCATCATTTTGGAAGTATTGGCACTCAATCCCAGGCTGGCTCACCTAAATGGACCAGCCCGACTCGGAGGGGCTTAGCAATTTGGCCTCACCCAGAGGGCGGCAGTTTACCCATAACGGTAAAATTCCCACCCAGGGTAGCTAGAAGGGGAATTTCCAAATGAGAACCCAGTAAATTGAAATTGCACTCCCACTGATGGTATTCGATTACGCATAGTAAATGACCTATTGTACGACGTGCTCTATGTATCTCGTGGTTCCGTGTCTTTACCAAAGTGACCATGGGATATAACCACCCCTCACACAAGGCCCTATGAGTCAAATCGTTCCTTTTTTGGTAGCCCTCAAGAAGTTTTTTACACGCGCCTTTTTCATTTAAGAGTATGGATGTTAAGTGATTGTTCTCTTACTTTCGACCAGACCTCAGATGGAGGTTCTTCGTATTCAAAAAGAACGTATGATGTCATTCATCATTTAGGAGTGATGTCACCGAACTGTTCGGCCCATTTAAACTGATGTCACCGAACTGTTCATCCCGGGTGCAGAAATCACTTGTAAGTTGAGACACGCAAAATCGGCATCTCGTTCCCTCTGAAAACCGACCACAAAAACAAAAACATGCAATCTTTATCCCATGTCGTCACACTCAACAATGAAGGCATCAGCTTCTTGCTTCAGCAAAGGCACAGAGAGGCTATCCATAGATTCATAAGCGCTCTCTCAATGGTCAAGCAGCTGCTTGCTTTCCCACAAAATCGAGTTACTGATGATGACCTACCACAATTCATTCATGAAAGTACGTACGTGATACCAGGACTACAAGACACTAGCTGCTTCATCTTCGCAAACGCTATTACGCTATCTCCACAAGCTATCAGCGACTGTCCGATATCGGAAAGCATTGCGAATGAAATTGCTTCCGTTATCCTGCTAAATGTTGCTCTGGCATACCATCACGCTGGCCTTACGGAGGGAGTTGCCTACATAAAAAAAGCAGAAAGTATGTACGAAACTGCAAACCAACTTATCGCTGTCAACGAAAGAAGGCAGGGAACCGGTCTTCTTATCAAAGCAGCGGCAACTAACAACCTTGCGCAAATCCGCCATGGCCGTGGCGACTACTCCCATTCGTTGGAGGGGTTCAAATACCTTGGATCTTTGTTTGCAAGCTTTGGTGAAGTCCTTCAAAGTTCAAAGTGCGAACATGAAGTATACCGAGGTATGCTAATGAATGCTTTGCTAGTCACGCCGCCAGACTTGGCGGCTGCTGCATAGTAATCATGATCCATGATCCCACAAACAACCCAACATGCTGCTAGCGCCAAATCCTGGCCCGTTGCCTCAGAATGCTATGATAGAGGCAACTGCTACCAAGTACATCAGCTATATACCTACCTATGTCGCCGCAGCGCGACAGTTTTTGTGACCGCTGAACATAGCTTACATAAGAATACATATGTAACAACAACGTTACCTTGCTAGTACTGAATTTATATAGTAACTGATACTTTGCTCTTATTGTTGGAGGTAAGTTTCTATTGCTCATCGAAATTGTCAAAGTACAATGATCTTTGGTCCATACCAGGGATATTGGACTTGAAGCTTCTTGATTCTGATCTCGACGTCTTCACTTCGCCGTCAGAGACATAGGACCGGGTTTCATAGACAGTGCTTTCGTAGGAATAGTAGTAAGTTGAGGTTTCGCCACCAGAAAAAAAGCCTTTGACCAAAAGCAGTACAAGGAAAACCAATGTTGGTGTACGAAACTTGGAAAGGATACTTGCAATTCTATTATTCCTCGAAGAATCAGCCTCAGCAGGCACCTTCGTTGTATCCTGCCGTGATCTCTTTCGACGTCCTCCAATCCTTGTAGATGTTGGCTTTGTCGTTTGCACTTCCTGCGTTCCAGCGTCATCATCGGAGTTTTGGTCGGCAGTAGAAAGGTCTGGATCGGATTTGTCATCATTTCCACTCGCCCCTATACTTGTAAATGATCTTGAATGCTTCCCTTGGAATAGGAAACTAGGAGTAGCCTTATTATGCCGAACCAACCGTGATTCGAAGCTCGATGCACAGTTTGTGAACAGGAGAACGGAAAGAAGAACAAGTGATCGAATCATTACAGTTAGAATCGAGTAGCTTGTGACATTTGTTGGGATAGCTACGAGCCTTTGCTTAAACTACAAGAGTAACAACGACGCATCACACGACGCAAGCAAGGTGTGAACGATGATTCATTCTTGCGGTTCACAGACGGACGGTTTTGTGGAAATTCGGGGAAATACTAAGTGTCAAAATACGGATATGCGTTGATACTTGCTGTAGTTCAAGTATCATACTGTAGTTCCAATTCATCGAACACTTCCAAGCATCTTCGTAGTACAATATTACGTGTACAATGAGTTGCAATACAAGAGATTAACTGAGATTATTCTTCAATTTCAATGTCATTTGAGTGATCATCTGCTCGCATTGGAACTAGCGAAACACTTGTGATCTCGTCTCCTTTGTCCACCTTTTGGACAACTACGCCAGTTGCAGCCCGGCCCTGGGCTGTAATATTCGCCACCTTTTGTCGCACCATGACTCCCTTTGAAGTATTGACGAGGATCTCGTCGTCTTCCCGTACGATACAGAAACAACTCAGCTTATCAATCTTTTCCAAGCCAGGCTTGAATTTGATGGCGATGACTCCCCCAACGCCACGCCCAGTAGATCGGAATTCATTTGTGCTAATCCTTTTTCCGTATCCTTGTTTCGTCATGCACAAAATATACTCCTTCTTCTTCTCGTCTTCAGAAATAGCTGTGCTAACAACATTCATGTCCGCAATCGTGTCGCCTTCCTTGAGTTTCATCGCACGAACACCCCTGCTAGTGCGGCCGGTTGGTCGGAATTTTTCAACACTGAATCGTGTTGCCTGTCCTCGGGAGGATGCAATCAAGATGTCATCATCATCGGTACATGGTTGGCACCATTTCAATTTGTCGCCATCTCCAAGAGAAGCAATGGTCAATCCTCGCGATGAGATAGTCTCAAAGGCATCGAGTGGAGTTCGCTTGATCCATCCTTGTTCGGTGGTCAACACAATATACTCGTCCTTCGAGAATTCTGATACAGGAAGAATAGTTGTGATTTCTTGATCAATACTTATAGGTAGTACTGAAGGAATAGGGGTACCCTTTGCTGTTCGTGTTGAAGTTGGCACTTGAAAGGCTTTCACACCATATGCAATGCCATTTTGTGCAATCATAAGAAGCGTATCGTGATCATTGCAAGTGATCACATGGGACACCTCATCGTCCATTGACGAGGCTGACCCCGACGTCCCACGCTTTCCTCGAGTTCCACGGCCCTGGCTTTCAAAAGTCTTGAGCGGCATTCTCTTAATGTAGCCATTTCGGGTGACAACGATCACTGTGAAAGCAACAGCCATCCATTGTGAGCTTCTTCAAAGGTTACAGCAAAAGTTTGATATAAAATATCACTTACCGGATCGAGAGTTCTTCACCATATCGATATCGTTTAGTTCCCCTTCATCATTCAGGATGACGGTCTTACGATCTGCCCCAAATTTGTCGTCCATTTCGTCAAATTCCTCTACTATCACCTCGTTAACCGCAGCATCTTCCTCCACAAGCCGCTTCAGCTCCTTTCGGCGTTCATTCAGCTCCTTCTTCTCTTCATCCAATTTGCCTTGGTTCAGTCGAGTCAACTGCCCGAGCTGAAGCCTCAAAACCGAGTCGGCTTGTTCTTGGGACAATTTGACAATACCCTCTGGATCCATCAGAGCTTCCCGCGCACTGGCTTGATCTGGTGCCGAACGGACCAATTCAATGACTTCGTCCACCTTTTCCAAAGCAATTAGGAGACCTTCGACAATATGGGCTCGCTTCTCCACCTTTTCCAATTGATTCACAGTCTTGCGTCGAATAGTCTTGAACCGAAAGTCCAAGAAACAGTCCAAGGCCTCTCGCAACGTGAATCGTTGTGGCTTCAAGGCATCTTCGTCTTCTTCGGATGGGAAGAGTGCCAAAAAGTTGCCAGAAAAGGATGTCTGTAGTTGAGTCTTTTTGTAGAGATTGTTCAAGACGATATTGGGGACAGCATCCCGCTTCAGTTCCAAAACGACCCGAATCCCATCCCGATCCGACTCGTCCCGCAAATCAGCAATTCCTTCCAATTTCTTCTCATTGACCAAAGCAGCTATCTTTTCCAACAAGGCTGCCTTGTTCACTTGATACGGCAGTTCCTTGACCACAATGGCGTTGCGGGACGTTTGTCCCTTGCCACGAAGTACCGTTTCGATCTCGGTCACGGCGCGCATGACGACGCCACCATTGCCCGTAGTGTACAACTTTTTCGCTCCAGCCGTTCCTAGAATGCTGGCGCAAGTGGGAAAGTCGGGTCCTGGAACGAGTGTCGCAAGCTGTTCATCGGTGACTTCCTTCCTGGGATCATTCCGACCGTCGACCAATGCCTTGCAAGCATTTAGAATTTCTCGCAAGTTGTGAGGTGGAATGTTGGTGGCCATTCCAACGGCAATTCTGCAGGATGTAGGTAAATAAACAGGTCGATACATATGAATGAGGGTATACGTGTGTGATGACAGCAAGACAATTGGATGCACGGATTGCAAAATCAAGTGACTTACCCGGAACTTCCATTCAGCAACAGCAGCGGGAGTCGAGAAGGCAACACAGTGGGCTCCATTTCATTCCCGTCAAAGTTATCAATCAAATCAACAGTATTCTCTGAAAGATCTGTCATGAGCGTGTCGGCTGCCAGTCGTGTCAGACGACATTCCGTGTATCTCATGGCGGCGGCCGGATCAGCATCCACCGACCCAAAGTTTCCATGACCATCAATCAGACGATAATGTGTAGTAAAGTCTTGGGCCATTCTAACCAATGCATCGTAGACTGCCATATCACCGTGGGGATGGTATTTTCCCAGCACTTCTCCCACAACACGAGCGCACTTTCGATGCGACAAATTGGGAGACAGATTGAGTTGGTGCATGGCATACAAAATACGTCGGTGCACCGGCTTGAGACCATCGCGGGCATCCGGTAAGGCACGTCCTAGAATGATGGACAGCGCATACTTCAAAAACGACTGTTCGATCTCTGTGTGAAGCTCAATGGAAGGATTTTTGGCAGCCAATTCATTGGCGGCTTGCGCCACGTCCGCTTCGGATTCAAAGGGTTCTGCGGTCGCATACAATAATTCACCATCGTCTTCTTCACTGATCATTTCCGGATCAGCGTCTGGTGACGAAAATAGGGAAGAAGAAGAAGACCATCGCCGTATTCTTTGCTCACTGGCAATAATTGGTAAAAGTTGTTGCTTGTTATTGGACTCGAATCTTGTCATTGTGGATGTTGTAGAAGCTGGTCGGAATGATGTCACCACATTGAGGGATAATAGCAATGCAAGGGCTGTAGAAAGTACACCATGAGGGAATCTGTTTGAATTCATCTTAGCTGATTGTTTTCAAGGTCATTAAAGTAAGAATAATAACGAAATCTGTTGATGTGCAGTTATTTCAAGATTTCAAAACATCTTGATCGATCGATTGGAGGTTCGTGTGCTCATGACCTGATTAAAGGCGGACTGACTGACTGACTCGTCGGACCGAACACCTCGATGAATTGAACATTTGAATTTTTAGAACCTTTACCACAATACTGTGATACCTGAACCAGTCCAATGGCCATCACTACAGTACCTACTCGGTTTAGAGTTCAGAAATAAATAGATCGTGGTCAAGAATATGATATCGTATTGAAAGTCAGGAGCTTGGGTGCTGCCTTCTTCCTATCATAGTAGGAATACACCACAGTTCCTGCCTGCTAATACCACTAGAGTGTACCTAATGATAGTGCTTGGCCTGGGGCTGAGCAAAGAACAAAGAGCTAGAGCTAGGCATGATGTTGTGTGAAATCTTTTGATACTGCGCTTGCTGTTCTTGGCGGGTAATGGTCGCAAGTCTGCCTTCGCATTGATGTTATAGGCTGGTACTACGAGAATTCGGATTGAAGGAGGAGTTCCTGGCGCTATTTTCATTCCACAAGAAAAAAAAATTCGCAAACGAAATTGGATACTCCGGGGTTCTTTATAAAAAAATATTCATTCTTCATTCATTCATTCAACAGACATAAAGATCACTTGGTGTCACGTGTACTACCATACTACTAAGATCAAAGCAAGAACTGGAGCGGGATGAGCAGGGCAATTTTTCTTCTTCTTACATGCTGCTGCTGTGTGTAACCCGTGGTGGGAGCTTCATCATGTGAAGAAGTCGAAGAATTGTTGTTTCATGTTTCTCAATGCTTCATATTGGTTCGTGGCACTCTTGGTAGCAACTTTTCTAATGATGTTGGCTTGAAATTCGTACCGGTACCATACCTGGTATAAGGTCACGTCCCACATCATATGCGGTATTCGGGTTATGGCTCCAGAATTTGAGGAATTTGGCGAATCTTTGTGCCGCTTGAGATATTACTTGCGTGCGATAAGCGCCCTGCTCGAAGATTTGCGTTCTTTTTGGTGTGCATTGCGGCCAAATTTCCTGAAGTTTCCGCGTACGAACCAAAGTTTTGACACGTCCTCATCAATGACGTGACATATCCTATTTAATGCCGTGTCAAACCTTGGTCAAACACAGTGGAGAAATGCCGAACCTTTCTTCATTTTTATTGGTTTTGCTTCCTGCTGCCGTAGCGGAGCGAGAGCTTGTTGATCAGAAACAAATATTATACGATATGTATCATAAATAATACGTGCACCCACAACCCACAACAACAAAAGAGAAAGAATATCTCACAAAAAAAGGAAAGAACTTTATTTTATTTTGATCATGGGAGCCGAACAATCTGTAACCCTATCTTGCGTCGTCGATCGCTTGACCCATGCACCTGGTGAAAATGTCCAAGGAAGCGTGTTTGTGCAAGTCAATACGGCTGAGGAGCTCTCCAATAAGTTTGAGGGTGTGACCGTCACTCTTGCTGGAGTCGAATGCATGATGATCCCAGAATCTGGTCAAATCATTCCTGGAAGCAGGAAGATCACCATTGTCCAAGACATTGCCAATTTCAAGGATGGCAGCATCACCGAGGGCGAGTATGAGTTCCCGTTCTCTTTGGCACTTCCCTTTGAAAGCGTTGCTGCAAAGGAAGGATCATTATCCATGGATGATTCTTTGCTGCCGGCATTGGTCCATGCCCGATCTGATTCGTATTCCTCCACCGAATCTGACGATTCGGCTCCGGACGATGTCAGCGCCACGCCCGCCTCCTTGTTGCCTGGCACCAAGCAGCAAATCATGTACGAAATCAAGGCCAGTCTCAAGCGAAAGCCAGGTGTTCCAATCACAAATGACACTGATTTCCGCTGCAAAGCCCATATTGCCGGTGACATTCGAGTGCAATAAGCATTGCTTGCAGCACTTGTCCATAAATGGATGGGGAAAGTTGAAAGTGACTCCTTTATCGTCAGTGCAGGGATGTGATGCGGTGAACCGTTTGCTGATTTGAAATGCAGCTGTTAAAACGAGTTTGACATTGGCAGACATGGAACAGTCATCTTGTATATGAATGAAATCATGTGAGAATACATAGTCAGAAAGAAAGAGATAGGAAACTAGGAGAACCTGCTCTGGAACTACGTGGAATCCAGAGAGACTCCTTGCTTACTATTTGACCAAAACAATTTTTTTAATGCTAGTGCAATGCAGTTTTTTATATGATACATGTGCCGGTAAATAATGTTTTGTTTCGTATCGCAGTGTATCACTCCACACAATAATGCTACAGTGCCTCAACCCATTCGTCCAATTTATCGGCATACCAAGAGCATCCAAGCAATTTGGCATTTCGTCCGCCAATGGGGTTTGGGAGAAGATTGGCATGGCAAACATCGTCCAAGATAATCGAGTTGCCTGTGCAATCAATAATCATGAATAAACATCGAACAGAAATAGTGTCAGAAGGGAAGCATACAAAATTACCATGAAAAAAAAAACATTCATCCTCCAATTCCAATTCCAATGAATGATTCTTCAAATAAACTCACCTCCGTCCAATAGGGCGCCCTTGGTGGGAGTGATCCCATCACCTTCCACGTCGCCCTGTCCACCAAGTGCAAAGTAGGAAGCAAACGCCAGAATGGAATCCAATTTCAATTCCAATTTCCCAACAACGCCCTTGGAAGCCACGCAGGTGTATTCAATGTTGCAATTTGCATCATCCTTATCTTGGTTGTCCGGTGAATAATAAGCACCCGGAAATCGATCATTAATGTACTTGAGCAATCCTCTGGTTTGGTCCACCTTGGCCACGATGGAATCTGCTGGTGGTTCCTTATGAGGAGTTCCCAAGGAGACGTAATTCTTGCAACGTTCCTTGACACTTTTGGATGCGACTTCTCCCAACCAAGCGCGGGCCACCCATCCACCAATGCTGTGCGACAAAAGGGTAAACTCGGGCAATGCTGATGATGATGATGATGACGCACCCCCATTTTCGCTGTTGGCGTCCATCCTAGCCAAAGCTTCGTCAATGGCCTTGTTGTAAAAGGGAAGCGTCTTGGAGGGTTCCAAGCTTCCTTCAAAGTAGGCTTTGGAAAAGGCAGACTTGGCAATGGACAACCATTGCAATGCGGATATCCGTGCCAAGTAGACTGGATGACCCTTGGCACGGAGGCCAGCGGTCAGAACTGTGTAATCTCCCGGCTTGCCACCAAATTGTTGCGGACATAAAATGACGGGTCTTTTCGTAAGACCAGCATTGAGTTGTCGCTCTTCTTCGTCGGTTTCATGGTCGGTAATAGGGGACGAATACATTTCAGAAGCTTGAATGATCAAATCCGAAAGTTCGGCAGGTTCGTTGCTACCTTCCTTGGTTTTTCGTTGAAAGATAAATTGGGTTCCCTTATTTCCCAGTGCCGCTCGAAAGCCAGTAGATTCATCGTATCCAATAGTATTCAACCATCCAATGGCACGATCGCCCAACAAGTTGAACGGAACTGGATAGGGCAATGTCAAATATCCGCCCCAAATAAACGGAACTACAAAAAATCCACGTCGGAATCGAAAGACCCGCTTGTTGTTTTCAATCTTCTCCAAATCGGCTTTGAGTACCAGACTCGCACCAAACGAAAAGGATACGACATTGTCAAAATCCTTCGGTGTCAACCATTGGGCCAATCCCTGGACACGGCTGCTGCCCGTCACCAAGGATTGAAACGGCGATGGTCCGTCTCCAGAAATGTAATTCTTCCACGAATTGGCATCAAAGAAATCCACATTGTCTCCTTCTTCCGCTTTGGGTGAAATGGTGGCCAACAGGTCCCAACCACCGTCAACGTCCAAGGAATCTGGCGGAGGCGGAAGATTGGCAATCGCTGTTTGATAGTTCTTGACTTGATCGAGACCCAATTTAGTTTGGGTCGATTCTGCTTGAGCTAATTCTTTCAAGATGGTGCGAGCCTTGATTACGTCGAAAGCCGTTTCGACCTCTGCTTTGGTAGCCGACATCCATAAGGAAGAGGAGGATGATAAAGCAGCAGTAGGTTCGGCATCACAGTAGGAATAAGAATGAGGAGGATGATGACTCAGTGATGAACATGATAATGTTGATGGGACAAAGCCGACAATTAGCTGTGGTGAGAGGCCAAATGCCAACAGTATAATAGAACTAAAGGGGCCCATCACAAATCGGAAATACTTCCAAAATAGAATATAGCTTGTGTTGGATGACGAGTATGATACTCTATAAAAGTAGAATACCATCCTCATCACATATATTTCTTTTTGGATGACGATTTTCTGTTGAAAGGGGGAGGGGTAAAGTGTTGGGGGTGGAAGTACGTCACTCATCTCATTGCGTGCGATGCAAAAAACAATCGACGACAATATTATAACACCCCGCACATAAGTCGTACCAGGTACCGGATATCCCTCAATTTCATAGCCGCAGCGTTACAATACTGGTATAGAAAAATGATCTTTCGGTTACCCACTGCAGTTGTGGCAACCTTATTGGTTGGCGCTTCCGCCTTTGCCCCCACCAATATCCAAATGTCCCGAACAAATACTAAGCAAAGAGGAACCAGCACTGTCGTTGTTGTCAACCAAGACTTGGGAGCTGGAGGCATGGCAGATACTCGTGATCCCGATGCATTAGATCACGATGATCCCCGGAAATCCATCAGTGCCGCTCCCAGTTTTGAAGAATACTTGAAACTTCGAGGAGAGGGTGCTGCTGGCAGTAGTAGTAGTGCAGCCGCAAGCGAGGCACCATCACCAGCTCCGGCCGCTGCGACACCAGTGGCACCTAGCCCAGCACCAGTGGCTTCTACTGGCGGTGGCGGCGGCGGTGATGCCATTACTACGTTGGAGACCTCTCAAGCAGCTTCCGTTGCCAAAATCCAAGCAGGCATTCCGGATTTGGCCGTCAAACCCGATTTTACCATTGCGGAATCCCTTTCCACCTCGGAAGCCATTACCATTGATGCCTTTGATGCTGCCGGTCCCGCCAATGTTGCATGGATTGCAAGTGTATCAGTCTCGGATAAAATGAGCTCCTTGACAATATTCAATGGTCCATTGACAGATGTTCCCCATTTGGTCTCCAGATGCTCGGTTGTTCCAGGTGGTTCTTTGCATTGGAAGTTGGACTTTCGACCACGTGATTATGGTGCCTATGAAATGCGCAAGGAGGATGGAAGCTATCCAGGTCCAGATGAACTGGGACGCAAGTCCTTTGAGTATTCTGGAGCCCGCAAACAGTTCGAATCCAAGTTTGGAACGGATGAAGTCTTGGCCTTTTTGCAGTCCACTATTGATTCTTTGGAGGGAGATATTGTCAAGGACTATGAAATTGAAGGAGCCAGCGGACACGAAGAAGATTTGTTGACGCGGGGACCTTTGTTCACCAGTATCCTAATGCCCAATACCCCGGCCAATGTTGCCGCTGTGGTCAAGGCACGAGAGCAAGCGGCTGACTGGTGGCTGAGTTGGGCCACAGATGGGCAACACGATCACCGACCAGGAGCTCCTGTCAATACACAATATGTCTACGATAGCAAATTCAAAATCAATGCGTATGGGGCACTATTGGGAGAGTATAAAGCAATGTACGGTGCTGAAGATGGACAGAAATTGGCCGTCGGTGAATCTGGACCCTTGGATGAAGCATATGTAGGAGGAGGCAGCTAAAATGGATAAGGCAATATTCCCAATCTTTAACATACCGTACACTATTAGTGGCATCTTCATCCTTGCTCATTGACCCAAAGTTCCAGGAACCATGTGCAAACGAATAAAAGCAACAAAGGTGATTCCCTGTACATTCCAGAACTCCAAACCGAACACAAACCTTTCTCTGGGAAAATATAAAATAGCGGATCAGTGATCTGTTTTTCTACTTAGCAAAACATATTTTTACCGCGTTTATGATTGGACCTACCAGTATTCCAAGCCCAAACCGAATAGAAAATGAAATAATCCAATGCGAACGGCAGACTTTTTGAACTTGCAAGTAGTATACAACAACAACAACAACAACACCATGTCCAACTCGAAATCTTCCTTCTTTGCTCGGCCCAAGCACCATGATACTCAAGGGACTGCAAATGAAGACGACCACCACGTTGACGAGTCAACCCAACTGCTTTTACAAGAGGCTGCAAATTTGGAAGCCAACGGAGATTTGAAAAATGCCCTCGAAGCCTATCGCAAATCACTGCAACTCTTGTTTCAACAAGGTCTCCGCAACCATCAATCCGTTGCAGAGACCTATGAAAAGAGCGCCGATATTCTTGCAAAAGTGGGAAACAAACAAGGCGCAGAAGTGGCAAGAAAGAAAGCAAACATGATCTATCGGAGTCAGTTCAACTCTCTTTCCAAGCAGGGCAAAATGAAGGATGCCTACCTTTGCTTTGGAAAGTCCAAAAAATTAGAAGCATTGATGTCTGCACCTCCAATACAACGCCGACTTTCTGGCAGACTTCAGTTTGATCGGGGTGCTTCCATGACGAGTTCCAGATCCCTAATGAGGGATTCGTCCAGCCGAAGCATTACCAGTATTTCTTCTACCAGATCCGAATTGCGGCCCGAAACGCAGGAATTCATGACTACCTTGAATGGATATCTGAATTGCCGTCACCGAATGGATCACAAATACCAAGAAGTAGACTCGGGTAATCGTCTTGCGGCACTGGAACTGAAAACGGACTCTGGAGGCATTGCTACGAATGATAGCTCGCTGGAAGAATACAAGGAAAATTACCGCCAAGAGTCAATCCATGGAGGTCCAGTGAAGACATTGGACGAGCTCTACGCCGCTGCCAAGGCAGCCAAACCAGTATTCATGGAAACGATAAACTCATTGGTCTCCAAGGTTTCCGAGGACTGCAAGGTAAACAATAACGAAGAAGAAGATATCCAGGTTTGCTTTGCCGATTTGAAGGAGAAAGATCGGGCTCTGGAAAAGGCAACCGATGACTATGGAAGACGAAATCCTGGTCCAGGCGTATCATGGCTATACGATATTGTGCGGGGAAGTGTCGAGTTTGGATCTGCCACTGCCATTGAGGCTTTTGTGAAATCCTTGCACGACGAAAATACCATCCATATTGTCAAGGCCAAGAACCGGTTTCAAAAACCGAGTCTGACGGGATATCGTGACATGTGTGTCCAATTTCGAATCCAGACCACGGACGGCCTCTCTCATATTTGTGAGGTGCAAATCCACCATAAAGTCCTATTGGCTCTTGACCATAGAATAGGGTCGCACGCCTTTTACGAATTCTTTCGATCCTATTTTGCTGGTGCTGTCGGCAGTTTGCAAGAGCGTCTGGAAGACTTGGAGCTGATTAGTGATGGTGCGCTGGTGAACGACTCCTTCCTTGACAAGTTTCTTGTTCAATGTCGAAATGTGGATCGTTTGGAGAGATTGGCGCAACTATTTCACCAGAAACTTTGTGAATATGATGCTGCGATTCAAATCTACCAAAGGCTGGTGGAACTGCACACTGCTGAATATGGACCGAGCCACCAGTTTGTAGCTGGAACCTACGCTACAATTGCTGATATCATGCAAGTAAAAGGAAAGAGCGAGGAAGCCCTTGAAATGTATGACGTATCGATCAGACTGTGTGCAAAGTCTCTCGGTGTTATGCATCCTGCCACCGCGTCGATGCTGAATAATATGGCATCCGTGTTAAGCGCAACGGATCGGTTGGATGAGGCGTTTGCAACTTATGGCAATGCTGTGAAAATATACAAACATCGGCTCGAAGAGCCGAATCCAGCATTTGATTCTGGGCATCTACTGAAGTCTTTGGCTGGAACCTATCACAATATGGCGGACATTATGATGGACCAGTGCCGGGTAAGTACGAATCATTGATGATCATTGTTTTTGGAAGTTTAGCAATAGCAAATGATCTCGTCTCACTTTTTTGGTTCCCCATTTCACTTGAAAAGTTTGATGAAGCACTCAACCTTCACACGGAGGCTCTAGAGCTCAAGTTGCAGGAGTATGGCGAAACACACGAGTCCGTCGCCATGTCATTGAATAGCATTGGAGAAGTCTTAGAGTCTCAGGATAAGCTTGAAGAAGCAATGGCGAGCTACGAAAAGGCTCTAGATATCTACAAGCGAACGGTTGGGCATTCACACTCTCATACCGCGGATTGCTTACAAAACATAGGTGAGCTCTTGCAACAACAAGACAAATTCGATGAAGCCCTTGAGCTGCTTCATATGGCGTTAGATCTCAAGAAGAAAAATCTTGGTGAAGATCATACGCTTGTTGCTAATATGTACACGTCGATCGCTAGTGTCTTGGTGGAGAAAGATAAGCACGATGATGCCATCGAACTTTACAAAAAGGCTTTGGAAATAAAGAAGGCCACTGTTGGTGAGAGCCACTCATCTGTATCTTCGGTTTACGTTTGCTTGGGAAATATATACTATTCAACTGGGAAATTTGACAAAGCGATGGAAATGCAATGGACTGCTCTATCTATCGCAAGGAAAGCCAGTGGTAGTGAGCACCATTCACTACTAGATATATACAACGCCATGGCATTCATTCTACTTGCCCAGGATGTAAGTGTTAATGTTTCCGATTTGGATGAAATCTTCTTGACTAAACGCTCCGTCTTTGCGTTCCATAGAAATTGGAGGAAGCGCAGTGCCGATTCAGGCAATCACTTACCCTCGGAACAAAGCTGTTTGGCGAAGATAGTACGGCTATATCCTTCATCTATAGCGGTCTTGGTGTAACTCTGAAGCAGCTGGGGAAGTTCGATCAAGCGCTGGAGATGTATGAACATTCGTTGCAAATCGATCGGAAGACATATGGAGATGATCACAGCAACGTCACAATTGGATATGCTAGAATTGCCAACTTGATGGTCAAGAAAGGAGATTTGGACAGAGCGATTACTACGTTTGACCGGGTATTGGACTGGTACGAAAAACGACCGCGAGAACACATCCGCTCCCACATCTCGGCGCTCTTTCAGACAGGTCGCATGTATTCCTTTCTTGATCAGCTGGATAAAGCAATGGAGTGTTTTCAACGGGCTTTGGTTCTCTGTAACACTTCTGGTTCCAATGACAAGCATATTGCCGCAACGGCGCATGTCTACGTTGGTAATACTTTGAGTTATCAAGGCAAGATAGACCAAGCTATGGCTATGTATCAAGACTCGATGCGAATCAACCGAAAGATTTATGGGGAAGATCACGTTAGCATCGCCAATGGATACAACAAGATTGGCGTAATTTTAGTCGGAAAAGGAGATTTTGATGGAGCCATGACGAACTTCAATCGGTCGTTGGATTGGTACACAAAAAGATCTGGTGAAAACGCTCTCTCCCTGATTAAAGTCCTCCTGAATTATGGTGATATGCACAGGAACCTCGAAGAGCTGGACAGCGCCATGTGCTATTTTCGACGAGCGTTAAGCACCTGTAAGGATGCTGGATTCGAAGAACAGTCTATATCAGCGATCGTTCGCAACGAGATTGGAGAGACTTTGAGACATCAAGGAAAGATGGAAGAAGCGCTACAGAGGTATCAAGAATCAATGAGAATAAACCAGAAGATATATGGAAATGACAATATCAGCGTCACAAACGGATATTGCTACATTGGCAACATTTTGGTGGAGCAAGGTGACTTTAACGGGGCTATGACAAATTTCCAGCGGTCCTTGGACTGGTGCGAAGAACGTCTCGGGAACCACACACTCACCCTTTCCGGCACTCTTGCTCTAGTCGGCCGGATGTACATTCGACAGGAGAAGTATAGCAAAGCAATCGAATGCTTTCAGAGTGCCTTGGATGCCTGTAGCAGTGCTGGTTTTGAAGACATGTATATTCTCGGAACGCTTTACGCCGACATGGGATGGGCACAAAAGCTTCAAGGGAATCTGTTGGAGGAGTCGAGGAGGTCTTATCGAGCAGCAATAGGAATCTATCGTAGCGTCTACGGACCAAATCACCTTGCTCTTGGTGAAGTCTATTTGGGTCTTGGTGAAGTGTGGACACTCCAGGGAGACTGGAACAAGGCAAGGAAGTACCTACAGAAGGCGCAAGAAATTTATGCAACTAAAGTCGGTCGACACACGGCGATGGCAGCCGAGGTAACCCTTGCCCTCGGAATTCTGAAGGAACATGAAGGTTTACTCAAGGAAGCTTTGGATTTGCTGAACTCGGCACAGAAGGTATTTCACGACACTGCGCATACATGGAGCCAGAAGGACGCCAAAAAGAAAACAAAGCAGACAGCTGTGGCAATAAAGAAACATCTTGGAGCCACCAAGGAGAAGAAGAAACCAAGCGCTAGCAAAGGAGGTTGGAAGAAGGTGAAAACAACCACCTAGTAGACTAGAGACCACGGACAGAACGAAGGTCGAGCCTCCAGCATGTCAGCTTGTATTCGTCTTAGAGGAGCTCTAGGAAGTAGACAGTAAAAAGTACAAAAGTACGAAGTAGTCTTCTAATAGGTCACATATGGGGTAGATTTCAAATTGGCCTCAAAACAAAGCAGCTAGCACAAGCGCGGTATCTATTCAAGTGGTCCCACAATTTCCATCTTGAGTCGTTGTTGTGTCCGTTTGGGCACATAGGGCACAAGGCACGAACATAAGTCTCTTCCCTCCAACAATAGTCCCTCATCGAACAATTTCCCCACGGTTCTAGCAATGTTGGATTCCAAGTCTCGATACTGTTCGTACGCCGTATCATCTTCCTTCTCCTCCTCGGAGCTTGAAGGCAACGGAGGCAAGTTGGAACGAATACCAATACTTTCCAAATGAACTTGTGCCTTTTTCTTGTACATCGATTCATCGGCCAACTCGAAATAGTAGATGGCTTGATCCAACAAAGTTTTGCTGGCTTCCACATCACTCCTTCCTTCGGCTTCGGCAGCAGCTGCCAATTGAATACCAGACTGCAGAGCTTCGTCCTTGGTCATGACACGCGCTTGAACGTCCAACACCTTATTCTTTGTGGCCAAGGCTTCGGCTGACTTCTCTTTTTCCTTGTGCCAAGAAGTCGTAGTCGTCGTCAGCCATCGCACAAAGGCCTTACCGGGCATCGTATCTGCTGTCTCGACAAAGAAGAGTTGCTCAATGCAACGTGTAATGGCCGTGTACAACAACTTCAGGTGAGCTTCAATTTCGGGATACTTCGAGGAAAGACCATCTACTTCCCCACGCAGCAAAAGTCCACGCCAAGCCTTTTGGACGCCCTCATCTACTTGATGACACAAGTCACCAAAAAAGTCCAAGATAATCACACTCTTGTATTCCAAACCTTTGGATTCTCGAATGGTTCGGATCAACGGATAGCCGAGAGCCTCCTTCCAATACTGCAAGGTCGAGTCGTGGACCAAGACGACAGTTCCATTCATCTTGTTGGCCAATAAGTCGGCCAATACCTTTACTTCCACCTTTTCAAAGACTCCGGGGCGAGGTCCGACAAAGACTCCATGATCCTCTCCAAGATTCTCGGCACTCTTTGGATACGCCTTGAACATGCACGTCAAGATGGATCCAGCTGTATTCAGAATACCAGCATGACTGCGAAAGTTGACGTGCACCTTCTTCGGCTTTTGCATGACGGTATTGTTGTCTTTTGCAATATGATATTCGACCGATCGAATGTCTTGGAAACGAAACTCGACACCTTGAACCACATTCTGAGCTGGATCTCCCGCCAAGAACAGGTTGCCTTGTCCATCGCAAAGATAGAAGAATAATAGGCACTCGGCTTGGGTGTAATCTTGCACCTCATCTACATAAATCTTGGACATTTGAATCGAATGATACTTTTCGGGATCGGCTACCTTGCAGAGTTCCAAACGCAACAGCAATGCCAATATACGATCGCAATCATCCCACATGTTCTTTTCGTTCAAGAATCGGACATACTTTTGGTAAATTGGATACACAATCTTGCGTTGGTCCACCGTCAGACTGCATCTTCCAGACGAAAATACCGTCGTGTCCAAGAATTCTTCTTCCGAAATGGCTTTTGCCAAGCCTGTTTTGAGAGTTGCTTCAATGGATCCCTTGATGAAGGACCGGATACTGGTCCACGCCAACAAGGGGTCAATGTCTTGACCAACATTGTAGACTTCACGCTTGAAGACATCGAATCGCATTTTGAGTTCAGTGGGAAAGGAGGATCGAATGTCTTCGTTGGTGGGGAGTTCCTGTTCCAATCGTTGCTTTAGCTTGTCATAGGTTTCAAAGCTGGTACCAGGTGGGTTACCAATGATGGCTTGGACATAGGCACACAACTTTTGGGACCGAGCGACAAAGAGTTGCGTGAAATTGGGATCATTCTTTGTTTGGTTTCGATCATAGTCCATTCGATTTGCCGTGCAAATGGTCTTGCCCGTACCACTTCTTCCCAACAGCAAGACAGTTCCACCAGTTTCCACGACATCTCGTTCCTCTCGCGTCAGTCGCAACTTTGGTACCCAAACTTTATCACTGGCCAAATCATTGACATCTTCGAGGGATACCTCATAGACCTTCATGGGCGTATTTCCGAGTGGATTCAAAATAGCTTCCCGTTCAATGACATTGCGTCTTGCAGCGAGACTATCTTTATCATGGACCAGTTCATCGCCCGACGTCAATCTTCGATTCTTGCGATTTTGTGAATCTTCAATGAGTTTCATGAGTCGGGAGACATTGTCGTGATTGGCAACGAACCTGAAAGATACGAATGAATGGATTGATGGATGGATCAAAACGTTGTTGTTAGCTTTTGATTTCATCCCTTATTATCCAAGCTCGATTAACAAAACAAATAACGTACCAAACCAACAAATTGCTTCCTTCAATTTGCCACAAGATTCGTTTACCCGACTTTTGTTCTAGATAGGTTTCAAAGACCGTGACAGTTTTGGATGTGCCCTTTAATCGCTTGGCCAATATGCGAGAGCGTTCCCCCCGAGAGAGTTGCTTCATGCGCTTGACAAACAAGTCGCGATACCGGCCACCGGCGGGTCCACGCAACCACTTTTTGACATTTTCCGTGTACATGATGGTGGTGTGAGTTCCGGTAAAGTCGTCGTCGTCGTCGTCATCGTCGCCATTGCGTTGTTTAGCAGTAGTTCCTTGTGTAGAGGTACTAGCAGCACTATTCGTAGCAGTCGTAGGAGCAGTACCACTACTACTAGTCGACACGGCATCCATTTGAGCGTCATAATCCGTATCATCTTGGACTTGTCCATCATCGTCGTATTCTTCTTCAATATGCAAGGCCTTGTCGGCAGCATCACTGAGAATCTTGGCCGTTTCATCATTGGTGTCCTCACTGTTCACGACAAAGTCCAATCCCTCGAGACAGGCCGCCCAGGAATGGATCGCTTGATCCTCTGGGCGCTTGGTGCGCTTGAAGCGATCATTGATAGTCTTCAGTGAGGGTTCCCACAACTTGGTGTATCGTTCGGCCAATACCATCCGATTTTGCAATTTGTGGACCCATTCCTTGCGAGATTGTTTGCCTCTGAGAAACCGTTGTCCCCAATGGGCCACAAGTCGCTTTGAGCGGTATCGCTTTTGTTCCTGTTTGCGTTCCCAATGCAATTTGCAAAAGGCAAAGATCTTGCGTCGTACCCTTTGTTTCCGCTTCTTCTCTGCCTCCTTTTCTTTCTTTTTGCGTTTGTTTTCTTCTTCGCGACGAATACGTACTTGTTCTCGTAGACGCCGTTCTTCTTCGGCACGGCGCTCTCGAGCATCCTTTTCCCGACGCATTACTTCTTCTTGTCGTTTTTGCTTGTCGTTCTTTTTGGATTCCTTTGGAGTTTTCTTTGGTTTCGCTTTCTCCTCTTTTTTCGATTTGGAAGTAGAGGAGACGAGGTCATCAAGAGAGTCCAAAAAGCTCATGCCCATGTTGCTGGCGACACTGGTCATATTGGGAGCGACTTCGTCTTCGTCTTCCGAACTTTCGTCGTCGTACCGACTGGCATTTTTAGCATCTTTATCACTCCATATTCCTGCTCCTCCAGTCAGGGCCGGAACATCAGCATCATCATCCGAAGAATCGTTGTCGAGATCGTTGCCCATGTTGCTATTGTTACTTTTATCATTGCGGCCTTGCAAGGGGGGCATGCTGTTACCAGAAGCATCATCGTCATGGTCATCATCATCATCACTACCGTGCAATGCATTGGCAGCACCATGGATCAACGCGGGAATGCCACTGAAATCATCGTCATCGTCAGAAGAATCTTCATTCTCACGTCCTCGACCTGCCAACAAGGCAGGCGCACTTTCATCTCCCGAACTTTCCGAATCAGAGGAATCATCATCGTCACCATTGCGATCTCTGGAGACTAACGGTGGAGGACCAAAGTCTTCTGATGAGTCGGACGCAGAATCATCTTGTGGAGGCATTGTGTTTCTGCTCTATACAATTGATGATGATGATGATGATAACGATATAACAATAGAAGGTGCAATATCCAAGAGGAAATATAGGAAGGAATACAACTTGTTCTTATTCAAAAATGAGGATGGCTCAAGTTTTCTTATTATTATTTTGATAATTCTTGCCGCGTTGTCGAGAATTTCCGAGTGTGTCATGCGTGCGTCACTGAAGTAGGTGGAAATTATTTTGGCTGCTGGAATATAGTCCTATTACTGTACCTCTAGGGAAGGATAATTACATATACTTCCATTTGATGCATCTTCTACAGAATGAATCCATCCTGAATGAAGTTACTAGTTAGTGTGTTACATTTGTTTCCAAACGGCAATCCATTTCGGACCCATTCAACGAATCGTCATTGCTTTGTCGTAAGAAAAGCCCTTGTTGCGCTTCCAAATAGGAATTATACCAATAATATATCTCCAAGTAAGCCATTGCTTTTTCTTCGTTTGGACTCCAGTCGCAATATCCCGCTCGTTCCCAATTCTTACCGGCTGGCATAATAGGTATCGTAGTAGGCTTCGTCACCCGAAGAGGAATCCGAAGAAGGGTTATTATAGCGATTGGCAAAGGCTGGTCGTGGCATACTCTCATCCTCGTCGTCATCGCTACTGCTGTCAATATCGCTAATGTCGTTTCTTGTTTCACGTTCTTGCAGGGTTGGTAAAACATCAATATCAGAATCATCATCGTCATTGTCACTGACATGTCCTCGCATCATCATTCTCTGCATTTCACGGATGGCACCAGCCGAAGGCGGTGGCTCATCATTTCGGTCCGTCATTGCAGCAATCACAGCAGTGTGAGACTCTTCATGAATATTGCCATCCCGGTTCGTCATTGCCGCTACCATGGAATTGTGCATTGCATTGTGAATATTGCTGACATCACTCCTGGACGAATCACTATCATTATCATCACCATCATCACTGTCATTGACCCGAGCATTATCGCGAGGCACCAGGCGGGGTGGCATGTCATCATCACTATCATCATCATCACTATCATCATCATCATCAACATTATTGCCTGGTGGTGATGGTGGTGGTAAATCATCCAAACTTTCACCACTCTGCGAATTGTGATCCTGAGCCGAGAGGAAAGCACGATCCGCAAGTTGGTCCAAAAACACCATGCCAATGTTATTGCTGAACGAGGAACGATCCTCCTCCACAACATTGTGACCAACACGATCGTCAAGTGAGTCCAAAAACGCCATTCCAGCAAAAATGGCCGGAGGATCCTCATTGTCTCCACTAGAAGAATTATCATCATCATCATCATCATCATCGTTCCTGGTGTTGCTGCGACGATTATCGGGCACTTCTGGTGGGCGTTCCACCAAGGGAGGCATGCTGTCGTCTCCACTACTACTGGACGAAGAATCATACATGTTGTCGTTGTTGTTGCTACTGCTGTTGTTGCCCGCTTCTGGTGGACGGACCACCAAGGGAGGGATGCTGTCATCGTCGCTGCTCGAATCCGACGAGGCAATGCTCACATTCCCACGACCTCTTCTTGCTACCAATGGCGGTGGGCCCGAATTGTCAGTGTCGGACGACGAATCGGAATTATCCGGAAGACGACCTGCTGGGTCTCGTTGTTGCCGTTGTTGTTGCCGTTGCCGTTGTTGTTGCCGTTGTTGTTGTCGGCGATCAGCACGTTCTTGGGCTTGTACCTGCTGCTGTGCGGGATTGTCCCGACGTCGCTCAGCGGAAGCCGCAATTCGTCGTCGATCCCGCATACGAGCTCGATCCTGTTGTTGGATACGCCGTTGCGCTTGAGCTCGTTGCGCTCGCGCTCGCATAAAATTGTCAAGCGGATCGTGATCGCCATCCATATCGTCATCCTCCTCCTCCTCCTCCTCGTTATCACTATCATCTCTTCCAAAGCTATGAAATCCGGCATCCATACCTGTCAATCTTGAAAAGACTTCCAAGGCAGCATTGGCTTCGGCCGGACCCCGGAATCTGGAAAGTTGACTGAGGGCTATTGGGCGTGGTGATGGTGGTTCTGGAATCTCATTGGCATCTTCTCCCATGCGTCCCCCCAATCCGGCAAAGGTTTCCTTGCCTATAACGTGTCCACACGCCAAGGCGACTACGGGTGGTCCGCACATTTCAAAGGAAACTGGACATTCGGCTTGAATGAAGATCATGCGTGCCCCATGACTCAGAGCATGTTGAGGTTGGGCCACAAAGTTGGGAGTTCGACGATGTTGCTGCTGTCCTTCTTCTTGTTGTTGTTGTTGTTCTTCTTCTTCTTGATCTTCTTCTTGTTGGATCAATACTTCTTGGTGCGCAAAATTGCAGACGGGACATTTCAAAATGGGATTGAATCGCGAGGATCCTGGTCCTCCTTCGTCGTCCATGTCGTCCACAAAGTGTTCGGCAAAATCTCGGACCATTTCCATCATCAAGTGTCCAAAGTCAGGTTCCCCATGAGCATTTGGTCCTCTTCGTCGTGCTTCTAAAGTGGGCATGGTAGTAGGTCCAGCCGCTTGCACAGGATGGCTACCATAGATAGCAGTTAGGATACCTGGAGGTAGCAATTCAGTGCTGTCATCCATGCCGGAATCGTCCTCGTCACTTTCATTTGCCTGCTCTCGCACTTCTTCCGTATCATCATCGCCATCTTCACTTTCCGTATCAGGTTCATAGGCAGATCGGACTTCTGCATTATTATTGTCATCCTCATCCTCAACATTGCTATTGCTATTGTTATTGTTAGGAGCAACGTACCCTCTACTACCAAATCGTCGTATTTCATTTTGATTGATGTTGTTGACCGCGTCTTCCGTAGCATTGGAATTATCGTCATCGTCGTCGTCGTCATCACCATTTTCATTCGCCTGTTCCCGTACTTCTTCCGTGTCATCGTCATCCGTATCCGATGATTCATTGGCCGATCGATCTTCATCATCATCATCATCCTCATTGTTGTTGATACTGCTAGTAGTAGTAGAATTGTTTATATTGCGCATCGTCTCCATCATGAGCTGTTGAAACTGCACTCGTGCTCCGGGCGGTAGTATCAAATCTTCGATTGCACCAGCATCCTCATTGAGCTGTCGAAACTCGATTCGTGCTCCGGGTGGTACGACAATATCTCCCCCAATATTGTCATTATCATCATTGTCATTGTTGCCACCATTGTCATCATTGCTGGGCAATGCCGCGACTGCAATATTGTCATTTGCAGTATTTGCATCATTGTTTTCATTAGTCGCAGTATTTGCAGTATTATTAGTACCGCTCAACGTCGTCTCGTCATTATTATCATCATCGCCACCGTTATTGAAGCCCCTACTGTAATTGTTGATGCCATTCATCACTAATTATATATATATATATATATATATAGTGCCAAAAAAAATTGGACGACGAGCGGCGGCGTAAGTATAGCCTTTCTGATTTTGAGTGATGATTATGCAAGTGAGTTTGTGCGTCTGTTTTGAATGTAATATATAAAAGAAGAAAGCAAATGCAACAATTTATCTCATTTCTAGACAGTTCCAAAGAAGTGGCTTGATAGTGTTTGTTGGTACAATGAAGTAGATGGACTGGATGACAATGTACAGGATGCAGGATGTATCTTGGCTGTAAAGACTGTATACGGTGACGAGATCGTCTCGCATCGTGGGCAAGTTTCAAAACAGTATAGACACGACGCGCGGGCGGTCCAAAATTCGACCGGTTGGACCGCTTGGACCATCTGTTTTTTGCTTTTGTTCTTTTATATTATTATTAATACATTCATTCATGCATTCATTATTTGGTTGCCTACTACTAGTAGTTCCAGCATTCCATTCCATAATATGGACAACAACCAAATCTCAAGCAACAATCTTTCCTCGACGCAGAGTAATGGATCTAACGTGACTGGATGATTCTTCTCCTTCTTTTTCTTCTTCTTTTATAGATTGTTTGTAAAGGTTGGGTTTGTGTGTAATGGATACCACAATGGCGCCAGATGTTTGGATCAATTTCAAAATGGAAGTTTGGACATTTTGTACCACCGTACTGGTTTCCTTGTCCAACCATTCGTCGAGTAACAGTATAGGAGCCGGAAATGATGAAATCGTTTTGCTAGTTTCGTCGCGGTCGTCGTCATCATTTACTGCTGCTGCTGCTGCTTTCCCCGTCAAGATGCTTTCGAGACTAGCCTCTGTCATGGCACAACGATAGGCCTCCGATGGTGATAGATCGGAACCTTTCTTGGTCAATGGAAGATCCATTAGTTCACACAACCGCTCTATTATTAGAAATAAGGTCGTTTGGCTTGATTTCTCGTCGTGATGTTGGATGATGGTGGATGCCTTATTCATTTTCTTCAGTTTCTCTTGTAGTATCATTTGCACTGTCTGTGATCCTCGATTATTGGAATAGACTGGCTTCTGATCCAACAGGACGGGTACTGCTGCTGGTGGCGGTAAAATTTCTGTAGCGTTGTCGTCGTCATCCTCCTCCTCCTCCTCCTCCTTGGAATAATGAGGAACCACAACAGCAATCTGTATGGTTCCAAAAGTGGGTTGTACTATTTTTCGTTCCTCCAGACCGAGAATCAGTCGCAAGAGCGTCGATTTGCCAGAGGAGGAATCCCCCAATAACAGTACGAATTCGTGTGGTCCCAATTTCAGGCTCACATCTTGCAAGGCAAATTCTCGTCGAGGTTCGCTGGAGGTCAACGTGCGCCACAAGGTCACCGGGTATTGGTGGGAAAGATTCGATATTTCGATGGAACAAGGATGCCAGCAGATATCACCATCATCATCATTATCATTATGATCTTCATTATCATCATTCTGGTTGCTGTTGTCGTCGGATGCACCAGAGGAGGCTTGAAGAAGAAGAAGAAGAGATGAGGAGAATGTTACAGGTATTCTGTTGTTGTTGGTGACGTGATTATCATAATATGCATGCTGTATAGAGAAGGATTGGACAGTTATTGATCGATAAAAGCTGAGAGAAAGCAAGTACCGGTACAAGAGGACTCTTGTCATGTTATATATACGAGTAGGTACTACAGTAGTAGTGTCATCTCATCCTTCGACGGTGTGTGTCAGCGCACCGCACGCACCGACTGACTCACTCACTCACTCACCACTCACTCACTCTACTGGATTGTGACGCGCAACCATAAAATAACTCCATCCGCATCCACCATCCGAAACATTTCGCACTCCTCCTCGTCGAAATCCAGGACAGAAACCAAGTTCGGTATGGTTCTCCTTTTTTGGTTTAGGGCTCACTTATTGATTTTGATACCATATATTTAGGAGAACCACAACGAAGACTTATATATATATATATATGTTAAAGAGGCAAAAATAGCCCTATTGTGATCGTGGGACATTTGGAGCGATCAACAAAATACGTTCTAAGCCCTTTCGCCGTGGCTTTTCTGGCGTCAAAAACAGACATACCGCGATTGTCGGACATTTGAGGGACCAATCAAAAGTACGCAAGTGGTTTCTGGTTTCGCACAATGGCCTTTCGTCCCCATACAGTAAGTATATCTCACTTTCGGACCGTACATGTAGTAAAACCATCACAAAAACACAAAAACCGAGACGATTGATTCACAAAATAATGCACATGATTCAACTGATACAAGTAGTACTGAGCGTATCATCGCTCTTGTTGAGTCTGCTACTCCCTTCCATTGATGCCGCGAGTCAATGTAGCTTTCAAAACTTTTGTCCCAATGGTGTGACGAGGCCGAATGCTCTCGTGGAGGCAGCAGGAAATGGTCTCACCTGTCAAACCATATCAGTCGGGTACGAATAAAATTTTTCATGGTCTTATTCTTTACATATTATTGACTCCACCCGAGCATCCACCAACTGGCAAACTAACATACTGCTCTTCTTGTCCCAACAGAATCAGCTTTGACATGGTACCCCCAGAAGAATGTTCTCATTTGGTCTTTGCCGAAATCTTTTGTTGTCCTCCAGAAGAAGAGTCGAATTGCTTTTTGTGCGGAAATTCCGACGACAATCTAGGTTTGTACGAGGATCGGATAGTGGAGGGCGAAACCTGTGGAGAAATCAATCGCAAACTCCAGTTGAACCCCCGTGAAAAATCGTGCAATGCCTGGAAGGGTGTCTACTATGACGACATGAAAAGTGTCGACGTCAAATCGTACTGCGGATGTCCCGGAATGCCGGCACCGAATGATTGTCAGTTGTGTGGTCGTGGTATCCCAAACGATGAAATTATGGAATTGGTGGATCCTGCTGCCCAAGTACCTGGTGCCGGCGATGGGTACAGCAACATGACCTGTTTGGAACTCTTGGAGTATGCCTCCCATGTGACATCGTCCGATACCTGTGGGACGCTGTCGACACCCGAGATCCAAGCAGCCTGTTGCGCTGGAGCTAGTACGAGTAGCGGAGCATCTAGTACTAGGATGGCAGGTAGTACTACCATCTTTGGTACCCCCTTTTTGTCAATGGGAGCAGGAGGACTCCTTCTCCTGATGTTGTTGGTTCGGTGATGACGACGAATAACGACGATAACAGCAATCATCATGACGACGAGGATGATACCATGATGACAAGCTTACATGCTAGTCCTAGCGTCAATGAATGAATCGGGATTTTTGGGAAAATATTATGCTGTAGGGAATGCATAAATGAATACTACTTTTTACATTAACTTTTTTGTGTTTGATGAAGTCAAGAATGGTGTACAAGATATATAGATATATATCGGTACCAGTATGACGGTGACTGCTTGAACTGAAACTGTGGTCGTATCGGAATCGAACAGTATACTCGCAGTCAAAGTACTAGCTAGTATTTCAATTCGTGCTGGTCATGTATTCGACTCGATCGACACGACAGACCGTCTCTCACCTCTCGCGTGTGTCAACTCATTATCCGTCATTTATTTTGCCAGTATTTTTGTCAGCATTCAAAAAACATAAATGTCGGCATTGCTATTATATATTAATATCAAATAAAATAAAGTAAAATACAATACAATACAATACAATCATCATCACCATGGTGTCGGAGGAAAGCAGCAACAATAATAAGGATGTGGAAAGCACCGCAGCACGTCTTACTTCACACGAAAAAGCATCAGCTGCATCCACTCCTTCTCGAGAGAATGCTTCTGCCAGCACTACTACTACTACTACTACTACTACTACTACTACTGCGGCTCAAGAAGAACGACTCCACAAAATGTCGGGCGTCATGGGAGTCTATGCCGCTGTCATTCTAGGGAGTCTCTTTTTTATCTACTCCATGAAAGACGTCCTTGGATATACCACACAAGATTACACGAGTGGTTTTGCCAACTATGTCACAAGTCCCTATCAATACAATACGGCCATTGAGACTGTCACATCACCAGCTGCTACTACTGCTGCTACTATCAACAAGGAAGAGGAGGAGGAAATCCATCACAGCGCAGCCATGTGCGTCATTCAAAAGTCGACGTTGAAGTATTTTGAAGAATGGATCTTGTATCATCACGCTCTTGGGTTTGAAAAAATTTATCTCTATGACAATTCCGACGATTTTGAAGTGCAGGACTGGATTGGGAAACAATCTCAATTCATTCAAGACATTGTCAACGTGACCCATTGGCCTGGGGTCAAGCAACAAGTCAAAGCGTATTTGAATTGCTGGGGGAGGATTCGAGACGCCAAGAGTCATGCTTGGATTTCCTTTTTTGATGTGGACGAATTCGTGGTCATTAAGGATGTGAAGAAGTATCCCAAAATCATGGACCTTTTGGATTCCTTGCCGGACCATCAATATGGTTTGGCCATCAATTGGATCAATTTTGGATACAATGGACATTTGAAGTATGAAGACAAACCAGTTACCTTGCGCTTCCAAAATCGGGCGGTCAACGAAACGAGTTTTGTCGTCAAGTCCATGGTCCGGTCGCAGGTATCACCCAAAATGAAAAATCCGCATTGGATCAAGTACAAACTGACCAAAACCAAAAGCGTGTACATGTCTCGTGACAGTCGGGGAAATGTGGTCCAAGGACCATCCAATGAGAAACAAGAAGTCCGAGACATTGCCCTGTACCACTATATCTCGAAATCATTGGAGGAATACAAGGATCGTTGCAACCGAGGCGACGTCTTGCGAGGTCAGGCGGATTGGGCGACCATGCCATGGTGCGAATCGGACGAAAAGGTTTTGGCAATGCTAAAGGTCAGGGAGGAGCCTGTCTTTGACGATCGGCCATGGAAACTGTTGCAAGAACGAGTTCCAGAATACACCAAGAGGTATACGTGAAGTGAAATGTTGACAGGACAGACAGAAGAATGATGTCACTATCGCTAGGACTAATGGGACTGCCGAATAGATAGTCCTCGTGCTTCAGTCTCCTGAAAGAAAGAAGAGAAAGAGTGAGCTCTGTACTGATCATGGCCGCTTTTGCATATTGGCTGTATCAATATTCCCCCAACTATACGAATGAATGATTAAAATCAACTATACTGCAAGAAGTATGCTATGGCGAATGAATCAAGCCTGATTACCGTTCAAAGCCATACACAGTTATATATAAGGCACTTCTGGTATTAGATTTATTTTAAAAGCATAATAGACCATTCCACACAATAAGCGTTATTGCTCTTTCTCTGTCGTGTCACTGTTGTCTACATGAAATCGTCTTCGAATTCTTCCGCGGCAGTGGCATCTACTGTAGCGTGTTGGTCCGATGCTCTAGTCATGTAAGCTTCGTCATACAATCGATCATAAGATCGCAATTCCTTGTCTCGTTGGGCCTCCGCCTGTTGCTTTTTCTTTTCCGAGGCCAATTTCTTGTATTCGTTCTTTTTTTGTCGTTGAATTTCCTTTTCCCTCCGTTCTTGTTCCTTTTCCAAATCAGGAAACAGTTCCTTCCGCGTTCGTTCCAACTGCTTGACAATGGGAACATTCTTTTCTATCTTGACTCGACGTACATTCTCGGGACGATGATACGTGACTTGGCCCTCGACCATACCGGCTGTCTTTTTCAGATTCTTCCATCTCGTGTACACAATATGAACGGAAGGTTTCTGTCATTATGGATTTGTAATTGTATAACAAGAATTGGAATACGATTGTAAATATAGTGGTGGAGGTGAGATCCAGCGAGGAAAAAGTAAAAAGAAAGAATGAACACAAGTTGATCACTCCTGAAAATAGCAAATAAGTGACCAATAAAACAGATCATATCATTGCATACCTTGCATCCTGCAATACTATTGGCCTTGCATAGAGAAGAGCATTGCTCTATGAGATCGTCTGATATATCATCCATTGACATTCCTGGTTTCATACGCAGGTAGACGTGTGCGGATGATAGATTGTCGACGTGAAACCAAACATCTTCGGGGAGCCCGTATTTGATCAGCTCGTCGTTTTCATATTTGTCCTTTCCCATGTAAATCATGAACTCGCCGCAGAGTGATGTGAAGTAATACACCATGATTTATTATTGTAGCTCTAGTTGTTGTAGTTGCTAGTAGAAGTAATCCAAAGTCGTCGGAAGTGTTTGGTTTGACGATTGTTTGTTTTTGTGGTTGTTGCACTGCGATTATTTATTTTCTTCATTCGTGATGATTATTTGACGTCTGGTCTGGCATTTGTACGATATCACGTCCCCCAGTGAAAAGGAGAGTGGAGTAAAAAGAGGTTACACATTGCAGCACTGCGATAGAACATGCAATAGAGCAACTATTTCCTTAAGCTTCCTTAGTAATCGCCGTCATCATTGTTTTCGAATGCATCTGATGCAAACATCGTGTTCCAGGAGCGCAGTTCGAAATTGAGTGCCCTGGCAGCTTCTTTCTCATCCAAGGATAATGCGCCCCATTGCCGGGACTCTTCCTTCTTCACCAAAATTGTATTACCCCACTTCTCTTCCGACCAACCTAAAACTCGACAGGATGCTTGGATTTCATCGGAGAGGGATTCCCAATCTTGTGCAATGTACAAGTATCCGCTGAACATGTCTTTCCAAGAGTGTCGATTGAACCCAAGAGTTCGTGCACCATTACATTCTTCTATGGACAAATCCTCCCACGTTCGAGTTTCCATGGGATACCAACAGGAGCCTACTGCTGCTGCTGCTGTCTCATCATCATCATCAACTTCCCAGTTCAAGGCATTGGCTGCGTCCTTTGCTTTGGCGGGAAGTTCAGACCACGGTGTTTTCCTGTACCATTTGCCATCAAAAGCGAAATCGAGATATTCTGCGTGCGGGATGATGACAAGCGTGAGCAATAGAGTTGCAAGTTTCGTACTGGGTCCTTTGTATACTGATACTTTCTCACCTGTTGCCATTCCAGCGATCTGTAAAGCCTCCACTCGGGCAGCCTCGGCTTCCATTTGCTGCCTCTGGTCCGCTGTGAAATTGGTCGTGTTGGCCGCTGCACTACGAAGGTTGTTTGCGTACGCCAGTTCCATATCCATTGTATTTGGCGTCCGTCCAAACACTGCAATGGACCCTTTGTACACACTTTCACTAAACTTTTCAAAGTCGTTTGGTTTTTCTGGAGCCATGCCATATTCAAAGCTCAAATCTATCCCGATACTCAATGTGACTGGATGCGACTCACCAAGGTACTGCACTCCTTGTCTGTAGGCTTCTTGAAGTAAATCCAACTCACCGAGTAACGCATGAATTTGCTTGCCACGAATGGTCATTGGGTCGTCAGGACCCAATACCTCTGTCATTTCGTTCAAAAGCGCTTGGAATGCCTCAAGATTCTCCTTTGCTTCTGGGGATTCTTCATCATCACACATTTCGAACCAGGCAGCAAAGTACAACATGGAGCAACGAAGACACTTTCGGTTCTTAGTGTCCTTGCTGTAGAACGAAAGCAACTCTTCGCGAAGACTTTGCAACAGTTCAATCGCTTCGTACCCATCCATTGCTTCTCCATATCTGGCAAACTCGTACAAATAATCTGCAAGTGTCAACTTTGCATCGAAAATAGCTTCCGCTTTGTCGAGGCTTTCGGAAGGCATTGTTGAGAGGGCCCAAAGCCTCTCGCGACAGCACAAAATTGCAACCTTCATGTCCGCCAGCATGGTTGGACCAAGCAAGGTCTCGAATGTTTGAAGATTTTCGAGCTCACCATTGTCACAGAAGGATTGAATCATTGCTTCCACCAGTCCAGCATATTCTCGGCCTTGAATCATCTTGGCTTGCTCCTCGAATGAATCCAATAGCTGCGTTCTTGCCTCGATGGTATCCTCGTCGCCAGACAGGAATGGCTTTAGCAGATCCAAGTAGTGCAATGCCTCTGTTTCGAAATTTTTGTACGACGCAAGGTGAACCTGGAGCTCCACAACAATCGTCGAGCCGTCTTCTGTCTTGAACAAAAGGTGGTAGACAGCGTGTCTGTAGCCAATTAAGGATGCATAGAGGTCTCCCTCCGGCACACTTTGGAATTGATTCTTGAAGCTTACAATTTCGACTTGGCCGTCCTCGGAAAGTAGCTTCATATACTCGAACAGGCTAAACAAAGAGTCATACTCTGCGGCTGTAATGGATCCATGGATTATGTTTCGTATTCGTGAAAGATTCCCATTGTAATCGTCATTGGCCACGGTTTGAATGGATTCTTTGGATTTCAATGATGCCTCTTCCAGTTCATAAGGATTCATTATGTCGAATTCTTTGCCTTTATCCAATGCTTCTTGAATAGAAGCAAGGTCTTGATTCTTATTGGCATGATAGACTGGCAGTTCTTCAACGAGTCGCTCGCCAAATGCGTTAAACACTGGAAGGATTTCCTCCGCAAGACCATAGATATCATCCACGGCAAGATCAGATTCTCCATTGAACATAGCAAGGGCTTCCGATTCACTCTCTGCGATATTTTGGTACAACGACAATTTGGCTGGCCCTACTCCAACAGTCTTTAGTACATCTTGAAGGTCCCAGAATGGAAGCAATTTGTCAATCATAGCCCGCACTGGGCTATTGTCACTCACTTTTAGTTGCTGTTCCAGCAAACTTGGGTCTATTTCAGTGCTGGACCCCTCTTTGCACAAAGAAGTCAGTATTGCTTCCATGCCCAGTAGCTCCTCATCACCATCAGTCTTTTCCAAATCCACATCCAAACGAAACTCTTTCACATGAGCTCCCAGAGATGTTAAGAGATTCATCCGCTCTTCCACCACATCCATGTTTCCCATAAAGAATTGCCGGAAATAGCCATAATAATAGTGACTCATCGGCTTGTGGACAATCACTTGGGCCAAATGTACCTGCAATTCGACAATCATGGCATGACCAGTCGTTTCATTGCGGACTTGCAGATTAAACAGCGCGTCTCGATAACCACTAAAAGTTGGAGATTGAAAGCGATTCTTGAATCGAATGACTTTGATGTGGGTAAAGGCGTCGTCAGCGCTGCTTTCTTCTGTTTTAAGAAGGGTGCTCAATAAAGTGGCCAGCTGAACTTCAGAATTGACAACCACCGAGGCTCGGGCCAAGTCTACAATGCGCAAGGTGTTACCGTCGTATTCATTGCGAATCTTCTCTTCTGCCCTTGACTTGGATTTGAGTGGTGCCGACTTGTACTTTGGATAGTGAGAATGAGATTCATCGTCATCGTCGTCGCCGTCAGCTCCTTCAGCATCCTTGATCTTTTTCACTAATGCTTTTCCAAAAGCATCCAACAGTGGTTTGATTTCATTCTGGGCAATCTCCAAAATGACTTGCAGCCTCTCTCCAATGGAAAACGACTGTGGATTTACCGATGCTTCTCGAAGTAGATTTTCATCTTGCAACGGCTTGACACCCTTTCCTACGGGATCGTAGAAAGATGCCAAATCTTCGGGGAGGACCGTGGCTGCCACAGTATCCAAATCATCTCGAACCGACAAGAAGCCAGCAAGTTGTGACAAGAATTGTTTGGTCCTGTTTTTCATAATGGACAATACTCAATACTATTCATCAGTAATAGTACCTTTGTGGTGAAGAGCCAAACCTATGACTCGGGAGTGAAGGAAAACCTCGCCTTCATCAATATTTTTTCGGATCTTTTTTTACCGTGCAACTGGTATACCGGTACCGCAGTACCGGTGATATATCACCGCAAACGAAAGTTATGGGATTATGGTTTTATTTCGGGGAATTGGGTGTTTTTTTTTTGTTTCGGTCTGACCAACCAACCGTATTTCACCATAGTTTTTACCACGAACCCCGACTGCCATTTTCGCGGCAGAAACTTCCAGTCCTCCCAAAGTTTTCACCCGACAACCAAGAATAGAACCACAACACCCTGAGTATTGCATCGATAATCTATTATAATCTAAACTTCCGATTCACATGTATATCCTTTTTTTTAAATTTCCCTCTAACGGTCGCATCTTCATCGCATCATTGAGAAAATAAATCTTTGCGATATTATATATACGATGCGATTTTATCCCTCTGAACGATCCTCTTCGACATCCATCAGGCATTTATTCTATCTCATTGCCCTGGCCAGAAGAGTGAAATGGGCTTTCCTCATATGGCTTATGCCTCCAATAGCGATCAACGCTCAGCCTTCATTTCCTGTGGAACTAAAGAGTTTCGAAAGCTCCCATATTACGGACGGTTGTTTTTAACGAAATACCATATGTTTGATCCAGCCGAGACAAACGCCACGGAGATCTTCCAACTCCAGAGAGCTGATGACGAAGAATCCAACAGAAGGTTGGACGCTATGAAAGCCATGGTTCCAATGAAGTTATTTTACAACCGGTTCTTGGATGGTTGGAACTCTCTTGACGCCGAAGTGCAATCCACTGTCCCAGTCGATGACAAAGCTGCAGTGTCAAGAGCCTATGCCAAGCATATTCTTTCGCACTATCTCCCTGAAGCTGACCTCACAGATGCCAAAATTGACGAGTTTTGCAATGATGTCCACTCATTTCTAACTTTATATGATAAAGTTATTTTACAGCAGGTGAAGGGCGCCCATCTAGTGCTACTGAATGCAAAAAAGGGCTATGCCGACAAATTCCCTCTTGGCATGCAAAGCGTTATGTCATTAGCTAAAATTGATGCCGAATTTGCCAATGAAGCCTTGGAGCTGTATGATACCGATCTCTACGCAGTCAAACGACTCCATGGGACGTTCACACGAGGAGGCCTTACAAGGGACCTTTTGGAACTGTGCAACTTCAAGTTATCGCCTGAAGAGACTGATACGAAGTCTTGTTTTCAAACTCGTGTCAGCGTAAAAGTGGATTATACTAGGGAAAATTGGCGAAAAATCGTCAAAGATCATAAGAATAGAGTAAGTGATGTGTGCAAAGGATTTGCTATCTGGTCAACATTCCTCAGTACTCCTCACTCATGATTCCCCTCTTAAACTTGATCCCGAATCATACGCAGCCCAATAAGGCGCAGGTCAATGTGGATACTTTTGCTGCAACAAGTATTTCTGATGTTGCCGTACCTGCAAGCAATTTGGAGTTCATCGTTCAGCAACCAGTTGCCACTGTGGATTCCATCAATACAGTCAATCAATATCATCCCCAGATCCGGAACGATCTTCCTTCTTATCATATCGATGGTCCGATCGAGACTAGTGCTGAAACTTTTGCTCCAACAAGTGTTCATGATATTGCCATACCTGGAATCGCTTTGGATTCGATCACAGAGGAACCGGCTGCGAACTTGGATTTCATCAACCCTAGCTGCGACCTTGACGCCAAAAGTGTGGACCACGTCATCGCCTCCACCGCAACCGTCTATCGCGGCCCTGACAATGAAATCGGTCAGCGCCTTTTAACAATGGAACAATGGCAGAAAATCTTCAACGGGAAAAAGGAGAAGGAAGAAAGTAAGGCCGAGAAACCAACATTCCAGCTGATTGCGAAACCTCTAACGCAGACGCCGGTGAATAAGGCACCAGAAGTCCATCAAGAGAAAGTTGATAAGATGGCACACGGTCACATGGCTGCTAGGAAGTCTTTGCCGATAGAGACCACAACAACGAAAATTGTGGAAGGGACTGAAGTGGCAGCCAAGAATCCATTTTCCATGGATAATAAATCTGACAATATGAAGTGTCCACTGGGAGTCGATTCCAATATTAAGATCAACCTGGAAGCATCAAGCAAGAAGGATGTTCTCGAAGAGAAGAAGATCAAAGAACAAGCAGCAGCAGGAAATAAGGAACCGAAGAAAAAGAAAAAGAACGAACAGTCGAAGAACACGAAGAAGAGAAGTCTGCCAGATAAGAAGAAAAATGAAGCACCACACGCCATCTTTCCAGGCTGTTCCAAACATCAACGGAAATTGATCGATTTGCAAGTGTTGGAACATTCTGCCTTCAAGTCATACATCAGATTTCCCAATAATACTTCTTTGGGCAGACTTCTTCCCGATTCAGTTTGCAAAGGAACTTGCCAACGGAATGGGAGGTCGCTGCTGTCCATAACGTCTGGTCAGCAGCTGGTCAATATCCACTTCTGCAAGAAGTGTTCGGACGATGACCAGGAGGTGCTCTCGTGGTTTTGTTCGTCATGTTACAACGACAAGAACAAGGCAGATGAAGCTGGTGGGCGGGTTTCTAAGAGAACGCGTGTCCCCAAGAGACTAGACTAGACAATGTGGGACGATGAAACCGATTGCATCTCGTATTATATATTTTGTTGAGTGCGTTGAAATTGTCCGGAACACGAGCACTCAATTTTGACAGCACCAGCACACGAGGCAGTCATGAATGCCACCCACGGGAGTCTATATACAAGGACGATTTATACAAAGGCAACTATAAAATCTTGTTATATTGTTATTTTGTTAGTAGGTTGCTCCCGGAATAGTTGGTAATCGCAGCACAAATCCGGCTCTATCAGATCTTGAAATCTCTCGCCACCCGGACGTTATCACATAGAAGAAATTGCGTTCACCATCCCTCCCTTTACCTTTGGGAACGCTTCCGTCATTATTCAGCAATGGAAGGAGCAAAAAGTGCTCTGAGCATGATTTGAATCGAGACGATTCCAAACCACTGGATGCCACGGTCGTGTAAGAAAAGTACTGTGCTCCGCAGACCTCCAAATGAAACTCGACTGGCCGTATCTCCAAATAAGTATTCATACCCCCTGTCTTAATAACCAAATAAAGATGATCGTCAACGACTAGACCAGACATGAATTCGGATTCTTCAAGTCTCCTCATTGCGGTTGCTTCATCTTTGTGGGACTTGTAATTTGCTTGAGATCGTACTTGTATGAAAGCGTCGTCATCATTCGTATCAGAGTCGGTGCTGGGCGCCGATGCTTGGTTTGCAATCTCTGTTGCTACCTCCATCATTGCCTGGCAGGATCCAGGTTCGCCGCCGGCAAGTCCATTAGTTACATCTCTCACACAAGCCCCGAGGGCGAACTTGTAAGATTTTTCAACAAAGTACTTTTTCATGGCATTATATGCCCAGTTACCATTTAGACCGTGATTGATTTTGTTTTTGAGATGCTTGATGGAGGCTTCACCTTTTAAATCCAACTCGCTTAGCGGGCACAGCGGTCCCATCTCTCGAATTGTGTCACGAAAATTGAGAAGGCCCAGGAAGTTTTGTTTCCGACGCCATACGGGAACTTTCATGTCCTTCTTGGTGGCTTGATCTCGTCTCGTGAGATCGAATACATCAACTGAAGTCAGAAAGACTTTAATGTGCCTTTCAATGTCCAAAAGTTGTGCACCGGAGGGATTCTGATCCAGAGACATGATTCGGGACATGCATACCTGCCAACAAATAATCATGTGGCTAGCTTGTTCAAGTGTGGCCTTGGACGCAACTGGTTGGATGATTGGCGGGCATTCCTCTGGAGGCAGCGAAATAAATTCGAGGAATTTTTTGTCAACAGCCTTCTTGAGGGACTTGTTAGAAATATCTTCTACCTTCCTTGCGCAAAGCCACGCCCTCCTCTGTTTCAAATTGTATTGCGATAGTGGCACTCCGGGCGGATCAATATACACATCGTCATCTTCAGTAAGTTTTGAAAGCAGCTGGTGAACATATTTGTAGACAAGACAGTACGCAATCCAATTCTCAGATACGTATCCGCCAAATTTTGTTTCGACCTTGCACCAAGATAGACTTTGGCGTTTGATTTGGTCAAGGACTGGATGGCTAAGATTGTAGAAAGAACTTGATTTCCGCTGAGCCTTTAACCAACCACTAATCAGATCTGTGGAGATTGCTTTTGTGATTCCTAGAAAGCACAAATGCATCAGTGCGTCAATATGATGTCGGATGTCAACACCTGGTACGTTCCATGTAGTTGGATGTGGAGGTTGCTGTTCATCTGGATTGTCCGCCGCATTGCAAAGGTCGGCAATGTAGACCTGAGAAAGTCCAAATGTTTCAAGGTACGCAATACCCTGTTTCTTTGTCCAGTAGCGGAGTCGAACCATGTCAAATGTAGAATCAGAGGCCGACTTCAAAATTGGAAAGGTTATTGGGCGGAACCGTAAACAGTTACCATTAACTCTCGCATCAGTTGGAGCACTGTCGGGCAAATTTTGCGCTGTTGGGTCCGTACCATCAGAGTTATTGTTCATGAAGATTGTTGGGTAGTCCTTTGGAATTTGATAAGACAACAGGTCCATGCGCCAATCACTACATCTTGTACATTGAAAATGCCTAACGTCTGGACTGCATAAACGCAGAGCATTGCAGTCAGAACAGGAAGGCAAACGTTTGTACGCACAGCTTTGTGACAGGTCTCCTGCCCAACCGAATCTTGCCCCGTATCTTCCATTACCATATGCGAGACCGAGCCAAGAACATCGTTCTGGTCGATCTTGGAGAAAGCAGTACACACGCAGGGAAACCGCCAGTTCCTTCTGTGATGCGGCATGAAAGAATTTGTTTTTCTGGCCCTTGAATAACTCTGTCAATTCCCTAACGAGCTTTTCCATGGCAGTGGTCATGTCACCATTGGACGGACCAAGGGAGACCGGGTAAGTATTGCGACCAGAATGATAATCATCTCCAGGGGTACCGACGGATACAAGTACAACATGTACGGAGCCTCGATTATTTTTGGTATTGTTGGTATCAAAAGCATCAGACCAAATCACAACTTCAGATATAAACTCGGTCGGCTGGGTATTGCTTTGCTCGTTTGAAAACGCGACAAGATCCTTTCCTCTCTGAGAAGATCCGTGGAGTGATTGAACATTCTTGGACTGGGGGGAGTATGGTGCATCGACCAAAGGATCCAAAGTCTGGCCGTTGGCTAGATGGAATTGGAGAATGTCGCGAATCGAGACGTAGGCAAACCCTGTATCAAGAATTTGAATGATGGGTCGCGGGAGTATATTTGGAATTGACTCTCGTCCATCAGGTCCATAGCAATTTCTCAGTTGTGCGTGGTTCTCTGGAATTGGAAGTCCACGATTCAACGGATCCGACATGTATACCATTAGCGCAACAAGAACACGCTGCTCAATATTGGTGAGGCGGTTTGTAAGATATGCAAGAAGAATGCAGAATAGGGGATTGGTTGCACCCATGCGTTGTAGGATGTCTAGCGAAGTGTTCCGCTGCGCTGCCCAAGCAGTAAGCAACCTGGGTCCCCATCCAAACTCCAAATTGCAGTGAAAGTATTGCGCATTCATGGGTGTTCTCGTGAGACCATCGATCGGAGTCGTTTCTTCCTCGGTCGAGAAGTAACCTGACAGGTCGCCCTTTGGGTTGGGACACTTTGACAATATTTGTGTCATCCAATCTTCCGAAGTGAGCTGCGGCGGCGCATTTGATGCATCATCGATTTCGATTGAACTCCACTCATCATTGTGAGAGAAAAATTCCATCCCGTTGTCGTTGCTATCTCCCGCGGAATGCTGGGTTGGGCTGGGACCGGTATCCGTCTCCATATCCGTTGTTTGTGCGATTTGGCATCGCTCTGCAAACTGAATTTCTTGTTGCACGTAGGCTGATGGTTTGGTGCTCTCGAACTCAGCAACTCGCTTTAGGTGTTTTTTTTGACGCACATGTTTGCTAAACTGTTGAATCTCAATGTCATGAGCTACAGTGCAGACCCTGCACTTGATCCACCTGTGGACCATAGTGCACCTAACATTGTCACAGTTAAATATCGCCAAGTACTTCCTCTTTCCGTCACGAACAATATCTTTGGTCTGGAGTCCACATTTTCTACACGAAAAATATATATCTTTAGTGCGCATGATGAAGTCGTCTTTGGTCAGTAGCGGACCATCGTCTTCTGACATCTTCAACCAACTGGAAGGACCCCAATTACTTGAAGGAATAAACGTAGTGAGGCGATAGAATGACTATTTATGTAGTGAAGCAGGGCGTCGGTGGCATATCAGCAGCAGCGAAAACATGAGCGTGTTTTACGGTGTCTCTTCGCTAACTGCCGCCGGGCGTAATAAACCATGTGTGCACATGGTTATTGAGGTTTTACCTGTGAAACCAGTGAAAAACGAAGTCGGCGTTGGACAAGTATTTTCGATTGATTCAAATCGTGGAATGCAATGTCATGCGACACGCACACGGTAGGTCCATGTACAAAATGTACTGGAAAATGCCGAGTCAGTCGGTCATTATGAAGGCATCCGGACACGTGCTTTCATAGCAACCGCAAATGACACAATTTCACTTATTTTTGGATCTGCAAGAACATCAAGGTTGCCAATGGACAATATTCGTAAGTTGTTACTATCTCTTGTCAATGATTTTGTACTCGTGTACTGTATTGTATCTAATGAAAAGCATTGCAGATCCATTTCGCTGATGGGGGTGGGGATGACACCAACACTACGGTAAGTCAAGGACGACTGTGTTCGTGCGCTGTGGATACAATACAAACAACCACTAACGTTTCAGATTTTTGAACGTTAGGTCGGTCGTTTTACTATTTATTCAGATATGGATGCTAAATCACAACTAGATTGTCATGGATCGGTGACTCTTCAGGACTAAAGAATTGTCGGGCACTGCGCTATGTCATCGATGGTCTCCTTACGCTGCGATGTGACAATTGGTGATTTCGCGATGGAATCTATAATTTCTGCCCGAGTATGGCAAAGCGCAACTATATATTGGAGAGACGTGGTGGAGACATGATGGATGAAAACTGCTGGGCAAACGCAATGCACATCCAAACTGCACATTCAAACATCCAAACTGCACATTCAACGACACAATCATGAATGGATGGAAGCTTTTTGGAAAGCAAATACGCAGTCGATTTTCATACAATGACATTTGGTTAGCTAAAGATGAAGAATTAAATGTATAGATACTTTGTTCATGGTTGCAAGATATACTGACGATAGAACGATAGTGCTATATAGTAGCTCGTTATTTTAAAATAGATTCAAATGACACCGTGTGCGGGCAGGCTCCTATATGACGGCTGGTGCGGTTTAGTTGCATACGAAAACAGCCGTTAAGCTAAGGGTGATAAGGACGGTAATGATCATGGGAATAGGGAAATGCGGTAGTAGAAGTGGGACTTATCTTTGTGGTAAGTTTTGTGGGAATATGGTAGAGTCTCGGGGAGTCTCACCCGTAAAATTACCGAAATATGCGATTGTGCCAGATTGTTTCCCCCGAACCCAGACTTTTCACCAGCTTTGCGCAAAAATCGCGCGCAATATTTAGAACTTTTCTTCACATGGGATTGCGGTAGTACCATCTTTTCCACCCGATGTTCTGCCCTAGTCCCATACAATTCGTTTACGATATACATACCGGTTCTTATTCTGCGGGTCATAATATAGCACTCGGAGATTGTGACTGGATATGACTTCAGATCCTTATTTCTACGTTAGAAGGAAACTTAGCAGCTAAAATATATGAAGGTAACACAAGGGCTTGGTATCGTTTTACATTAGACTTTTCAGTCAACACGCCATGACTCTCGATGCCAGATTCAGGGAATATGACCCAGCTACTCGTCGCTTTAAACCTTCGAGATGGCATTCATGTTGACATCCCCCTCAGGTATAGTGGCCATCTTCTTGATTATTTTCCAGTTCTCGAAACGTCCTTTTGTGATGTTCCCATTCATTGCCGTGTGAACACCTAAGCCTTCGAATCTACCTTCAACAAAGTCACCATTGAATATTCCCATTTGAATGTCATTGTATAGTCCTTTTCCATGCCGGGTATTCTTTTGGTAATCACCAATGTACCTGGAGTACTCTGTGATGTACGATACACAGCCATCCGCCTTGCCCTTCAAAAAGGACCCAAAACACATATCGTCATTCTCATAGATTGCACATCCTTGGCCTTGAAAGACTCCTTGTGCCCTGTGAAAGGTGAGGAACAGTAGGTGAGTGGTGTTGTTTGGAGCAAGCAAATGCGCATCGTCACATACCAATTTCCGATGAGAATCCGGCCATTATCGTAAATCATGGAACCCACGCCATGAGGCTTGTTTTCCATCATTGAGCCAGTGTATTCTCTGTCTTTCTTGGCTCCCTCCTTGCGTCCCATTCTGACGTTCTTCTCAATTTGGATGTGTTGCATGTCGTGTTCGATCTGGAAGGAAAGAACGGAATGACTAGCATGACTAGATTTCGTTTTCTGGTCCTCTTGTCCCTCAGGTTTTGCTACTTTCACTTTCTCTGGAGCAATGTTTCTGGCAGATTTCCGAGGTCTCTCTTGTTGTTGCAACAGGGACTTCTTTGCTGCCTTTAGACTCTCTTGAGCTTCATCGTCCAATTTCAAAGTGCTGCCACTGGGTCTTGCAACTGCTGTGCCTGCAGCTTCTTGATCGGCTGAGCTGACAATGGATAGAAGCGTTTGCGCGAGTTGCTCGCCTCCTTCGTCGGACAACAGCTTCAATAGGGTACCTTTTGCCGAACGATCGTCTTCGTCACGGGACACTTTGTTGCAGGTTACTGCCGTTTCCTCATCGTCAAACATATTCCAATCAACCTGGGCTAGAAATCGACGCAATTCACTATCCACAGACATTGATTCCATTCTAGAATTCAACTCGTCGTCCTCCTTTCGAGTTGGTGGTGCCTCGAGTGATAGTACAGCTTCGGGAATAATGGGTTCTTGGTTCAAATCTTGGTTGGGATCGTGCTTAAAATCTTCTTCAGCCTGCTTCTGCAACTTGAATTTCAAATTGCCGAATTGCTTTCGTACAATTGTCACCGCATCTTCGTTGGTCAGCACAAAGTACCGTCGATTTTCCGAATCCCATTTCAAGAATCTGCCATCGACGCCCAATACGATCTCGTCAAGGATCTCTTTCTTTCTCTCAAAGCTAGAGACATGAAACTCAGCAGACCGTGCTATAATGGTTTCCCGAAGCATGCAGTTTCCTTCATGTTTCCCCTTGCCCTTGTGGGATAGTACATCGTTTGGATTGATCAACGTATGGTCAACGGTTTCAGCGTTGTTATTCATGTTGTTGTTATCATTGCTCAGCATGGTCTTCAATATGTTTAGATGTTGACTGTAGAAGTATTAGTAGTTGCAAGAAATCGTCGATTCAGTTGTCTTGTCGTTTGGACAGAACCGTTTTATGAGCATCATCGTACGATGCCGAAAATATGTTTTAATGATTCTCTTATCTGCGCAAGAAATATATTTCTACAAATCCGTATGTGTAAAGGCTACCAGCAGGCATCAAACAAAAATGACCAGAATCCTTCATAGAAAGTCATAAATAATCTCCGTACAAAGCTACGACGTAAACATTTTTAGCCGAACACGATCCCTGAAGGGTATATATGTGTTCGGAGCAAAGAACGATTATACCGGTTATGTTGCGGGAGAGAAATAAAATCTTTCAAGGCGGCTTCACGATGTGCACGCGCTTATTTCTAATTAGAAGTCCATCTTATTATATTGCATCTCGTCATCATCATCATCATTCATCATCATCATCCACTTGGATCATAAATTATGATTTCATTCTTTCAAAGGGAATCAAAAGGAAACGCGCTAGCTCAAAGAAAAAGATGAATGAAACACAAGGTAGGACTAAAATAAAAGTTGAATAGTCACACTGCACCTCGGCTTCAACTTATACTTTCATATTTCTTCTTTCTCCATCTTACTTGTCGAACAACGGAATCATAAATCATGTTCAAGATTGTGACGACAATAATACAGTAACAGTCACACCTAACGCCGAATTCCTGATCCCTCCAGCCAAGCCACAATATCACTTCGCAAATATGAGTGACAATGCTCACAGAAATCATATGGCAATCGATAGGAGTGAGTTACAAAGCTATATTGCTGGACATTCAACAACAATTGATGCCGCCTCATTTGTCGGGCTGGAACTGAACGATCATCAGACTTGTGCTGACACTACAGTCACATTTGATGACGAGGGCACGGTGACACAACACAACCAAGATCCCTTTGCGAATATAAGGGGTCGCGCCGATGCCAGAACAATATTTCAAGAGACAATCGATGGTGAAGTACCAAGTACAGTTGAACACGTATCAAACGATCAGATTGACAATGATTTGGATGCTCATTCTGTTGTCACAATGGACAGTGAGCGAACGAGCAATGCTGGCAAGGCACAAGATCCCTTCGCGAATAGAAGGGGCCATGAGGATGCAAGAAGCGTAACTCATGAGACAAATGATGAAGTGCGTTCATCGAACGAAATGGAGGAGGAGGACATCATTTCGGAAGCAAGTCTTGTACGGCCTCATCATGATCCCAGACCGGCCCTGTAATGAAAACTCAGCTCCACGACATCAAGTTGCTCTAGATGGTGACGACTTGTCTTTTGGAATCGAAGCAGATGGCATGCCATATGTGCGACCAAAAATGACAGCAAAGGAGAAATTTGATCAAGAACAACGACGTCTAAACGATGAACTCAATAAAGAATCACAAGAAAAAGGTTGGATGGACACAGCGGTGGCCAAGATGTGCAACAAGAGTGCACAACAAAAATTTGATAAAGAAACAAGAGATCTATGGAGTGATCTCGATCAACAATTGCAAGAAAAGGGTTTGGAGAAGGGTATGATGGACCCAGGTGTGGCTTTGAAGTACAGCAATATTGCACTGCACCTTTCCTTGACTGCAGCAACATATCATGGCATTGGAAACGTCTTGTACTATCAAGATAAGTACGATGACGCAAAATGGAGCAATACCAAAGAGCGCTTGAGATCTACTTGAAGACACTTGGACAGGACCATCCCGAAACTGCAACAACATATCACAACATTGGAACCGTCTTGAGCAATCAAGGCAAGTACGAAGACGCAACGGAGCAATACCAAAGGGCGCTTGAGATCAGATTGAAGACACTTGGACCATACCATTCCTTGACTGCAGCAACATATCAAGAGATTGGAACCGTCTTGCAAGATCAAGGCAAGTACGAGGAAGCAATGGAGAAATACCAAAGGGCGCTTGAGATCAGATTGAAGGCACTTGGACCGGACCATTCTTTGACTGCAACAACATATCACGGCATTGGAACCGTCTTGCAAGATCAAGGCAAGTACGATGATGCAATGGAGCAATATCAAAGGGCACTTGAGATCGAATTGAAGGCACTTGGACCAGACCATTTGGAGACTGCAACAACATATCACAGCATTGGAAACGTCTTGCGAGATCAAGGCAGGTACGAGGACGCCATGGAACAATACCAAAGGTCTCTTGAGATTGAATTGAAGACACGTGGACCGGACCATTCCAAAACTGCAACAAAATATTGCAACATGGGAACCGTCTTGCACTATCAAGAAAAGTACGAGGATGCAATGGAGCCATACCAAAGGGCGCTTGAGATCTACTTGAAGACACTTGGACCGGACCATTCCGATACTGCAACAACGTATCACTGTATTGGAAACGTTTTATACAATCAAGGCAAGTACGAGAACGCACTGGAACAATACCAAAGGGCGCTTGAGATCAAACTGAAGACACTTGGACCGGACCATTCCGATACTGCAGACACTTATCACGGTATCGGAAACGTTCTGGAATATCAAGGCAAGTACGAGGATGCAATGGAGCAATATCAATAGACTCTGGTGATTGATTTGAAGGCATGTGGGCCCAGCCATACAAACGCTGCAATACCATATAAACAGATTGGAGACGTTCTTCAGCATCAAGGAAAACATGATGAAACAAGGGATCGATTCCTACAAGCTCTTGCTATTTTTTGCAAAAACCTTGGAGAAAATCAATGGAGAGGAGTTGCCATGCTCTACAATTCCATGGCCAAAGACTCGGCGCAGAGAGGTGACCAAGACGATGCCGTGGATCTTTTGAACAAGGCGGTCGAGATTAAGTTGAAGAATGCAAGAGAGGACCACCCAAATCTTGCCATGATCTACATCACCATAGCTGACGTATTATTGAAGACTCTGCCGTCATAGCGTCAGGAAGCACTAGAGTTTTATGACAAGGCGCTAGCGATTCGAGTCAAAGTCTTTGGTGAAGGGCACAAATTTGTGAATGAGGTTTTGCAGAAAAAGAGTGAGCTTCCATCGTTGGGAAGTCAATGAAGAGTCTAATTGTATAGAGTGGTAGCATCATTGTTTATATGTGTACTAGTCGTATCATTACATTGAACAAGAAATAGAAGGTTAAGCTTGACCCCAAGAATGTATTCTTCATAAATACTTCCTGTAGTGAAAAAGACATCCTGGTCACGATATTTCTTTGACATGCATGTGGTCAGTGAGAAATTCCACTACAACTCTTTCTTCTGATACCACTGGAATCCAATGTCATTCAACATGCAAAGGCAGTGATCGGGAACTTCTGTATATCGTAGTTCATTCCGTCATTGGATCAATCAATCTACTCCTTGTGTCTCGAGATGATTTTATGTATCAAGTGGAACTATAGAATAGCTTTCAGGTTGTTAATCGAGAAGGAATTGAAGGTAGTTTTGTGCCCCTAGTTTTACCTTTGGTTTGAAGAAAAACCTTGACAACCAAACAAAATCCCGGACAGACTGGATCATCATAAATCCACGTCTAGTCATAGACCGCAAATCCTCACAATCAAATTGTCGACCAGAAAGGATCGAAGACAATCAACTCTTCAAACCCCCAAAGATATTTTTGATCTTTTTATATTAATTGATGATGGCAAGAAAATTGGCCTTGTAGCCCCAATACTAGCTTAGTTTATTATAGAGTAGGAGTGTGGCTACAAAAATTGTAGTTACTTTTTATGTATTGATTGTCATGCTGCTTTTGCAACATTTTCTTTTTCTTCTGTTGCTGTCCTTCTACTCATCAGAGATGTGCTTAGAGAAGCTATGTTGTGGGTTGTTGTTGTTGTTGTGGGTTGTGGGTTGTGGGTTGTGGGTTGTTGTTGTGGG